CACACACTCACACTCATACACACACACACACACACAATGGCCTGAGCACACTTATTTATTATTCCCCAAGCGTTTGACCAATGACTTACCCCAAAAGCTGGATAGTGGACCGCATTCAAATGATGTCTTATTTGGTTGCCTGCATTGTGGAATGAATAGCCATAGTTATATGAGGCCCCCGAATGAGCATTGTACACTTTACATATCTGAATATGTATCCTATATAGCCTGGCTGGCTCCCTTGTTATATTTATATGGCCTCAAAGTTGTGCAACAGCATCGCGAAATCGCTTCACATGAGATTGTAATTACGATAAACGGACAAGCGCCAAAGCCTTTAAAAATAAACATGAATCTATGGGTTGAGCGAGTTCGAAAAGAACGAGGAGTGAGTGGGGGGAAGGGTGTCAGCACGAACGACGCCTTGTTGGCCATAAACCGCCAAATGAGCCAAATAAATGTTATTTATATAGAAAAAATACATATAGAGCAGACGGCAAAAATTGCAAGTGCGCGAGTATTTTTTGCTTTTTTGCGACTCGTAGCGAGTTGTGTGCAAGCCAATTGCGATTTATTCATATAAAATTCATACGATATGAAATCATATAGGTAACTAAATATGGCACACATATATACAGACACACATACAGACAGAGTGGCAGACAGACAAAAGACAGGCGGACGCACACCCACACCCACGCCCACAGCCACACATACTGAACGTCAGACTGAGCCATTCAGCAATTGGATTTTGTGCCAGGGCGTTATGTAAACATTCGATATCGAAATCGCATCACAGTGCCAACTAAAGCAGGAGCAAGACCCACAAATGGCCAACGTGTCGGAGACGCAGACAGGCGCCATTATTGCGTACAAGCGAATGAGATATCTGATAAACAACTTAAAATAGCAGAATAAAGTTAGCTTCACTAAGAATTCAGCTACAACTTTTGCTCTGCTCTTATATTTAAAATACAAATTGAAGTCAAAAAAACTTTAATGTAATATAGAAGCAAACTTATTATTTATTTGTCTTATAACAAGGTCGCATATATTGCGAATATCAAACTAAAATTTTGTTTAAAAAAGTATTTTTGTTTTAATCGATCATTTATCGATTCCTACACGTTTACTGACCACAACAGAAAGACATGTCTAAAGCCAGTTTGCATTACACAAGACAGATGTACAACTTTAGAAATTAATAAGCCGTCGGGCAATTATCAGAGCCGTCGGAACGTCCCAATTTAAAAAAAATAAAATTTAAAAATATTTGAAAATATTTTAGATAAATATTATTAATAATAAAAGAGATATATACAGATTTCAAAATAATATACGTATATATATAAATAAATATATATATTTTATATATTGTATATTTTGTATTTTATTCTCTTATCAATAAAATTAAAAATGTCATTTTAGATAACAAATATAGATAAAATTCCAGACGACTTCAATTTGCATTTTGAATACCAAAATCGATCATTCAAAAATCATTGCAATTTATTTTGATGTCAATTCATGTGTTCACCTATTTTCATTGAACGAATGCTTCAATCATATAAAAAATTGTCTGCTTGGTTTATTTATGTTTTTATCTGTGCGACGAAAAGCCACATGAGGCAATCAAAAGAAAAATACATTGTTCTGTAATGCATTTACTTTTAAAGCATCTATAAAATAAATATATACAGTATTTTTAATTAAAATATTACATCTCCTGCGCAGCACGAAACGTATTTATTCTATTTGAAAATAAGATAAAATCTGTGACAAGTGCATTAAGTAATTGTTGGCAAAATGTGGAAATGTCGCTGCAAAGTGTCCGCCTTTAAGCACGCGACTGAGTTTCGCTTTAAAATAAATTGAAATGAAAGAGCAGCAAAAAAGGTATATCTCATAGGAAAATGGAATCAATCGTTGTTCATAGTAAAGCTGCGAGTGAAATGCCCCCCGGCAAGACAATACCAAATACGCTGCTCGATATGTGCGCTGCGTACAGAGCTCTGTGTACATGTGTGTATTGTTTGTGTCCGTGTGACTGTTAGTCGATGTGTGTGTGCGTGTGTGTGTGTGTGTGTGTGTGTATGTGGCATATGTAAGCAAATACAAACACACAGCAATACCTATGGCAAAATAAACGCGCACATAAATAAAAAAGACATTGTCAGAAAAACGCGATGTGCTCGAATGTTTATTTATGGGCCTCGTTCGCGTTCTCGATCTGCGGGGCCTGAAGTAATAGTCAAACACAAAAAAGGAAACGACAAACGAAAAATATATACGTATATTTATATATTTATATATTTATGTATAGAAGTCGGGGAGCAAACAAAAAGGCAAGGGCTTTTAGAGCACGCGCATTTTTAGTTGTTTGATTGCTAATTAAAATGGCAAATCAAAGCGGTTGCTCCAAGCGCCAATGTTGACAGTGTTCAATAGAGACAATGCGCCTACTCACACTCTCACAAGCAAGCACACATACAGCGCCATTAATAGAGCGTGAATTTTAGCGCACACCGGCAGGCGCGGCGGTGTGGGGCGTGGGGCAATGTGGTGTTCGCATTTGTAGCCCGCAATGTTTTGCCAATCAAACCCCAAAGTCATTTCATTATTGGCTTTGCGTAATCGACGTCAAAGCGTCCCGGGCAAAAGTCAACAAAGCGATGCGGCGGCAACACTGAGATGGGAAAGCCGAAGGAGAGTGGAGCTGAGGCTGCCCTGCAGTCAACGTCAAAACGTGCATGCAGTCAAGCGGATTGAGGCAAATATTTTCACATTGACACGGAAGGATCAGCAGTAGGCGAGAGGACGAAGAGTCGCAGAGTTGAGTTGAGTCGAATTGAGTCGAGATTGAAAGCCGACGCGACTTGACAATAAAGTCAAAAGTGTAAGTGACACAGTTCGTTAGGCGCCGCAGAGCATGCAAAACATACAAATAGAAATATATATATCTATGTATATCTAAACACACACACACATATACATAAATATATTTATAAACAAATACATGTATATCCTAAAATGGAGCCATAGATACGTTTGTTATGCAAGCTGGGCGTGGCCCAAAAAAAAAAAAAGGATTGCGAGCTGAACATTAATGAAGGCCGCAGTAAGTCGCATTGAACATACTCAGTTAGATTTAGTCAGTCAGTCAGTCAGTCAGTCAGTCAGTCCGTCAGTCAGTCAGTCGGTCGTCGGTCGAGCAGCGCACAGAATTCAATACTAGGCTGTTGGCAGATTTTGGAGTATGACAAATATTTTATGCGCACATCATAAAAGAGCCTCAAGACTGCAGCAGGCAGACACACGTACTCAGCAAAAGATACACAACAAATACACACACGCACACACACGCGCGCGCTCAGAGACAACAGATAGCAGATACAATCGCCAGCCGTGAGATACGAAAGAAAATTTGTGTGGCAGGACAACGCATAAAAAGCAACGCCAAGGCACTAAATAACAACAAGGAGTCAAAGCTTTGAAGTTGCAGCATGGCGACGTAGAAGCTGCTCCCAAAACGGAGCACACAAAACAACCCAAAAGCGAGAAGGAGTGACAGAGAAAGCAACACACAAAGAAAGCGAGGAATGCTAAACAACAAAAGGTCCACCAAAAAAGGAATAGCAAGGTGCAAATAATGCTGAAAGCGCCCCAAAATGTGCGCTACACATTTTTGGCAGCTGCCTAAGTACGTGATAGTGTGTGTGTGTGTGTGTGTCTTTGTGTGTATCTGCAGCTGTCGATGTATATTTGTGTTTGTATGTAGTATAAGCGTGTGTGTCTTGCCTGTTGACGTGAAAATTTGCACGTCTTTTGTTGTGCATGCGTGTAAATGTTTTGTGGATTTGATTTCGTTTCGCAAAATTGAAAAACTAAGCATTGAAAACACCAACAGCAAACAAGCCAAATGTTTTATTTGTCTACCACACACACACAGAGACACACACGCTGAGCACCCAATGCACTGTTTTTTCTGTGCCAAATTCGTTTTGACGGCGACCAGAGAAAAAAGAAAAGGGTTCTTCTTTATTTTACTTTGCGGCCTCTTTAGTTGTTGTTTTTATAACACAAATAACGAGAATCCCTCAATATATATCTCCTTTTCCAAGTATGCGTGTGTGTGTGTGTGTGGCTATGTGAATTTGAGGTCGGGTTGATTGCTAAAGTAAACGCACTCGGGGCAAGCCGCGACGAGCGAATGCCTTGAACTTTAGTTGCTTAACATTTTTGGCTTCATATTTTTCTTTTTATATATTTTTTATTTTTTTCTGGTTTTTTGCTTTTTCTGTTTTGCTTCTTTATTTTTCGGCATTCGGCACTTTCAATGCTGAGCTGGGTTAATTCTTTTGGGTTGAGCACTGATTTTTTGCTTATTTTTATTAATAGACTTTTTGTAAAATGCCAAACCATATTTTACTCAACAACCGTCCGACGGAGAGTGTGCACCAGAAATTATGCTACACTTCTCAATCTAAAGGGTTCGTGCGAGTGCCTGGGTGTGTGTGCCTGTGTGTCGGTGCGTCCAGCGGCTGTTTAGAAAGGATAAGTTGCTATGAAATTTCGTGTATGTTTAATCCGTAAATGGATATGTTGTTATGACGCCTACGCAACAACATAAGAAATAAATCGAACAAAAATTGAGTTTCGCTTATCTTTTTTGCTCTGAATAGCCAAACATTGTTATGGCCATTGGTGTAGAATGAACCTGGACAGTGTTTTTTTATAATTGTACCTTTGATTCAAAGTTTAGACGCGACCTATACAAATTTGTGTATAAATCGCAGAGTGAGCCAAATACTTTGATTACTTTCTTAATTAAAATTTTGCTACTCATGAAAGTAAGGGCTGGCAGCCAGTTGCTTGAACCAAAAAGTTCTTCTAACTGGTTAGGAATTAAAATATATATATATACTATACTACTGTATTATACTATACTGCATACTGTTAAATGAAATGTTAAATAAAATGATTTAGTATTATAAGAATATTGAAAATTGAAATTTGTGTTTAATTAATAAATTAATTTCATTAGAGAGCTCCTCTCCACGGAAACCTTTAGTAAGAGGCGAAATATTTATTCGACAAATGAAGAGAAATTGAATTGTGTTTTAAATATAATTTACATTATAACTATAAGCATAGCTTAAAGGATTCTGCAACAATTATGTTAATCGGAATAGTCAGATTGAAACTGTATAAGCCCTTCCATTAATTGAAGTTTTTTCTTTTAATATTTTAAGTGAAGTAAAAAATGAGGTAACTCCGGTAAGCCGCCCCTTGTAAGACCACTTTTTGCTAAACCAAATGTATAAAAATATTCATTAAATTTTGAAGCTAGTATTTTCAAGAATCATAAGACCTTTCTTCAGTCTTGGTTTGCTTTAAGATATTTATTAGTAATAACTGTCAAGTTTTAGCTTACCTTTTACCAAATCGACAGCTCCTTATATTGATGCTATATATATTGAATTTTGTTAGTCAACAAGTTATTTGATTTGTTAGTCTTTGATTTATGTTTTATTTTTGTTGTTAATTTCAACTAGTAAAAAGGCACAATTGCATGCTACGGCATACTACTTGGCAAAGTTATTAGTTTTACGATAGGTCTTTTATGTTTTGCCGCTGCTGCCTCTTTGCTGTTTAGTACTGTTATGATAATATTGCGATATTCGTTGTCTGAGCCGCGCACGCGAGCACTTTGCACGTTTAAACAATGGAATTTAGCACACGGCTGCCAATTATTGAAAACCTGCTAAAAAATTAAAGCGAAACGCAAACAATTTGTAGCACATTAGGTGGGTAGAGGGGAGCTGCTGCCATTTGTCCTCTTCCGGTTGCAGAAACTGCAAAACTGCTAAAGTGCATGACAGAAATGCCAATGCGAATGCCAAGCACAGAAACAAAGCCGAGCGACCAAATCAAAATGTATGAAATACTTTCATAAAATACAGGGATATATGCAAACACACACGCACACGTTTGTATGAATGTGAGAGTACAACCGCACATGTGGCATGCCTGCGTGTGTGTGTGTGTGTGTGTGTGTTTGCACTTGAAAAGCATTTAACGTTGCGAGAAGACAAAACGATTCGAGATAAATGCCAAAGGTTATGGTGTTAATGTCGCCTTTATTCAAAGCGGATATCGGACCAGAGCACCGAGAACAAAGGCGAGCAATGTAATAAAAAATAAATTAAATGGAAAATGCGAAAGGGAAAGGCGACAAACACCGAAGACGGACAGAAGCAGAGACTGAAGCGCGAATGTGTCACGGATTTCATTGCTCATTGAATACGCATTCATTTCATGGGCCCAGGACACTGAAAGGCACAAAACTGTGCGAAGGATCTGACAGGCATTCGGGGCAGCCGCATCGAGTCAGTCAGTCTGCGTACGTAAGCAGCAGAAGGACACACATTCACGCACGCACACACACCCAAACACACAGCGCACCAACACAGAGGCAAGTTAAAGGCGCTGCGAAAATCAGTGGGTAAAATAAGCCACAGAGCCACAGAGCCACAGAGAAAATCAAAACTACGCGCACACCAAAAAGGCGCTGCCTGCTACGGTTTGTGTGTCAGTGTGTCCTGTCATTTGCATGTGTATAGAAATGTGTGTGCCTGTGTCTGTGTGTGTGCTTTCGGTGTCTCTTTGTGTGTGTCTGTGCTTGCTGTATGGCTTTTCGCTTTCTTTTTGTTGTAATTGCCTTTTGGCAATTGCAATTTTCGCATTTTATTGAATTTTACACACAGACACAAACACATGAAAGCTTGTCTAACAGATGCGCACACACTAACACCAACGCACGTTCACAAACACACACAAACACACATACACACATGTGCTCCGACACAATAACAACATTTTTTTGTCATAATATTTTCATGTGCTCCGTTTTCGATTTACACGCGCTCACGTCTAAACTTATTGTTGTCTTTTGGCTCCATTCGTCTTTTGGCAAACCGACTCGGAATCCGTTAGCGTGTTGCTCTTATTATTGTTAAATATTTTGTGAATTTGTTTTAGATTTGCAACACATTTTCATACACAGACCCACAAACGCGCACAAACACAATGCCACAAACACGCACACACACACACACATATACATATACACACACACACACACTCACACTCATAGAGACACATACGTAGAGAGTGTGTTGGGAGACGCGTCCAAGCTGTGTTCTATGCTGGCTGAGTAGCTAGCCTCTGCCTTGCGGAACCGCCCTAAAACAGTCGGGAGAATAACTGAAAATGAAAATTTGTGAAAAATTTATCCAAAGCACGCAAACGCATGCCAGGCGAAAGTCAAAAGCAAAGCGCAAAGGCAGAAGCTTTCGAAATCTCAGAAAAGTACCGTTATTAAATTTCTTTATAGCCAACAACAAGTGAGAGTTGCACGCACACAGAGACACAGTCAGAGAGCGACTGAGAGCATAAAAGGACACGCAATCAATAAGTACGCAGACTTTCAAAGCTTTCGCCGAACGCCAGCGAGAGAGAGAGAGAGAGAGAGAGAGAGTGCAGCGAGAGAGCGAAAGCGCGCACAGCAGCCCCCCGCCAGGCGTCATCGACGGCGTCGTCCTCCGCTCTCCTGCCCCACTCTCCGCATTTACCACCCCCACACTCATCCCCATGCTAGCATCGTCGCCACAGGCAGCACATGCTGCCAGCACGTCATGTTTTTAGACTGGGCTTTTTAGACAATTATCAAGTTGGCAGCAGCGAATCGAAATGTAAACAACGCTCCAATGAATATGAATGCGCCGTTACTTTGCGAAGCTTCACATATCATTTTACCGTTTCAACGCGACTTAGCCAGCGGGCAACTTTTAAAACTGTTCTCAACTTTGCACTCGGTTTGATTTTATTTTGCTGCTTTGCGCTCAACACGTCTGACTTTCAGCGTCGCCACAACACGAATGTCAGGTGTGCGTGGATTCCGGCTCCATTTTGTCTGCTCCTTGGCTGCCACTGTCCGACGGCTTGCCCGAGCGTAGGTGCTCAAGGAGCGCGAGAGATTCAGAGAGTCTGAGAAAAAGTCCCGTTAACCGTTATTATTTTGACAAACAGCGCTGCCAACTCGTTGTCCCCAGAGTTGCTTGCTGGCAGCTGCCCGAAGCCATGCAGAGTTGCAAACGCCCAAAATGTACACTGCGCAAAAGCCGAACGAGCTTTCGCCAGCGAATGTAACGGCTTAGCCGGCATAAGGATAACGATGATGGTAATCATACAGGCTGCTCAAGTGTCCACTCATCGCTCAAGCCAATCAGCCTCATCAATCTCATCAACTCTTTGCATAGAGAACGAACATACTGCCACTTAGGGCTGAACAAAGCGCCTGCATGTCGCAAGGACTTCAAGTGCGACAAATGTTCAAATGTTCAGATGTTCAAGCAGCCTCTCAAGGTGGCCAAATTACCGCCGCAGGTCGAGTCCTAAACTCATAATTAGATATCACCGGTTAGCCATCAATAGCAGCTGCCGCGGGCACAGCCCGCAGAAAGTGTAGCACATCGCAGTGCCGCTATGCGGCCGATCGTGCATCACATGCGGGCTTGCCAGCAAAGGTATGTCCCTGTCCATATTCAGCTCTTGCGCCCCGTGTCTCGTGCCAAGGTGCAAAGGCAAGTTTCACGAACACAGATATCAGTTTACATGCCGCGTTTTATTATTTGTGAAACCCAATCGGCACAAATTTTTATGACTCTGCCTGCCCAGCCTGACTTTTTGTGGACACACCCGCGTTGCAGTATTCAATAACCAAGCGATGGATGATGCTGCACCCCCTGTCCGTACGCTGATGCAGGGTAAGGGTAGGTTTTTTTGTTTCGGCATGATTTTACATAATTCCAACACCCTGCGCTTGCCGTGTGCATGAACTTTCGCTCTGTGCAGGACATCTACTAAATAGTATATGGCTCTTTTGACGCTTTAAATTGATTCACACCGAGCACGCACATGATGTGCGTTCCCGCCCTCAGATCTTTACCGGCTGTTGGGCTTTTTTCGGTGCTGTAATAATACCCTGTAAATTATAGGATGTGAAGGAGTAGCATAATGTTTCACACATACACAAAAACTTTTGAGTAAAACTAGTAAAACAACTTAATTATATAATCTATATATATTTTCGTAACCTAAAAATATCTTTAATTATTATATTATATTAAAAATTAATACAAAAATACCTTTAACAATGCAAAAAGTTAATTCTATTAGGTTTTTCCTCTACTTTGCGTTGCGTTGCTTGATCATTTTTCAAATACACGTGTGAGTTGGTTTTTTAACACAAGTTTGAAAGGATATCCGCTAGTCCCTAACTCAGCTGCATTATTCCTGGCAGTTTTCCGTGCTGTCATGCATTTGTATTTGATTAAACATTTTTTACGCACTTCCGTTCGGGACATCATTAGTTGGCGTGTTCAACGCTTTGGTCCAGCAGCGCACCATCCCCGCCCCCACAGCCAGGCCCAACCCAACCCCGTTTGATACGCACCCCTTGCTGCGGCATTTCCTTCTCGCAGTTGCTGTTGTTGTGTGCTTAGGCGCAAGTTGCATCTGTCCACTTCCGCTATTGAAGTTTCATGCATGAAAGTGTGTGATTGTGTGTGTGTGTGTGTGTGTGCGTGTGTGTTTGTTTGGATATTTGTTTTAGCTGCTTTTAAGTGCTGCCTAGTGGAGATCGATGGCCCATGTCAATGTCCTTTAGTGGCATTTCATTACATCTGCAGCATTGTTGTTGCCGCTGCTGCTGCTGCTGCTGCTGCTGCTGCGGTTTTGTTTACCCATCAGTTGCAGTTACTTTACGAGCCATCAAAATGGTCATTGAACATGATGAGAAAATTGCCAAGACACAAACATAGTAAAACGCCTTCTTCATCATCGTGAATAGACAGAAAACCAATTCCAATTCCAGTTTTAGTTACTGTTATGGGGGTCTCGTTTCAACCCTCCATCAAAAGGAAAGCCCATTGTCAGGCATGTGCATGAGCTGGATATATGGCTGTGAGCACTTCATATAGGAAGTGTTTACTAGCGCCACAATTATAAAGTGATTACCCGCCAGTCCTTGTTGCCCTCAAGGAGGGCAGGTTTGCTTAGCAACCCATATGATATTTTATAGCTACATCAAGCACGCATTAACCTGAAATCCATAAAGTTCCAGAAATTTCTCATGTTTTCCCTTTTTATTTTATTTTTAATATTTTTCTTTCAAAAATTTACATTTTCTCAAAATAGTTTATAAAAATACAAATATTACGTATAAAAATAGGTATATATATATAATATTACTCTTTAGATATATGGTACAAAATCCAATTGGTTTTGTTATTGTAAATGCACTGTGCGCAGACAAAAACGTCGAGCACAAGTCGTTGTAAACTTTAGGCTTAACATTTTAGTATCACAAAATCTCACTTAATAGTTAGATATGCTTATCAGTGATATATTACGTATCTCTAGTATATATATATATATATATATATATATATATATGATCTATATTGTAGATTGAGCGAATTTTTCCCATTTTCGTTGTACTCTGCGGTTACAACCAATTACATTGCATTCTACAGACTAAGGAACAATAGCGCTGTGATATTGCTCGGATTTTGTTTCGATTTGCTTACAAATTAAGAGTTGACTTTTAAGTACACAACCGCGGGTTCTGTCGTTGCCTCTGGCCAAGTAAATACGCCATAGACGATTATATATACATGTTTTGTTGTCTATGGCTGAAGTTGTACTCTTTAAATACTTTTACTGGTAGTGAAACGCTGGTTCAATGTCCGTTTTGTTTTCTGTAAACTAGCCTAACCAAAAGAACTAACTAACTAAGTTAAGTAAACTAAACTAAACTAAACTAAACTGATGCTGAGTTATTGCCTCAAAACTTAGTGTTCTACAAAATGACTAGAGTTCACACTCGACTTTTATTACCAGCGCGGAAACTGGATTTCATTGCTTAGTTTAGATTTTTGGTTTTCGGTTTGGTATTGGTTTGCTTGGACTTACGACTAGTACTGCACAATTTCGCCTGAATTTCGATTTTTTCGTTTGTGAAATTTCTAAAAGAAAATTATTCAAAATAAATTTTAAAAATGGGGTTTTCCTAAAGTTAAAGTAAAACTGCATACTAAATCAAATATATTAATATGATGCCAAAAAGGTTGAATAACCTCCAGTTGACTGGAGGACCGCCTAAATTAATGACTAGAAAGTGTAGTTTGTAAGTTATGAAGAGATTGGAATACGATATTAATTTACTTCATGAATAGATAATGAAATGAATGATAATGAAGCGTAAAGTTGAAGAGGAAATTACGAAAGTGTAGGGTTATATAGAAGATTGTATATCAATGATAAACGATAGAATTTTAAGTTCTGGTAATAGATAGCAAGAGATAGAAAGAAAGTTGGAATTTAATCTAAAATCTTTGGTAAATCAAGATACTTTGGTTAGGTTTATTGCCATTTGGTAACTAAGATGTGACTAGAGTTTGCCTAAATGACTACAAATTTACTGACTAGATGAAAAGTGCCTCGGCTGGGTCTGAAAACCTTTTGGCCTGAGCATTTCCTGTGAGATCTTATTGAAGCTGACTGACTAGTGCCAATTACTTTGTTGGACTGACTACAAATAAATACTAAAACCTACTTTAAGAAAGTAAACTAAAAACTAAGATGACTAGACAGATTGCCGTCTTTGGTTCGCATGACTAAACACAACAGTGGAATGTGGATTGAAGTATAGAGTTGACTAGAATGAAACCCATTGATAAGAACTAAGTGACTAGAAACTGAGATATACAACTTTTAGTAACTAAATACGAATAGCTTAAATTCAAACAAAGTCGAATTTGGAATATAAAAACTAATTTCTTTGGTCTGTTTCAGCTGCAGTTCTCTCAAAACAAGAGACGAATTAAACACTAAAATTAACAATAGCGGACTATGAACAAATTATTCAGTTGCCAGTTGGCCCGGTTCTGCCTCGCTTTGCCCACACTTACTCAGTGCGCCATCGTCGTGTGCTGGATGACTGAGGCGCAGTTACGCAGATTTGTCAGCGCAGCAGCCGCAATGCTCTCCTCCTCAGTCAGGCCGTGCTCCACAATCTGGAGTCGACCATAACCTGCGGAGGAGGTAGAGGAGCTGCAGTCGGACATGTAATCGCCCTCATAATCATAGTGGCTGCTGCTCGCTGCTCCAGCCACATAAACGCCCTCGTCCTCGTGTGTGCCCGTGTAGGAATGCGAGCTGCTCGCCGAGCTGGAGCTATTCGATTTGTAGACCGTCGTCTGGAAGCTGCCAGTTATCGTGGTGGTTGCCTCCGGTTGTCTCTCCGGCTCAGAATCCGGCTCAGCCACCTGCGTCTGTGCCTTCTTGGCATGCGTCAGCTGATGCTTGCGCAAATAGGCAGCCCGCTTGAACTTCTTGCCGCACTCGCCGCAATCAAAGGCAAGCTCCTCGGCTGGCTTCTTGCCGGTGGCTTGTTGTTGCTGCTCCTCCTGATTGCTGGTGTTGCGATTCTCCTTTTTGGAAGTGACCGCCTCCTTCTTGGGCTTGTGCCAGCGGCGATGCGAAGCCAGATTGGCGGGGCAATTGAACTGCTTGCCACACTCGGGGCAGCGGTACTCAAGCAGCACAATGCAGGCGCAGCGATGGCGCGCCAGGCCAAAGGCATCGTCAAACTTGATGCGACACAACCGGCACACATAGTCACCAATTACATTCTTAATGGCAGCCAGTTCCGCCTTGGTTTCTTCGGTAATCTCGACGATGTTGTACTTGGGATCGATGTCGCCATTGCTGTACTGCATTGTGCCATCGGTGATGTCTTCGAGTGGCCTGATTATGGTCCCTGAAACGGGCGAGCTTGTCTCCTCGTCAAACTTTAATTTGCGCGTTGCCTTATTGCGCGTCGATTTACCACTTGAGGTGGATGCTTTAGTGGTGCGCGGCGCCGTGTCAGAGACTTTAATGGGTTTGGCGGGGGTGGCATCAACGGCTGCTACGGGACTCACATCTGATTTGGCCAATTTGGCAGCGGGCAGACATTCGCTTTGTTCGCTCAACTTGCGCTTTAGTGAAGCCACTGGAATTTCAACTACAACTGGACTTTGTGGCGGTGTTATGGCCTTCTCTGTAATGACGACCACCTCATGTGCCACCTCCTGGGTGAGCTCCACCTCCTGTGGCAGCTCATCTGTAGCTGCAGATGCCGCTTCTGTTGGTCCGCTGGGAACCTCAGCAAATGTGGTCGCCATTGGCACATCGACGCTTGGCACTGGCGACAGCGGTTTCACAGACAGATCCAATGGAATTTCACACTTGGTTTTAATGTTCAGATAACGGCTGCGATACTTGGGCGGCAGCGAGGCCACTGTGGTCAGCAGGCCGAGCCCGTGAGGCAGCCCGCCAGCCGTTGCATTGTGCAGCAGCTGGATGCTGTGTGTGTGTGGGTGGTGGCTGTGGTTGGATCCTGCCGGCTGATGGTTGGCAACACTGGCCATTGCACTGTTCCGCGTATCAACGAAATGATGATAAACTGAAACTTGAACGCGCTTTAAGAACTTGGTGGAAACGATAAACGGAAACGGGGATCGGTAAACGATGAATGGTGAACGATGAGCGGTGAATGGTGAACGATGAACGGTGAACGGCGAACGGTGAACGGTGAACGGTAAACGGGAGGAACAAAGAGTTGAAGAACTAAGCAAAACTTAACAACAAATTGAAACGTTGGCAACGTTGAGCGCTCCTTAGGCTGCTTCCTGTCGGCTCGACGTATTTGCTGCGAATGACTAACAGCATATCCTGCCGCCTCTATTTATGTGTGCCAAAGGAAAGCGAAATTAAAATCATTGTTTGTGTGTTGTGACGGCGTCGCTCTTGGAAATTTCATCCCCCAATTCGAGTCGTTGTCCTTTTAGCCCTCGCCGTTGCTGCCGCTGTCGACGCATGACGTTGGCGCTGGCAGCGACGCCGCCGCAAAGCCGGAATCTTTTGTTAGCAATCACACACATTAGTCACCCTTTTTTCCATACAGCCAGACACACACACACACACACTGAGACGGGGGGAGCAGCAGTTGGCAGTGAAAGTCCTGTGCACTGTGCCCTGCCTGCACTTGGAGAAATCATTGTGTAGCAATTCTATGTTGCAGCTGTGACTCAGGTTCCCAGTTTGCCACGCACCTCAAAAGGGCACGCGACAGGAACTGGAACACATGTTCGGGTCTGGCTTGCAAACTCTGTGATTCATGGAAATTTGGCAATGCACAAAAGATCTCAATGTGGTCTTATATCCTCTTGGATCCTTTCTGCAGATTCAGGCAAACAGCTGATATCCATGAAACCGTCAATTGTGCGTGTAACCAGAGGTAAATGTGAAATGTGCTCACAACCAGGAACTCAATAGGCCAGAATGACCTGAAGTAGATGCCACATTGTATTGCCTAGTTCTGCAGGACTCTTAAACATCTGCGGCAATCGAAAACATTTTTATGCTCAGCAGGCACTAACTATGTGAAAAAGATGTTGAAAAACTGTTAAAATCCAATTAACACGAATCAGACAATTTAATTTATTTTATATGAGCATTAAATTATGTCATCTAAATATATCATCTGTGTCTCTGTAAATCAAGTCTTGCAAATTAATTAATTTTTTCAATAAGAACTTGTTAGATTAATTAGCATAAGACTCTTTTCGAAAGTATAAAATTGATTCAAATTTTTATTAATAAAAAATATTTTACATATACATTTTTATAAATAATAATTTATGCACACACATTTTTATAAATAATAATTTATATCAATATGCCAATTTTTATAAATAATAATTTATAGTACAAAATATTGCCAATTTCGAGGGTTAAATTTCTTACTTTTATTTTGAGTTAAGTTTTATTTAAATTTTTCCAATTGTAAAGCTTATGATTATATAAAATATAATTTATAAAATTTATTTATTTTTACATTATATTTTAAATTAAAATAAACTGTATTTCAATATTATCAGAGCATAGTAAATAAGCAAAAGCTCCAAAGGACTCGCTAACATATTTTTAATTCATTGTAATGTGAAATTTCTTTGCGTGTATTTTTTGGTCTTTGGTGCATTTTCAGGTTTTCATTTGGCTATGGCTCTGGCATTGGCTCCGGCTGTGTCGACGACTTCAGCTCCTGCTCCCGCGTCGAGCTCACAACGCTCAGACGCCGCACACAGGCACAGACAGCCCTGCCATAAGCTTGTCAAGTTTGCTTTTGGTGGGGTAGGCACGTAGAACACTCTCGCACACACACACAGCTTGGTCTGCTCAGCCACCACAAAGCGATTGTCAGAGTGCTTGGAGTGTGTACGCGTGTGTGCGTGTGTGTGTGTGTGCTTTGCATTAATATAATCGAAATGCGACGCCGTTGCCGGCGCTGTCCTCATGGTTGCCATGAAAGGGAATGCACTTTCGATTCCCAGTGAAGGGCTTTTGGTCGTACCGCTCGCACCAAACACAAATATGGCATATTATGTTCAATATGACGCCATTGTTGCTGTAGCTGCTGCTGCTGCTGCTGCCGCTGCTGTTGTTGTTATTCTTGTATTACGGTAGGCACGTGCGTGGCAATAGCAACGACGCTGTCACCACCCCAATTGGGTTTAAAGTATTCCCAGAGCGACAGCGTTGCCGCTGCAGCATTTGCTTTTGTCGATCGTCGCGGGGTGGTGACCCCGTCGTAGCTCGAATCTGTGTTTGCCATGCAGCTTAGAATTAATAGCACACGCACCGAATAGGCCAGAGAGCTGAAAGCTGAGCGAAATACAATTCGGACAGAAGTGCGCCGGCCACGCGAGCAGCAGCCTCCCAGCGTCGCAAAGTCCAAAATTCCAACCCTGTTTGCAATCCCAAACCCAAATCGCTCATCAGTCAGTCAGGCTGTCAACTACAAATGCTGCGTTATTTGCAGCTAGAGTCGAACTCGCACTCGCACTCGCACTCGCACCTCGATTCGGCATATTCCTTTGACTGCTCGGATTTCTGCGCTCCAAGGCGCAAATTTGCACTCAACAACACCCAGGACGACCCGAGATGACAGCGCTCCCCCTCGCCATTAAGCCAAATATGCCGCTGGGTCGACTGGGCTACGCATTTTGTTTGTCGTTTGTTGTTTGTTGCTTGCTCATAGCTAACCCTTAAGTGCATCTTTTTATGGTAATTTCAAGTGCAGACCCAGCCCCAAAGCTGATGCGTCTGTTATCCTGCCTGCTTGGCAATAATTAATGTTCGAAAATGCATCGTTTATGTGGCATAATGCATTTGCATCTGTGTGTCTCAAAAGGCTTTTCAGCCGCCGTGTACTCTTGCTTGGGCAGCTCCTCAAGGATGCTCCACTGTAGCACATGTTGCCATTGCCGCAGGCTGAAACTCAAACTGCTCCAATCTGTAGCAGGGGCAGAGCTCGTTTGAGCTGTAATTAAATTTTTGCTTCCATAATTTGATGCAATTTTTTGTGCAGCTCGAAAAAATGAACGGAAACTGGCTGGGATTTTGTTATATACCCTGTATCTATTATATATGGGTAATGAAAGGGTCTATAAGTGCCAGGAAATTTAGTAGGCAAACAGAACAAAAGCTGAGTAGGTATAGCCGGGTTTGCCTTTCTGAATGTTTGATATTTGCATTGCAAATGATCTTGCTGGCAGCTAAATTTCAATGTTTGTCACTCCGAAATTTTAATAATGATTTATTTTGATAACTCTTTTTGAAGCCATCAGTCACAAAGTGTAACGACTGCTTACATTTTTTATTACATATTCTCGTTAATCATATAAAATATTGATCTTTTTGAGTATTTAACTATTTTCTCACCTCTTTTTGAAAGCTTGACTGGCGCATCAAATGAAATATAAAATTTGCTTTCTAGCAGATTAAACCATTTCAAAAAACCATCAGCAAAGGCTCGCAATAAATTTCAAAATCTAGAAAGTTTTCCTATAGTATATAGGCATCGAATAAGATTTGAGGATCGAACTGCAACAGCCACTAAAGCAACGGGAACTCATAATGACTTATATGAATATGTCTGTATTTGTGTACGTATTTATAATAAAGATAAATCTATACAATTCGACGGCAGCTGAGTGCTCGAATAGGGTATCTAAAAGTCAGGCAGTCTTGTCCAACTCACTGGTGCTTTCTTTTTAATTCCAGTGTAAATTCTTCTTAATTGTTTTTCAGTTGGTTTTACGTTTTTTCGAGTCCCATATGGCAGCGATTAGAGCGGCATCACAATTGGTTGCAACTCGCGTCGCACCAATTAACAATGATTTGAGTGGAGCTTGCCTTTGTCCTGGGGGATTTAGTTGGTCGAGTTTTTGCCAGCTGCTACCTGGGGCAAATATTTTTCAAAACAACCTTTTATTTTGCATGACAATTATTCAATTTGTTGATCTTTATTTCGATTTGTAACTAGAATTAAATGGCTTTACAGCTTTAATGGATTTGGTCACAACAATTTGCGGAATCTGTGTGCTAAGAGAGATTCAATTATGAAAACAAAATAGAAAAATAACAAATTTGAACCCAGTTGGAGAGATGGCAATTTGCATAAAAGTTTTCTGATCCACTTCGATTAAATCTGAGTTCGACAGCAAGTATTTAATTATGAACGACGCAGCAGTGGCATGCCAAAATTTAAGTCAGAATAGGATTATGGAATTTGCACTCTAATCCACACCGAACACAAACAAAAGCCGTATGACTAACCCCCATTTGGACGGCGCACAGCAAATTGGCCAACTGAATAGAGGAAAGCAGGAGCGGCCCATGAGCAATAATTGTATACTAGATGAGCTCTATGCCTATTTATACATTGAATTGTGTGTGAGTCAAGGCAAAGCGCGTATGCGAGCACATGCATTCATTCATTTATGCGCCGCAGGACACTCGCACACATACACACAAATATCTGCGTTATAACTCGTCAAAGCGTTTTGCATGAGCGCGCAAAATGCGAAAAGGAAAAGCGGCGCAAAGAAAAAGGAAAACAATCACAATTCAGTTGGGTGTCGAAGTGCTTCAGGCACGCGACCATCAACCAACGTTGCTTTATTGTTGTTATTGTTGTTGTTGTTGTTGTTGTTGGTAATGTCCTTGCTGTGCACAGTCGCAGTCGCATAGTTGCTGGTGCATAGCGTCAATGCTACAAAGGGTCATTTTCCACATAGGCACACACGTTGGCATGTGCGCCGTGGAAATCACAATGCAAGGCACTGCAAGCAGGGCTACAACCACCCAGGCGTACATACAAACACACGCACAAAAGTCGAACGGAATCGAAGCCCGAAAAAATGTGGCCAGGTGCATTTGCAAACACTAACCAAAATGTCGTAGGGTGCACTCGAGCCAAACCAAACGCAAGCCGTAAGCCAACGAAGGACATTAACCAAGGGGGTTGGGGCAGAACAACGCAGTCGAGCCCCTGTTAGAGAACTGAATATAAACCAGAGCTCTAGCGTAGCGCGATTCCGATTCAGCGTTCGCGGTAACGCTCGATTCTGAGGCTGTTGCTGATTTCGAAAGTGCTTTAAAAATGTTTTAGGGCGCCTTGCGCTCTTTAGGGGTGGCTTGAACTGCAGCCGCATATATTCCAGACTCGTATATCCGCATGTCAGTCACAGTGCACACTGGGCTGGAGGGTTCGAACTGGGGTTGAGGTATTGCAGGGATCATATATATATATATTTATAAAAAATATATTTCATTTTTACCCCGCACCATTGTCTACAATATAAAATTCCAATTGGACGCGTACACAGCAAAAAAGGGGCGAACCTTTTTTCATTTTTATTGCATTGTTATGCGCTTGCAGGAGGTATTACAATTTGGTTACCAAATGTGTAACACACAAAGAAACCCAGTTCCGATTATATACAGGCGATATTTTAATCAGCTTCAGCAGCTGAGATCTTCTAATCGAGGGTCTCTGTCAATTTTAATCTTTAATTAAAAATATTTTAATTAAAAATATTTAGTCTTCAATTAAAAATAGTCTTTTATTAAAAATTGTCTTCAATTAAAAATAGTATTTAACTAAAAATAGTCTTCAATTAAAAATAGTCTTAAATTAAAAACAGTCCTTAATTAAAAGTAGTCTTTTATTAAAAATTGTCTTCAATTAAAAATTGTCATCAATTAAAAATAGTCTTTATTTAAGAATAGTCTTCAATTAAAAATAGTCTGTATTTAAAAATAGTCTACAATTAAAAATAGTCTTAAATTAAAAATAGTGTTAAACTAAAAATAGTCTTCAATTAAAAATAGTCTTTAATTGAAAATAGTCTAGTATTCGCGTAACAGTTGCATTTGTCAGATGGGAACATTATATCATATACTTGATACAGAGATCTAGCAACTTTAATCGGACTAATCTATCAATATAATACATTAATTAAGTTGTTGAATGGTATAGTATAGTTCTATAGTAGACTATAATAGTATAATAAGGTAGTATTCTCTAGTCTTATTGTACAATGTTGTCTATTATAGTAGAGTATAGTATAGTATATATAATATATAGTATAATATAGTCTAGAACAGTACAGTGAAGCAATATAATATAATTGTAGTATAGCTATAATTATAGCCCTATAGAATTGAAATGCCTCAAAGTCATATATTTTAAGAGTATAGAATATTCGTCAGACTAAGTCAGCTTGCTTGTTTTGTTTAAATATTATGGCTGAGCCGCCACTGCCTAGCAGGCAAAGATCCTGTGCAAGATTTGCTTTCGACGTTGACAGAAGCATCGGCATTAAGGCAAGCGGCGGCGTCAACGTTGACGTCGCTGCTGTGTGAAAATTGCACAAGTTGCGCTTCTGCTTTTGACAATAGCCTCACATTAACTAGTTTCCGCTGCAATTCCAATTCCGTAACCACCGTCGCCGACATTGCCGCCGTCGCCGCCGTCGCCGCCGTCGCCGCCACCGGCTCATCGCGACACGGCCGCCACTTTTAATGAGTAACTGTATACTAGAGCTGGGAACTGGCAACTGGAAACTGGCAACTGGGAAGTGACAACGGCCAACTGTGAACTTCATTACAAAAGCACCCCATTTGCGTTGGCCTGTGCTGCTGTGCCGTTTCCTGTTTGGTTTGTTTCAATTAAATCGCATGTGCGACCCACAAGCAGTGCCAGGACACAGGCAGGACATTGCTTGGCACATGGCTCATCTGTTACTTAATCATGGCATTGCCATGGATACCTCGCCGCTGTTGAGGGTGTGCACACACTCACACGCTAATTCCGCTGTCTATTTATGCAGTTGCAAGGATGTGCTTGCTAGATGACCCCTTAGTTACATCATTGAGGAGATGCTCCTTTGGAACTGAATTTTAAAGCTAAAAAATAGCTGCACAAAGATAGCACAACTGCCATTCATTATACAGAAGAACAGGCCAGAGGCAAGTGCTTATAAACTCCAGAAAAGGAAAACGATTTCATAACTAATTTTTGAATAAAAGGCGACGCCAATTGGGCTCAATCTGTGTGCTCTTCGAAGTCTAAGAATACTTTTTTAATTAACTTCGGCAGTTGTTATCGGGTCATATCATAATTTTGAATTCAATTTTTGCTCACATATATTAATATTTATTTAAAATAAAATAAAATATCGCACTGTATATATATAGATTATGCAGAATTACTGATAGGTAATTATTAGCAAATTGCTTGCCCGCTCGCTCCTTATGCTTATGGTTTAATAGAATCCGTAATTGTAGTCATATTCATAGTTATTGGGAAGTGTTTCGTTGCTCCAGCCCAATTGGTAGCGTACAAATGAGTCCAAGCCATTGACATCAACTCCCAAATTCCGCAAACGGCTAGCAAATGCGGTTGCCTGGGATGTGGCCAAGAAGCGTTCGTAGACCGGCTTGAGGGCCACCACACGCTGCCAGAACTGACCAAAGACGGCGCTCTGCTGGGCACTTGTCTCGAGGAGCTTGCGAATTGATGCCAGTGGATAGATGTAGTCGAATTCCTGTTCGAAGCCGGCTATGCCATTCACTGACTGCGCCCAATGGGGGTATTTGTTGAGCACCTTGATCTCCAGCTCCAGATCGTCGAACACTTTGAGTGACCCGCCTGACAGGATCAGCTGCTGGGACAGCCATTGGAGGAATTGACGCAGCTCCGGCTGATTGAGTAGCTGCAGCCGCAGGCGATATGTGGCCAGAGAATTGATCTCCCGCACGACTGCTTGAAATTCTGCATCGTTCAGCAGATAGGCCTGAACGAGGTGCTCGATCTGCTTATGAGGCACATTGCGCAATACGCTCCTTAGCTCTAAATAGAAATTGCTCGGAGGTACAGCGGGACTAGCAGGTGCTGCTGGTGCTGCTGGTGCTAGTGCGATTGCCGATAGTCCTGTGCCCAGGCTACAGAGCGTAATTAGAGCTATTGTACCCCAATGCATCCTACTATACGTGCGATTACTTTATGCTGTCTACGGCAGACTGAAGGGCTTTATATAGGTAGACGCTTATCTGTTGAATTTAAAGTCTTGTTTTGATTTGGCTGCAAGTGCATATTTGTTGTAAGAAACTTGATTTACATGACTCCCTTATCAGACTTTTATCAGCCTCAAGCGTTTGTTTTGCCAAAGCTTCGGACTACATGAATGTAGTTGGAATAGACAAAGTCTATTTGTCTGTCATCCCGTGCCAAGATAAACGAATTTACTGGCTTAGTCATCTGCTATAAGCAGGTGTGCGCTGTTCATGTTGCCACCCAAAGCAAAACAATCCGGATTCGAGCGAAATCAAGAGTGTGAAGTGAAGCGTCTTTCAGTTAGTTCTTCCATTGATAACTTCTTTTCACAGCTGCAGAGCTTCGAAGTACTTTGCCAGGAAATGTGTAACAAGTCAAGAACATCTATGCAATTTATTTCTGTGCCCAAGGGGCTAAATAATAAAAGCCGTAAATAATTAGCCAGACATGAGACTACGTAGAGATTGTTATGAAGGCAAGTAAATATCTTTTCTATTATAGCAAAGTACAGTAAAGTAAAGTAAAATCTTCGAACGGAGATGTCAGTAGTCACACGAATATTTCTAATTTTCTAACCTTTTTGAAAGATATTTTCAATTTTTAATTTGAAAATTGTAAGCCCAATATTTCAGGTACACAAATTTGGCAGCTTTCATGCGGTCGCACCTCTGGAGCAATACTCATTAGTTCCAGTCGAAGGGAGTTGTCGGTAAAGAGTTCATTGCGCTCGCCTATTTAAAATCTAGCAAGCGAGCAATTCGGGGCGAGCCCATTGCATTCTGCTAGTAACCACAGCGCCCCGCCCCGCCCACCGTTCACTAACAGATGGATAAATAAGTAGGGAACTGGAAACGGGGTGTTTCAATGGGAGTTGCAACTGCAACAGTAACAACTCGAATGGTCAGATTTTCGGCATCTGAATTTGAACGAGAAAATATTGGATTTCATGCAATTTATGTGCATAAAATAACAACAACTAAATAACTGAGAGCTGTTCTAAATTGTATAGCACACACACACAGAGAGAGTCACGCACTAGCATACATATGCATAGGCGAGAAGCCACCCCAAATGTTGTTTTGGGCCGACTCACAGGGGGTTGATTTTCGGACTCCCAGGCAATAGCATAAGCATTTTTCGGCCAAGGGCGATCGCAGCCCTAAAATGCCAAAGGGGCAGCAGCAACCAGCGGCAGCTGCAATACTCACACACACATGCAGTGCTTGGATAAATCATGTGTAAAGGTATTTTGATTTTTTACCTCGATGCGATAAGCGAATTGCAGCAGCTGGCCATGCGGGCAGCACAGCTTCAGATGGAAAATCGACACCGAGAATTTTAAAAATCAAAAATTACATAACGAACGAATGTAATGAAAGGAGAAAATATATATCTGTTGCCATGCACACTAGCAGGAAAACAAGCAACTACAAATTTTTAATTGATTTGGCATGCTTCAATTTAACGCTTGGCTGCCACTTCCTTTGCAGCGCGAGTCCTTTTTGCATATGTGCACGTGTCCCGTAATTGCCTGTTTTTAGTTTATTGTAATTTTCAATATTTTGTGTATAAAAACAGAGAAAGGAAAAGGAAAATGCAGTCCCCGCTCTGACAATCGCTTCCGCTTTACGACACGCCAATGACTCACAGGACACGGAACTTCTGATAGCTTTTACAGAAATTTAAACGACGGAACTGCGAGGCGGCGACGTTGACGGCAGACAGACGACGACGCAATATACGTCAGCGCCTCGCCTTGTCAGCGCAAGTCCTGAACCAGCTACAGGTACATATGCCGCGGCTTCAGCCAGAGTCTCAGTCACAGTCTTAAGCGCATTCCCAGTTGGAGTAGCTGCCTTGGCACACGTCATAGCTGAAAGAAACCCTCGGCTGTCTTGGTCGCTTTTTGTTTAGGGGTTGCTAGTTGCAAAGCAGTGGAAATCCTTATAAGAAACATTCCGAAGGAAGCGAAGCAACACGTTCAAGACATTGTTGAGTCACCGCAGCCCCTTTCTGCGGCGGCATTTATGTGCTTCACTGCCGACCCTTCTCAGTTTCAGTTTCAGTTTCTGTTTCTGTTTCGGAGCCGCCTTTCTTATCGGAACTGCAAGGTGCCCGCCTTTGTGAGGTGCTGGGTTTGCCCTTTTGGGTTTTCATTCAACTCTCGTCACTTAATTGAGTTGCGGCGCCGCAAGAAAAAAAATAATAAAAAGGAATAGGGAAAACGAAAAAGGGGCAATTCCTTTGGCTGGAAAGTGCCAATTGTAGGTTTCACTTTAGGCAGCTACAAATTGAAATGCCCACTGAAAGTCCCTGGCGCTGGCTTTTTATTCATGTGCCTTTTGCTCTGCCATTGTCTTCGGCGTCTTCACCTTGAGTGTAGTTCCTTTTTATGCTTGCTCTGCACCAGGGAAGCCATTAAATTGATTATAAAAAGTCTTCGAAATGTGTAAACACAATGTCAGACAGCGTGTCGCCGGAGCCAGAGCTCGAGCTAGAGCCTTGAGCATGGACTCTTTCTCTCTCTCGCTCTATGTCGCCGTCTCTGTCTGTCAGCTTAGGAATGCTACTAATTACATGGGCGTTGCGGAGCCTGCCGAGGAGGGACTCGTATACGGATTGTGACTTGGGTCTTAAGCAGCGAATGATTCCAACAATGAGCGCAGTAAGCGACAACTTAAGGGTTTATCAATGACAATAACGGAAATAGTAAGGGCTAAAGTGGAGGGCGTGCCGAGCTCCTTGAAGAAGGACGACAGTTGACTTTTGGAATGGGAGGTCCTTGCCACAAATTTGTAGCTGCAAGCCGAAAGGTGGCAATTACTGAGTTAGCTTTAAGGATACTTTAAGAGAATGATTATAGATGGTCGAAATGATGTTTATTACTATTTAAGGATGCAATAGTTAATCGGTACAAGTACGTAAATAGTGCTAATAGTAATGTTAATCTAATACTAATAATGTTAATCTCCGTACGTATTACTCAATTAAATATGTTATGCTGCAATAATGAACTTTTCAAACAGTTGTTAGACACTCGCATCCTTATCTTCCCGCAGCTATTGCTCAACTCTTATCGCATAAGCTGGTGGCGCGGCATTTCAATTGGTGCCTCGTGGCATGCCGCTGATAACCATCCGTCCAATGTAGAAATCTGTCATGCTGTTGGGTTCATGTCTAGGACCAATTCCAGGTACATAGTCATTTGCATGTTCACGGCTTGTTGGGCAACACACGTGTTCGATTCTACACGGACTTGGACTTATTTGCATGAGACGGGGAAGCGAGTAGATAAAGCTCGGTGCCAACTGTTCCAATCAACGAAGTTCTATGTAAAAACATGTTATATATTTATTTATTTATGCAAATATGGAAATTAAGCTAACAAACTGCGTGGCGGGCGCTGCGCAAGCGCAAGCATAACAACAGGCAGAACCAAAGCTGAAGCCATAGCCATAGCCATATGCACTAGCATTGTAAGGGGCGCAAGGCACGATCCAGGACACGTTCCATGGGCAACCCTCAGTTAGATAACGACACACACACACATATATACATACAGTCAGCTCGTAAATGTGTTACACATTTTACATAACATTTGCGGCTCGACTGCATTTCGTTTTTGTCTGTGTGGCAGCTGCCGGCGCTGGCTTTGCCAAAAACGTGTTTATCCTTATCCAAGGCGCGGTCCATATTCGAGCCTGGGCGAGCCGAGACTCGCGTGCCACCAGCCCCTTACTGTCCCACCCCATTCCGCCATATCAAAGCGTTGTGCTGCAGTTTCAGCTCATTTCGATGCTCATAAATAACAACAATGGCGACGCGGATGCAACAAAAACACGAATAATAAAAGCAACTGAGATCCCCAGGTATTTTTCACGTGTTTGGCACGTTTCACTCGATTTTCCGGTTCTCGATTCCCATTCGGCATTTCTGCCTCTGCTCTCTAATCCTTAGAGGCGGATGGCGAACGGCGAACGGCGCACGCGGCACGCGTCCGTCCTCTTTGTGATAAATTGGGCTTTAAAGCAGGGGTCTACAGCCGAATCCACCCGACTCCATTGACAAATGGGCAAAGCTGTGCCAATGGACAGCTCAACTTTTAGGTTTCCGCCTCCCTCTCTCACGTCTTGCGTCCCTCACTACAGTCTCCACATGGCAACATGCAATTGTTTGCTACATTGTCAAATAAATCTTAGTTCCGGCTCTGAGTCTCTTGTTTTATTTACAAAGTCGGCCAATTACATTAAGTTCACTGATACGCCTATATCATTTATCAAAGTCTGCAGATACACAGTGTTTATTGTTTGATATTACTTATATGAAGTTGACAATAAATAAATATTTATATACTCCGGCCCACACTACATTTATATTTATATATATACGAATCTGTATACCTCTGTATTTACAGATGCTACAGATATCTAGCCTATGCTGTATACATTTGCATACATACATACATTGATTGCATACTTATATAATAATTATTTACATTCATACACACATAGATATATATATCAACATACATACACACATATATACATATAGCAAAGCGGTATGTACTTAATGATATATTAATTCTTATTTAAAAATACGAGTATGATTCTACAAATATATAAATGCATATGTACATACATAGCTACAGACTTGTTTATTATTATAAATGCATTCATACATATCTAATTACATTTTTATATGCATAGCTGTGTTTAGTAACTCTGATCTGTGAATATATAAAATATAGATATATAATATCGGTGTAAATGTTTTCATCCGACCTTGACCAGACCAAGTTCTTATACTCGCTCACAAAATTGAGAGGGTATATTCTTTTTGTGCAGTGCTCGTCTAACAAAGACCCAATGCTTAGCAGTTACGTTACTACAGATCCAATCTTGATATTGCCCAATTGTCAAGCGAAAATAACCATAAGGAATCAGCTCATCTATTGATAGAGCTTTCAGCTGTATGGTTAGGCAGTTTCTCCTGTGAACGAGTAGCGTGCAGTCGTGCGCATTCGACTGCAACATTCTTACTTCTAATATTTGCAGCATGCAATTACTTAATCATACTTTAAAGTATTGATATGCATACAAATTCCTAACTCAACTATGGATGCTAGTTCTCAGTCGAGTGGCGTAGTCTTGTCAGAGATTTGTTGATTCCAGAAGTCGATCTTTTCCTCCATCTGCTTATAGGTTAGGCGCGCTGGCAGAACACTCAGCTTTTCTGGCAGCCCATGGACTCGAAGATGATACAGGAAGAACTCATACCTATCGTACTCATGCATTTTGGTATAATGGAAGCTAATGGCCGAATCGGAGCAGCAATCGCTCAACTGTAAAAAGGAACTTACAGTAATAATTCAATCTAATCTGCGAGGACAGCTTACATTGGGCTTGAAGTAAGAGTAGGTATCCAGCCAAGTGCCCTTTTGTATTTGGGGCATCAAGTGCCTGGGATGAAGTGGCAGAAATCTCTCACGTCCTCGCTCGTCCCTGGAATCGCCAGCTGCCACGCCCACATTCAGCAGGCAATAACCAATTTGCCTATCCTCTGCATTGGTATTTAGTGGACAGAATTTGGTATTGTTCAGAGCGAACAGGTTTAATCGACGCAATGCATCGCGACTCAGCACATAGCCAGCACCGCCCGACATATAGCCATGCGGATAAGAAGTGCGAAATCGATGCCCGAAGAAGACAGGTGCCTCCGGGTCGAAGGGATAGAGAAAGAGTCGCAGATTCTCCATTACCACATAGCTGACAGCAAGAAATACAGTGGAGTGAGAGCAATCAAGTGCCGTAGGTTATGTGCCACTTACGTGTCGTCATCCGCCTTGAGAAACCAGTCATAATCCTCCACGTGATGCTCATAAGCATAGGCAAAGCCCGCGCGCATCTTGGCGTACAGATTGTCGCGACTTTCCGACACATTAAGATTCACAGCGCCCAACACGTCGTCATCTTGGCTGCTCATAAAGATCAGCTTGTTGCAGCGTGCGCCCCATGTGGACATGACCTTTGCCGCCTTCGTCTTGTGGTGAGCTGGCATGGTCAGCACCAGGCACAGCACACGTGTCTCATGATAAAGCCAGTCCGCCAGCGATGCTCTCGCTAGGGCCGTGTGTATGGGCGCGGCTGTGTCAGCCGCAATAGCTGTGCTCTCATATTCCTCACCCGTAAGCGTCCAATAGTCCCACAGCTCGGTCAGCTGCATGCCCACAATGAGGCCCAGCGCCAGACACAGCACATTCCGAAACATGGCGTCCGACCAGCCCGCACATTTGCCAAAACTTTCAACTGAAGGCCTTACGAAATCTTCATCAGTGAGCGAAGTGCCTCTGCCTTCAGGTGCCTCGCGACTGTTTGTTCAGCTCGAAAATGGTCTCCAGATAAGTGAGTCTTGCACAGCCGTGGGCTAAAAACGAGTTTTGATTTGTTTTGGCTTGTGAATCGCATAACAAATGAAGTACAACGCTCCAAAGACGTTCTCCAATTGAGTTTAACAAATTATTCTTTGCTCGATTCCCGTTCCAGCTCCAAGAATACAGCAAATGTCATAATGTTCCTATTGCGAAACATTCAGCAATTTGCAAGTGTGACAAATATCTATAGAAACTTAAATTACGAAAACTAAGTATGTTGAACATCGAATACTCTTTCAGTTGTCTGCTTGATGGGCGTAAACTCTAAATCTAAGATCTATGAATTGAAAGAAGACAATGTTTTTCATATAGTATAGGAACATAATATTCTAGCAGTCGGGAAAGCAAGTAAAACAGTGCAATGACAACTTTAGTTAAGAATCGAATTAATTTTTATCAGCTTTATGTATAGACCCATAGCTCTTAGCTATCCCATATAATCTAGCGTATATAGCTTAGGCAAGTCCATTTTGTTCATATGCTTGGCAATCATTTCATTCAGTCATATTCATGATTTGGAAAGAGTATTCAAGTTTCGGGTAGTCAACAAAACACTGCAAATCGCTGACTTATTTGGAGAACCGGTTTTGAGCGTCTTCGTATCGTGTTGCTTTTGACCTACACAGCTGAATCTATCAACCGACTCTCTTAGTTCGTCTCCTTTCACTTTCCGTCCGCCGTCGACCTTTAGAGCCCTCAATATATATATAAAACACAAATTATTTTGGTAATGGTATTATTTATTTTATCGCTAGTTTAATTTTCATTTTAGTGTCGCTTGATGTATCATATTACAATTTATATAGGTATGTTTAATCTTTAATTAGTACAACTTTATCAATTCGTTTGTTTCTGTTTACACTAAATGTGGGCTAATATTATTACGAGTTGTTTGAATTGTCGTTCAATATTTATTAAATTTGTTTTGTAAAACGTCAAGTATTCATTCCTGTTTGTTTTGCTTGTTGCCATTTGCAATATGTATATTAAAATTGCTTCTCTTTCTGCGTTTCTCGCTTTTGACTTTCTCTTTCTTATTAGAAAATGATTACAAAACATTTAACCTTAACTTTAACTTTAGGTTTGTTTGCTCTTGTATACTTTTATAATTGTTTAATTCTTACTTAAAGTTTTTATTAATTATTTCATGTATATCTTATCTGTTTATCGTATTTTCGATTATACGTTTAGTAAGTGCACTTGCCAATTTTCGTTTATTTTATTTTCATTCCTTCTAGGGTCACAACAATTATCTCAAACAAACTGGAGAACAGAGAAAGGTAAACAAAAATTGTCAGGCAATGTTTCAACACAATGATTTTTATGATCTTTTGACTTAAACAGATATGAATTTGTATTTAGTTAGTTACACAGCCTTAGAAACTACTTAAATATAAAACATATTTGAGGGCTATCAAAATTGATGCAGCGCCAAAAGCAATATTAAATGAGAAGGAAACAAATTTAAATAAACAAACAAGTTAAAAAATTTGAAAAAATAACGTTCATAATTTGAAAAAAAAATTTTTTAAATAAAAAAATTACATTTTTGTGGGGCCTGGCTTGCGGAGTATTAATTAATATAAAACAAAAAATAAAACAAATTTTTCACAAAAATATATATATATATTACGTCTTTAGTTTCGGTAGCTTTTTTGTATATATATAGATATATATATGCGATGTATGTTGAACATATTAATTTCGCTTGAAAAAATATAATATGTTTATGTATGTTACTTATACAAAAGTGAAAATTCATCGTAATTTCCCTCAGCTTTGTAGTTATTCTTTCCGTTTTAGTATAAATTTAATTTATATATATTTATGTGTAAATGTTATGTATAATTTTGTTTACGTTTCATATGTTGTTAGCTTGGCTTTAAACTACAAGTCCTAATATTATTGTTTTTGCTTTTGTTTATCGTTACTTCACTAAGCTTTTTAGTTTTTTTTTTTTGCTTTCAATAGATTTTAGTTTTTAGTTGCATTACTTCTTTTATTATAATTCCACGTAGTTTTAGGAACCTATTTGTAACTAGCAAAGCACAGACGCTGTAAAATTTCTATAGAAAAAAATGTTACTATAATTTGGCTTACAAATAATTAATATATGTGTAACATCAAAATATATATATAGTACAAATATATATATATATATATATATATATAAAAAAAAAATATATATATATATATATATATATATATATATATATATATATATATATATTTATATGTATTGTATTACATCTATTCCTTAATCTTTCAAGAATTCTTGCTGTTTTTACAATGGCATTGCGCTGATATTTACTTAAGTTTCGAGAAGTTCTAAAGATAGTTTTCACGCCACATGCAGAACTCTAATTTTCTTCATTCAAAATTTAAAAAAAAATAATGCAGTTTATAAACAATTTGCTTAAAAAAAGACTTTGTAACTTGCAACTATAAACTTCATTATTTTAAGATGAATGTTCCAACAATTGTAATTCAGCGCATTTGCATTAGTTTTATATAGATTTTTCTTGTAATATATGTGTACATCGATTATTAAATATAAAACCTATTTCAACAAAAGATTGTATCTAATTGTAAATAATTTTAACAATATTCCTTTGATAAGTCACTGACTACACAAGTATCAAAAAATTATTGTTTATGGATATTAAATTTGCAATATTTTTTTTTCTGTAATTTTATCGAATTTTAACATTGGCACGTTATTTATAGTAAATGTAAATATAGTATATGAATTAGTAAATAAAATATGCATCTTTATGTATATGCCAATTATGTTATATTAACTCCATACGCAACTAGAAATCTTGATTGGTTGTAATTGTGAACGAAACATAAAACAATTTCTTAAGAAAATATAATATTTTTATATAATGTATGAGCCAATTTCACGATTTATCGCAACAGATACTAAAATATCATAATGGGTGCAAACAGTTTTCATAAAAGTATGGTATAATATATATATATGTAGTTTAAAATGAATGGGGCATCTAACTAAGCAACAAACTATATTAATTATAAAAATAATCGCCTAATTTTAATTTTTATATTTCTTTTTTGTTTTTATATTCACTTATTTCAACTTACACACAATATAATGCTATGTATTCATGTATTTTCATGTCTTGTATTGTATACAAAAGATGTTTTTTTTAGTTTTAAAGCATATTCAAAGCATTTTAATATAGATTATTGTTTTTAACTTGATGCACGGCTGATTGTTTTCTCTGTCGCCTAAATGCATGCTGCATGCTACAAACAATTACTGCAAGTAAATTCTACAATTTATTTTATATATAATATTTCATATCATATATGTATACTACGTATCTATGTACATATAGAGCTCTAAATGTTTGTCATATTGAAGAGGTCTACAACTATATATTATGCACGATTCTGTTTTTTGTGCCATTTAGATAGGATTGAGGGGCACACAGGATTTACAGATATTGGCTGGTTCGAATATAAGAAACTTACTACAAAGTTTATATGTATATAATTTGCTCGCTGTTTAGTTTAGCCATCCCAAGCGCTAAGTTTTGTACAAAGATTTCGTTACAACGACTTGTGGTTGGTTTGTTTTGCTTTGTTGCACAACTAAACTGTTATCAACTTAGGATTACGGCTAAAGCTTACCCACTAAGAGTTTTGTTTATTTATTAAACTTAGACTATACACACACGCATTCACCACACAAATACAACTACCATTCACACATACATGCGCTTTGGACTTTGGGCTTAAATATAGGCATTTAAATATAATAACCGTTCAATTATTTGTATATGCATAAAAAACCAAAACTCTGGCAAGCCCTTAGACCGAGATACCATTACTTTGACAACTTAGTTTCATTTATTATTCGCTGAGCTTGCAGCTGCTGTGGTGGACGCGGGACTGGCCGAAGAATGGGCATGAGCATGGATATTGTTGGCGCCTACTGTGTTGCCAGCACCGCCGCCATTGCTAGCCTGCATCTGTGGTAGGGTATCGAAACGGCGATAGTAGAGTAGATAAGGCACACGCGGCGTGTGCGGCTGTAGCACTTGCTTCTCGCCGATCGGCTTCACTGAACTGTCATCGTAACGCAGCCAATTGTTATAGCCGGTATGAAACACGTCCGTTATATAATGGCCTTTCGAGGCCTCTTTGCCGTCGTGATAGACCACCGCAAACAATCGATAGGTGCGCTGCTTCTGCGACGTCTTTTTCGAGCCAAGTATCTCTGCGAAAAAAAAACCACTTTAGTCTATCTCTTTGAGGTTTGATATATTAACTTACTGGCATCAATTTTGAGCTCCACAGGGAACTCAACCTTTTTCAGTATTTTTGTGCAGCCATCGGATCTATAGTCAAAATATTTTAAATGCAATATCAAAACGATAGGCAACTTTTCCACCGTCATTTGCTGCCAGGCAACCACCTCTTGTTTGCTCTTGCTGCCAGTAACGCCCTCTAGCTGATCACGACCAACAAGTATCTCCAGAGCCTCCTTCACCGATGCAGCTTTCTGCAATAATCATAATTAATAAACATGTTCTTAATAGGCTGTTGAATAGTCTCACTTACTTCAATATTCAATTGCAGCGTAAAGAAGGGCTGTATAACATCAGTGGAGTGTTCACCTTCACGCTGCAGACGCGAACGTAATTCACCGCGGAAGATATCACTAAGCGGAGTGCGTCCGAAGTCAGTTTGTCGCGTAATGCTGCCCTTATTGCGATTGTTGCAGATCATCTAGGAAAAATGAATTCAATAATAGTATAAATATATAAAAACACGTCGATGTTATTTAATTTCTAAGAATCAGTGAGCTAATATTTACCTGCCAATCGTCGCCTCCATCCTCGATCTCCATTTCTTGCTCCACGCCATTTTGTTGGGCATTTGGCTTGGCAATAAGCTTGATAATCTATTTAAATACAACATTCTTAGTTTACATCCATTTATATGACGAATAATGAATCCTTACCTCGAGCATCTCATCGTTCAGTTTGTTGAGAACATAGCCCAAGAACTCTTCAGCATCTTCCTGCCTGCCCTCTACGTGCTCTTCGCGACTGTCGTTCCACAGTTTATATATTTCAGTGGGCTCAAATGCCAAATCGCACTGCAGATCAACGCCGGCAAATTCATCCTTGCCCTTGATCTGAACAGCTTTGTTGTTCACACGCAAGCGAGTGCCGCTTGGTAGCGACGAAAAGTTGCTCATATACGACATCCTGTGATAAACGATAAAAGAATGTAATTTAGAAAAGGTCTACAGTGCTAGAAACCTAGAAAACTGATATAAATGTGCGTGCAAGTAGTGCTCATGATGGCATCAAAGGGCCAATCATGCGTATACACAATGCACTTGCGTCGATCTCGACGTTAAGCGAAGATAACATCCAAAACGGAGGAAACCTGCGCGTGCCAGAGATACTGACGCCAATTGCTATGCCATAGACGTAACACAAACACCAGCTGATTTTGGCGCCGAGGCGTCTGTTGACTTGCCTATGGCATCGTATTGGGTGGCAACTGGGTCACATTGGGTCATTCGCTACTTACATGGCATTCACAGTGGGTGTCTTGACCTCGCTCATAACCGCTGCCTGCTTGGGTATGGAACGCAGAAGATTGTAGAAGGGCGAACAGCCAAGCAACGCCTGCAGTATGGAGTTGATATAGCAATAGTTAGAACGATTAGTGAGACCGCGTGGCCGCAGGCTGATAGGCGCCAGGTTGGTTTTGTAACGTATCAAAAAGTCAGCATATTTGTTGGTCCATTCATCGAGCTGAGCAGCACGCAATGGCTCCGCTTTCAGCGGTTTCACAGCTGCTGAGGCGGGTGCTACTACAGAGGCCGGCACTGCCTGGGCCGAGGCCGCTGAATAGGAAAGTGCGCCAGGTGTGATAAGCGGACCAGTTGGCGCTGGCACCGGCGTTGGTGATTGTAACTGATGATGAACGTTTGGCAGGTTCTGTGTTGGGGACGTAAATGTCAATTGCTGTTGTGTTTGTTGCGCAGACAATTGCTGTGGCTGTGACTGTGGTGGCCCCAATTGTATCTGCGACGACTGCTGCTGCTGTTGTTGTTGTTGCTGTTGCTGTTGCTGGTGTTGTTGCTGCTGCTGTTGTTGAGACTTGTTGCCATCATAGGGAGCCACTTTGGCCACAGGCTTTTTGCTTGAAAACAAACTAGCCCAAGACGGTTGTCCGCTGTCTGCGCTGCTGCTGCTCTGAGAGGCAGGCGGTGCTGGCGGCGCCAAATTCAGCGCCGGCTGTACAGCTACAGGAGCTGCTGCTGCACTGAAGGATGCATCTGGGTTCAAGTTTTGGCTACTGTTTCTGGTTTTGGCTCCATAGGTTAGATGGGCTTTGGCACCTGCAGCATGTTGGCTATGGCCATGTTGTTGTTGCTGCTGTTGCTGTTGCTGGGGCAGCACTGTTGCATTGTTTGTGCTATTGGACTGACTTTCAGTGGACGTCTGTTGTTGAAACTGATGCGGCGTTGCAGTTATGCTAGCCGTTGAGGTAGTTGCTGTTGTTGTTGAATTGCTGTTGCTCAGTTGTTGCTGCTGCTGCTGCTGCTGCTGCTGGCCACTAAGCTTGCGTTCCAACGGTGGCGCAGAGTTGGCAACAGGTGATGAGGGCACCTTCATCGTACCATATGTGCGCATCTGTGGCTGATTGTTGCTGCTAGAATTGCTGTTATTGTTGCCATTGTTATAGTTGGCTTGATAGTGCTGCTGCTGGTAATGTTGCTGGTTAGTGTAGGTCTTGGTGGGATGAGTGAAGATACCGCCGCTAGCGGTGCTAGGCTGCTTACTAAAGCCTGCGCCGCCACTTGGCGGTGCAGTCGCCGCACTCGTAGCAGCAGTCGCAGCTGCAGAAACAGTTGCACCGTTGTTTACAGTATTAGGAGAGGCAGTAACCGCCACCGACTGCGTTGACTTCTTGTGTTGGGCGGAGTTTGTCCACGACATTGATTTGGTGGTTTGTATAGCAGTGTCGCTGCTTCCCTGATGATGGTGATGATTTTGCTGTTGTTGATGGTTGTACTCGGAGGAGTATTTGCGACGCACTTGTTGCTGCGAGCTGTTATTGTATTGCTGTTGAGGTGGCTTACGCTGCTGCTGCTGCTGTTGATGTTGCTGCTGCTGCTGCTGATGTGTTGGCTGTTGATGATGGGTATGCTGATGTTGTCCATGCTGTGGGTGTCCATGTTGCTCATTCACTACTGGCGTGTGTGGAGGCTGTGTTTGTTGTTGTTGCTGTTGTTGCTGAGGCACAACTGGCGAAGTTTGTTGCTGTTGATGTTGCTGTGGTGGCACTGCAGCTTGCTGTTGCTGCTGCTGGTGCTGGTGCTGTTGCTGTTGCTGCTGCTGGTGTTGTTTCTGCTGCTGCGGCGCAACGGTGGCAATAGATACAACCAGGTTGGCTGCCTGTTGCTGCTTATCGACTTTTTGCTGTTGGTAGTCCAGCTCAAGTTTCTGCGGCTTCTCGTTGTTGCCAATTTGCGTCTCATCTAGAGCCACCTCGTTGCTGCTCTTGTTGTTGTTATTGTTGTTGTTGTTGTTGTTAGTAAGCAACGTTTTGTTAACTGTAACAGAGAATTTCCATTAATGAGTAACTTTTCCCACAATTTTAATTAAAAATATAGTCTTACAAACAAAAGACCCCACAATTCATACCCCCTGTCTCTTGAGGCAGCACATAATACGCCAATTTACTGTGAGTATACAAAATAATTTACAATATCTACATAATTGATACCAATTGATGTCAAATGAGATATTTTTATTTAGATCGGATGCTGCTGATGTTCCCAAATTTGGACGTCTTTTAATTGATTTGTTTTGCCTCTCCAAAGAGGGCAACAATTCATAAATCGGTGAGCATGTGGCATATTTGGTATTCGAGCACAACTCAAAAGTACATAGATGGCACTATCAAAAAGTCAATTTCGAATGAGTTCACACGACGCTAATCAACAAAGACAATAGAGACTCGCCTGATCAACAATGAGGCAACTCGTGGTCTAACATCTAACAGTAACAATAATAACAAAAACAGCACGACAACAGTGATTATGCTGTTCGAACCGACGACACAGCAACTGGTCGATAAGGCATGCCACAGATTGTTGTCCACTGCGAAAAGTATAGCAAAGCACTTAATCCATGTTCATGTCAACTGAGATATGTGCCTCCCCCAAAACAGAGATAGAGCCAGCCAAACAACATTATTATGAGTATATCACACTGTGAACTTATTTATACAGTTGAACTTTGGGCCGTACTCTGATATGAGTCGTACGATAAACCGATTCAAAATAAGTCTGCCGATAAGGTAACGATACTCAACTGGGACAATTTTAAAACAAAGAGACCCAAAACAAGGCACACGTGAAGCGAATAACTCAGCGATGCGATGCTCGTCTCAGCAATTTGCCATTAATAAATGCCTAATTAATAATCTTCACTGATAGGGAATGTGGGTACTCCAACGGGTCTCGCCCCAAGTACTAACAATTACGCGCTGTAAATATTAGCACCTGATAAGGCCCAAGGCGAAGGCAAAGGGGTCATCTCACGGCCATTTGGGGCATAGAGGCGCGACTGAGACTGTGAGAAAATGGGGCGCCAAACTAAAGTTTGCACAGCTGATAAATCCCGCAATATTTTCACAATCCAATAAAAACGCAATCCAATGTATTTTCACCAGATGAAATACTTGGATTATCAGATTCAGAATATTTCTATAAAATTGTATGTAATCATTTCAGGGGACTAAATGATGCGTGTGAAATTTAGGAAACACCCACCACCCCCAAGACCCTGTGTTTGTGGTCGCCCATAGTCCTAAGAAAGATAGTTAAAATTTCTTAGAAAGCAGCAGGGCACTAACCTGCAGATACTGAAAAATATGGCAGTATGGAACAACGCATCAGAGGTGAAACACAGTAAAATACAAATGCAATCTTGGATTCAAATATATAATACATACACATAAGAAATAATGGGATTCCAGTTTAATACACTAGAGGACACAAAATTTGTATTGACAAACAAAATTTCTTAAGACAATAAATGAAAATACTCAATACACATTACAAAAATGACAACAATTTCAACTACACACAGATCGCGTTAGAATTAGATTGTAATATTTGAAGATATCGAGTCTATGCCAGCCACTCCCGTCCTGTCAGTTGTCACATGGCTGTGTGCACCGAGTGGACCAGGCCAGCTATTACAATTATAGTATTAAATATGCCATTAGGAATATCTTTGACGAAAGCTATTTAAAATTTTATTAGCGAATATATCATAACGAATGCTTTCAGTATACAATTCAAACACGGTGCTAAATATTATTTGCCCCATAACGTCATATGACAAACAGCAGAAATAGCAGCAGGGCGAACAGTTGGAATCGGATTTCCAACAATAGTAGAGCACCCAGAATTTCGAACTCAATGTGTTAATTAATTTCAATTAACGTCTAACGAGCGAGCCAGCCAATAAATATTCTCAATGATAGATAAACCTTAAAAAAATACAACTGGAACAGAACTCTCAAAAATTAAATGAAAATTTATAGATCAAGTTTTTGATGTAGCAACAATTAGATAAATACAAATTGAGTATTCACTCAAATGTGAATTGAATGAAAATTATATAAAGAACCTAGAGATTATAGTAATAATAATAAAAATAAAAAACTGTGTCACAATTGGGTGCGACGATGAGCTGAGAGAGCTGCAGTGTGACAAGGTTAGCTGGATAATTACGGACATGAGCGCACAGGTAAATTACAAATTACAAATAGCAACAACAATAGAAATCAGTAACAACAACAATAACAGTTAAACATGTTCAGCTAATAATAGAAGACAGCAACAACAAAAGGTTGAATGCAACAATGCAAACAAGGAAATCAACATCGACACGAACAAAAGCGACAACAAACGCGACTGTACTTCACTTTTACACATCAAACCGTCAGTCGGGAGGGAGCCGATAGGGAGGAGTATTCAGCTCAGCTACTACTGGAAGTGGAAGTGGAATTGGAAGCGTGAACAGCATTAGAACAGTTGTGACGTCTACTTCACTTGACTGGACAATTTCGCTTTCGATTTCACTATAAAAACTGTACTACAGACACACACACACACACACACACTCGGACATATTCCATGCACATATCGTATGGCAGTTATACATTACGCAAATGAACTTGCGTTTCTCTCGTTACAATGTGTTGCTATATATGAACAATCGAGATTTTGTTGCCAGCTCGTTTTGTAGTTGCTTTTCATTTGATATTTAATTGATTTTTCTTTCCAAGCGAACCGACTCAAAACGGGGTCAACATCAGCCGGAGAGCAGCCCCCAAAAGCGGGGCTGCCGCCGTCTGGTTCTATCGACTTCCCTCTGCTGTAGCTGGCCCCTTCCCTCTCTGATAGGCCATGCGCGGCTGTTGTTATTGAACGCGCGATTTTATTCAATTTTTATTAGTAAAACAACAACAACAATGATGAAAAATAAAAATAACAATTGCCACATTCAAGTAATTTGCATTTGACTTACAATTAAAAAACCCCTTTAATTGATAACGAACTGAGTGACAAAGAGAGTCGAAATAAAAGACATTCGCTGAATATTTCTAGTGACTCAAATGCTATAACTTGCAACAAGATGCAAATAAAAAGATATAAACATAAACACAAGCAATAATAATTTGGCATCTTTATAAAATTCACAATTTACAAACATTTCATACTAAAACTAAATGTTGTTGCGGAATCAATTATATTATTTATATTACTTTTTATAAAAATACTACTTTTCTCATACATTTTATAACATATTTGCAGTCTACCGCAACATAAGCAATTATTCATCGCATATTGCGTTCGGCTTATCAGTACAACAAAATAAGCTAAGCTTAGTCATTTTTGATTTGACTCACAGTATATTCTGCTAAAATAACAGCTTCAAGAAGAAGAGAGAACTAATCAACTGAAAGTGCAAAGTCAAGCAGGAAATGTGTGTTATATTCTTTGAAAGTTTATTTATATATAAGCGAGTTATATAATTCAGTAAATTCGCATACAATAAATAAATAAAAAGTGGCACGGCACTGCTATTATTAAATAAATGTATTGAAGCAAATAAATATATTTGCTCGTATGCATTTTCAATCACAAATAATTTGTTGTTTATCAGTAGGTGGAAAAAAAACTTGAAAGCATAATGCAGTAAACAAATAAAGCGTGATATAACTATATTGCCACACGTGGTACTCATTTAGTGCTGTTGCTGTCGCTGTTAATATTATTGTTTTTGTTGCCGTTGTTCTTGTATATAAATTGATAACGATTCTGGCCAACAATGCTACGTATTAGAGGCGCTCGGATTCGATGACAAACAGCAACACCAAAAGCAACAGTTAAATACACAAATGTGTACACTTTTGATTGCCTGGCAACAGCAATACAACAGAGAACACCCTGTGTTGTCCCTCTCTATGTTTGTGTGTGTGTGGGTGTGGGGCACCCTGTTATTGCTGTTGCTGTTGCTGTTGCAATTCAATTGAACTCATTTGTGTCAATTTACAATAAATAATAGCCCAAGAGCTGTGCCAGCAGTAAACAATAAGCCAAACAAATTGCATAATTCCCTAAGACGACAAACGGCGGCACGCGACCTTCGTCTAAACAAAACGAATTACCTGCCCCGCCCCTCTGCACTACCCCTGCCGCCAACGCACCACCTGTCAGCGGCACACACAAAAAGCCAAACAAGCGGCTAAGAACTGTAAAACGCTTTCTTATCAATGAAAGCACTAGCCAACAAATTATTTACGACAAGCTGGTTGCTATAAAGTGGGCGGCGATTATATTAAGCCATTTTCTTTTCTGTTGATACTGATGATGTTATTGTTATGAAAAGTGTGTAGAGCCGCAGGGTATATCAGCATTTCCATGCCTTAACAAAAATACAAGTGCAGTTCTACTCAGATCGGAAAGCCAAGTCGATGATCTCGGCATATCCTTTTATGCGTCTGCCTCTCAGAATAATCATTTTATCAATGTCTCTACTTTGTATATATCTACTTTGTATATATGTCCTCTTCCAACTATACAACTTAAGAGTACTTTTAGTTTTAAAGTCTGACATTATACGAAAATAATTGGGCGAGGCTTAGAAAACCATTTTGAATTTTCCCAATGCTGAAGGGTATCTCGAAGTGGAATCGATGACCCTTCTTTTGTATTAGCAAGAATTGTCGTTGATAGGTATCGACATAGATATAGGTAGGCGACAACAGCTGCATTGGTTGGGGCTGACAGTCGGCCAACCGAATAGGATAACTGAAAGGACACCGACAGCGACAGCAGCGACAGGATAAATGGTAAGGTGGCAACAGCACAGCAAGGACACACGTTTCACCTGCCTAGCTTGTAATGTAAATGTAAATGTAAGTGTGTGGCTATGTGTGTGCAACTCGCATTAACATATAAATGTGTATAACAGTTGGCGCGAGAATATCAGTTACTTATTGAGCGATGCCTTCTATAAGATACTACTGTATCTAGCAGGTACCACAGACGACAACAACATCAACAGAACAAAATCGGAAATAGACAAACGATGCTCACGAAAAGCAACAAGTAAAATACGAACAAAATATAAACGAAGAAAAAGACAAAACTAGCCAGCGATTAAACTGCGTCATTTTGTATAGATGTATATGCATATATATATATATATATATATACATAGGTATATATATTTGTATGTGCATTGGCTACACACTGTGTATATAGCATATTGATGCATATATGCACATATATATAGTATATACTGTGACAACGAGGAAAACTGTTTCGCAAAGCGTAAAAAATACACCTTTAAACAAAAGCGCACGAGAGCTGCCTGGCTGCCTGGCTGCGGCGCAATGTGGCGTATGCGCAATTTCAATTTCATTTCCCCCTACCAAAAATAAAACAGATAAAATAAAAGCAACAACAAACAATGTGCAGCTACGCGAATGAGAAGAAGGTTGTTAAGAAATTCTTGAACCGGCCTAGAGGCGATGACATTGGTGTCTTCAATACACAAGCATATCTATAAAAGCGCATTCAACTCTTTCGCAAAATAAAGGAAAGCTGTAATGAGATAGTAAATGGCCAGAAGAAAGAACACTCTCTTGTTCGCACTGATATATGTTATAGATAGATACAGATTAAATTATAATGATTTTTCAATTCATAAATAATTTTTTCACTCTTACCACATGAATTGTTTTGAGTTCTTAGATAATGCTTAAGCTTTAATTTTTTTGCATCGATTTTATATTAAAACACCACTCTCCTATTTTGTTTCTTGTCTTTTAACGCTTTTCTGGCTTGGGCCCAGAAAATTTACCCATCCCATTTGGTCTACGGCAGCTGCTTACCTCATTTGGTACAAGCAGATGAAATTGTGCAGGTAATTCAAACACCTGCTGCATGTACAAAGTGCCTTGTGGTTAGGTGGGCGTGGCAATGCAACCCACTCGATGCTCACACCGCCCACATTTGGCCTATTGCCACGTGTAGCAATCAGCAGCCTGGTTTGCATATCAAGTCGAGAACTTTATGCATTTCTAATGAAAACATACACACACGCACACGCATACGCACACTCACACGCACATTGTGTATGTGTGTGTATCGCTTGTGGTATAACAGTTTAGTCTTGTGAGGATATTATATTACGCTTTCTAGAATTACACGATGTGACCAAACTAATTGTGCAATTTCCTTGCGATAACAACTACTTTCACATGAAGTAATAGATGGGCTAGCAGAGGGCGGCTAATGCGCTAATATCATAGCAAATCAATTTGCGAAGGCAGAACAGCAAAACGTCAAGAGCTGCTGCCCTCTGGCATTGACCCACAAGTCACATGGCTGTGCCTTGGTGTGTGTGTGTGTGCGTGTAACAATTTTTATGAATGACATTGAACAGCCAGCCACACACAGTGATTAAACAGTTAGCCCGAAAAGCACATCCTTTTAAGAGAAACGCTTAAGAGAAACTCCGATCGAAATTCCCTTAAGCTCAACCTAAACGACAAATTATTAACCAAAAACAAATATAGAAAACTGTTATAAAATACACATTCGTATTACTTCAATACTAAAAATAAAAAATAATCCGTTTATTGGGTTATAAAAACTGTGAAATTAGCACGCTCTGCTTATCTAAAAACACATTGAGCTATTATAACTCAAAAAACCTGTTAAGATAATGCACAACTTTAGCTTCTGTTAGGGGCACTTTCGAAGGTCTCCTATTTAGTTCAGTCCGATGGCGGCGCCCAAAAGGCGGCACACCAAAAAATGTTTTAGCACACAGAACCACGCACACATACAGACGCATAGCGAAAAAGTAAAAGTTTGAAAGTCACAAGTTAACCTTTAACCTAAATCAAAACTAAGAGCAACAGTTTACGCTCTTTTGCTGCGTCTTTTATACACGGCTAAAACTGTTATACGTGTGCCGGTTTTTCTTGGCTTGCCAAAGCTAAGCAACAAAACAGTAACAGACATTTCTGAATAAGAAGACAACCCTTAAGAAAGTGCGTCATAGATGAGGGTAGTTTACCAGGGGGTTGGGTTGCTATGCGGATGGATGAGAAACTATGTGAAGTTGATTGTGTAAAATCTGTGTGAAACGTAACAACGTCCAACATTCCTTTCAGCGTTGTCGTTGACATCGTTGATGTTGTTGTTGTTGGTGCTGCTGCCGCCGCCTTTGGCAATGTGCACATCAGCTGTTTCTGCCAAGCTCAACCCTTACGCCGCATACCTGTAAACCGACGAGAGAGAACTTCGCAAAGCCAAAGAGAGCATTCGCAAAGCCAAAGAGAGCGCTTCAGTGAAGAGAGAGTGAGAGAGAGCTTGCGCGCTTGAACTTCAAATCGTTGCATGAAAATTAGACATCGGCGAGGCAATCGCAATGTCAGCAACCGCATGGCGAGAATATTTTGTTGTTGCCGTTGGTTGTTGTTGTTTTTTCTCGATATACTTTTTGTTTTCTTCGTTTGCATATTTGTTGTTGTTTGTAATTGAAATTGCGTTTGTTGTATAAGGTTGTAATATAGTTGTTGCTTTTGCATTTGCGTTCACATTCGGCGCTTTGTAGCTGGCTGTTTTGTATATCGCAGTATAACAGTTCTGGCAGCCCCGTCAGTCGGTTTCAGTCGTCTGTTGGCTACGACGAATTTTCATTTTATATCGAACAGCGCAGCAGTGACGACGAAACAGTCTGTGTGCGGTGCTTTTTGTTGGTATCTCTCGCGGCGCACAAAGAAAAAATAAAAGTTGTATACACCCAAAGAATATACTTAACTAAATATGCATATATCTATGTATATAGATAACTTAATATACCAAAGCTAGTCATCAGACTTAAGTTACAGCCTTTAGTTCTAACTGCAGCTCTGCGTCAATAGTTGTACGTGTGGTAAAGTGTGAAACACGTAAGCCAAGTTTCGTGTGCGCTTGTGTTATTTTTGTTGTTGTTGGATTTGTTTTCATTGTAGTTGTTGTAGTTGCTGCTACTGCTCGGCCTGTTTGTTTCGTTCAATTCACATTTTATCGATCACACGTTGCGGGGCCGCCCGTCGGCAACTAAAGTTTTGCTGTTTTCTTCTGCTGATGCCAAGAATTTGTATTTAATACACATTTGACAATTTCATTTCAATGCTCAGCAAATTATACAATTGCATTGCCATTATCGACAGCAACAGCAACAGCAACAGCAAGAGCAACAAAAGCAACGCCGAATACGTACAGCACCCCCAAAAAGCAGAAGTAGTGACAGCAGCGGCGGCGGCGACGTCGGCGGACAGCAATGCAAAAATGTGCCATACATAAAAGCAGCAGCGTGTACTACTAGCCCCAAAGGCAAAACCAAAACCAAAAGCCAAAGCGAAATTAAAAGTAAAACAAACGTAAAAGTGCAAAGTCAAAGACAAAAGCAAAGTTCAGCCAAAATTTGCAAAGCCAAAACAATAACACAAATACAATATTTAGTTTGGCCAGCCAGCTGCAACCGATACAAACAATTTACAAATATACATAATTAATAAAAACAAAACAAATTCAAGCACAACCACAATAACCAATATTTAGTAAATTAAAATATGTATGTATAGTTGCGGTCTCTCTCCCACTCTCTTTTTTGCTGTCGATAATGCAGAAGAACTTTAAGTAGTAACTATTTAACAATAACAACACACGCACACATCCAATATAACGGCATTCAAAGTCTCGCTGCTAACTCCGTGTGAGCAGAACTTAAGAGTGGCAACGCCATAAACATTGCAGAGCATTGGGGAATAGCAGAGAGCATGTTAAATGCTGAGCGCGCGCAAAGATAAAAACAGTAGCAGTAGCAGAAGCAGCAACAGCGACGTCGACAGCGGCTGCTCTAAGGCTCGCATAACTCGCAACGGCGCCGAGCGCGACACTTCGGCAACGCATAACAGACAAATCGTCGATTGTGACTCCCTCCCGCCTTCGACTGGTAACGGGGTCGAGCGAGCGAGCGAGCGAGCGGGCGTGCAAGTGAAATAAACGAAATTCCAATTGAAAAAAAAAGAAAAGAACATTTGCTTGAAATTCTGTCAACTCGAAAACAAGAGCTTAAGCAAAGTGTGTGCGATTAGGAAGGCGAACTAACGGCTTAACGCAAGCAACTACAAATCAACAGTAAAACACAATTATGGTTGACACCAACATTAATACGGGGTCGGCGGCAGCTGCCGTTGGTAACTCGGCGGCGCGGCTGCGCAAATTCGAACGCACTGACAGCGAACTAGCCTGCGAGGAGGCGGCACGGCTAACCGCCGAACAGAACGACAACAGTCCTGAGGATGACAACGACGAGGAGGACGACGACGAAGGAGATGAAGAGGACGAGGTCAGCGTCTACGGTGAACTACCGCCACCGCCGGACGGCGGCTATGGCTGGGTCATATGCTTCGCCAGCTTCATGTGCAACATGATCGTTGATGGCATTGCCTACACTTTCGGCATATTCCTGGAGGAGTTTGTCGCCTACTTTCACGAGGGCAAAGGCACCGTCGCCTGGGTGGGCAGTTTGCTATCGGGCGTCTATCTCAGCGCCGGTCCCATCGTCTCCGCCCTGGCCAATAAATATGGCTGCCGTGCCGTGTGCATTGCTGGCAGCATCATTGCCTGCATTGCCTTCGTCCTCAGCACGTTCAGCGGATCCGTGAGCATGCTTATGGCCACATATGGCTTCATGGGTGGTTTTGGCTTCGGCATGATCTATTTACCCGCTGTCGTGGCCGTGGGTTACTATTTCGAGACAAAGCGTTCCCTGGCTACGGGCATAGCTGTATGCGGCTCCGGCTTCGGTACATTCGCCTTTGCTCCGCTGGCCACATATTTGCTGGAGGAGTACGGCTGGAAGAATGCGCTGCTCATATTCGCTGGCTTGATTTTAAACTGTGCCATCTTCGGCGCCATGATGCGTCCTTTAACCTATCCCAAAAAGAAGAAGGTCAAGCCACTGATGCAGAGAATGTACGAGGAGAAACAGATGCAACTGGAACGCGGCTCCTTTGCTGGCTCACATTTCATGGTCCAGCTGCCCGATGGTACAATGGAACGCAAGTTGAAGATGCCCTTGAATGCCGATCCAGGTGTGCATTCCAGTCTCAATCTTGAGCTGCTGGCCCAGCAATCCGGCGGACTGCATCCGGTCTCAACGTTGCCCACCATCACAGAGTCCAAAGTGGTGGAAGTAAATGCTCAATCCCCTCCAAACAATGGCAATGCTGATAGCAACGGGCAACTGTCCACACGATCGGGTCGCCGTTCGCAGCGCAACTCAGAGAGTGAGCACAGTCCATACCAGTCGCACGATGCGATGATCCGTAATGCCTCCCAGCCCGCCTTCCTCGCTGGCGATCATCAGAGTCTTCCCAAGAACGGTTCGGTGCCATCTTTCAGCCGCGTGCGTAAAACATCTGGCAGTGAACGTTATCAGCCCTCGTTAGCGGCCATACGCGCCTCCTCTCGCGGCGACATCGAAGCGGGCGCAGGCGGCGACTTCAGTACCTCAAAATTGTCGCTGTCCCAGCGTCAAGGCAGTTCAAGCGGCAGTGGCGGACGCATGGTCCGTCCCATGTCACGCAAGGACATCTTCTACTCCGGCTCCGTCACGAATCTACCCCAATATCAATCCCAAAAGTCGCTAACAAATTACCGGAACTCCGTACTGTCCCTCACCAAGTACGAGAAGAGCATGCAGAGCATGCGTTTGGATCCCCTGGCCGAAGCTGATAAGCATCGAGACGAATATGATTTGTGTCCATGCCTGGGCATACCCGATTCGGTTAAATCTGTGGTGAACACCATGTTGGACGTGAGCCTACTCAAGGATCCAGTCTTTATGCTGATGGGCGTATCCAACATATTCGGCATGGCTGGTTTGTACGTACCGTTTGTCTACCTGGTGGACGCAGCCAAGGAGCACGGCATTGCTAAGAACGACGCAGCAATGCTGCTCTCCATCATTGGCATCACCAACACCGTGGGACGTGTCGCCTGTGGCTGGGTGGCGGATCTGCCCCAAGTCAATTCGTTGCTGCTCAACAACATCTGCCTGCTGATCTCCACAGTGGCGGTCACATTGACTCCACTTTGTTACAGTTATAGCGCCTATATCGCTATGTCAATCGCCTTTGGAATTGCCATTTCTGGCTACATTTCGCTAACGTCAATTATTCTGGTCGATCTGCTGGGCCTGGACAAGCTCACGAATGCCTTTGGTCTGCTCATATTGTTCAGAGGATTCGCTGCATTACTTGGAACACCGCTGGCGGGCTTCATCTATGATTTAACTCACACCTATGATCTGCCCTTCTACATGGCGGGTGCTCTGTTCGCCGTGTCCACCATCACTAGCTTTTTGGCGCCCTGTATGAAGCGCTTCAGTGGCTCTGATGAGACCCCAGTACACGCCGAAACACTGACGCCTATTGACGAGGAGCAGGGTGAGGATGCTGAGGATGAGGACGAGGATCAACCAATCACCATAGTGCCCAAGATCATCAAAACTCTGCCCAGCCCACAGGAATCGCCACTGCAGCCATTCCCCAGCACGCAACAGAAATCAGCAGCAACAACAACGGAATCAAAGCTCTAAGCAACAAGAATTTAGCACACAAACAAATAATATAAATAAAGTGAAGAGAGCGAGCAGGAATGTAAGATTGATAAATGAATTAAGAGTAGAGTGCGATATTTTTTTAGCAACTTATACAAAGAGAAATGAGGAACACGGAAGACGTTATAGAAAGATCAAAGCTGACATCGGAGTTCGGAGAGAAGATAAAAACACGCAGTTTAGGCAGGGGCAGGCCCAGGTCCAGGCAAAGCGAAAGTATTGTAAAGAGAGCACACAAAAAAAACTATATATATATATATGTATATATATATGAATTATATATTATATATAACAATACAAATACCGAAACTATGCCTAAGCAACTATTCAATATACATACAACAAATTATAGATTTGCTTGATAGCAAATTAAGAAATTCAAGAAAACTTGGCTTAGCTTCGATAAGTTTGTAGCAGAGCTCTGCTGCCATATATATACTTAGCTCTATACAAATATTAATATATAACACGCTCATGAAAAACAACAACAAAAGCAACAACAGAAACTAGAAACTCTGATAGAATTCTTATTGATTATAGTTTCAACTGTTATACAATAGCGAAAGCAAAAAACCTAGATTGTAAAATATTTTTATTATTTGTTTGTTAAATTTTACGATTTTTAAAATACCATTATGTACGATTATTATTATTATTACTATTACCATTATTGCTATTGTATCTGTATCTTCTGTACATGTAGTTTAGTAACTCTCGATCTATATAATAGCTGCTATGTCTATAACTGTTGTTGTGCATTCGTTGTTATACGGCAATTGTTTAAATGTGTCATACGGTCTAGTTATAGTTGAAGAAAGAAAGAAACCGAATAGCGATCGCAAAATAAAGAAAGAAAAATGAAACGAGTATAAACTTTACTATGCTAATAGTTAATAACTTTTTGTATGTAAAAAAGTGGAAAGCGATTTGCTTGTAAAGGGTGTATGCAAATTTAGAGGAGAAGAGCAACAACTATTGCAAGAACAACGCTAAACTAATAAATTTTATATTAAAATATTATATAAAAGAAACCTTAAGCAAGAATCAACTGAAATTGTTTTCAATTTTTTAACTATTAATGTATATGTACAATAACAAAATGGCAATTTTATGGCTCATATTTTGTAAATCAGTGAAATGAAAGAATCGTGCAAATATTTCCGACAAGTCCATGATTAAACAAATTTTTAAAGGCTTGTGCGTTTTGTAATACACAAGAAAAACTATTAACAAAATATACATACATATATAGATTGTGTTATATACATATATATATATTTATATTTTAAAACTAACCAAATGTATAGAGTGTGTACCACACACACCGACTCACACACACATAAAGAGCAATAAAATGCAGTTTTACGCCATTTACACACACACTTACACACTCACACATGCTCCTAACTAAAAGCAAAACAAATTTCAACTGTTATACGCAACAAATATATGAAGAAAAAATTAAAAAGAGATCGCTAAGCTATGCTAGTATAGATACAAAGTAAATACGCAGCACTAAGCAAAGCTGAACAATAAATGTTAGAAGAAAAACAATCAGAAAAAGAAAATAAAAACATTTTTCCATATTCTCCATACACTTCGAGAATCTGTTATACGGCTGGTAAGTAGTGGGTAAATGGTAATATAAATGTATAACAACTTGCGGCAAATCGGGTTAGGGCTCTAAAAATCATCGATCAAAGTTCAGATAATAATAATTCAGTTGGCAACTTATCGCTTTACCTTGTGCTCATACGACGGGAGCTCTAAATGGTAATGATGTGTGTGGAGTGGTCGTGCGCCACTTGAGCAAAACTCGCAAATCGCAGCCCGATTATAAACTTGCCAATATGATTAGCCTAATCAATAAGTGATATGGCAGCGTTTAAATCAGCTTTCGGAATTGCTTGCATTGCGAAGAACAGCTACAAACAGCTTGTCATACGCCAATCTAGCTGTGCATACACCACTCTACGTGATATCAAAGTATTGACAAAGTTGCCCAGCCAAGTGCTGCGAAAATAACAATAAAATGTCCACTGAGACATTTCAGCAATTTAGCAGGGTAAATACTCGTGCACACACCCATACTCATACGGAACTGGACGGCCAGATATCAATTTTACTTTGGGCCGGGTGCATAATATACATGTGAGCCATGTACGCGTGAAGTGATCCATATCGTTTCGCTTTGCTTTACTTTGCTTCGCTGTAATGGCCAGTGGCCAACAAAAATGTCATTGACTGTGTGTTTGATAAGGCGGAAGGCAATACTAAACCGGACGCCATGCATCATACAAGTAAGCTAGGGGACAAAACAAAGGTAAAGCGAAAAGAAGCTCACAGAAAATATGAACTTAAGAAATGCTCATTAGAACTATAAGGTCTTCGGGGAAGCTAAGTCCTAATAAATTTTAATCCACCCATAAATAATAAGTATTGTTAATGCTCCATTTCTGTACACTAACGACATCATTTATAAACTATTTACATTGAAGAAATAATTCAACTAGTATCAATTAATATATATATACCCGATTCAAGCCAGATGACCCTAACAATGCACATACTGCACTAATGCGACAGTAAGTGGATCATGACGCTGACGTATTATACTGTCTACACAAAGACTGGTGATTGATAAGCAGAAAGAATACAAAACAACAGCAAAGTACAAAGCGAGAGTTATCGTCCTCTTACACAGCTGATTAGTGGTTAAAACGAGTAGTAACACAGCTAAATATACTAAGGAACTATAAACCCAAGTATATGAAAACCGTGTCTAGCCAATAAGAGGTTACACACTCAAGTGCCACCCCTCATAACTAAATAGAGCAGGCATTACATGCAGTCAAAAACAATTCAATCGGATCGCAGCAAAGCAAGCGCCTAGCAACAATACGAATAACTCACTCAAAAAGAGCTGCCCCAGCAATTAAGCGAAACTATAAAAAATAACAGAAGAAGGAACTGATCGCTACTACATGACGAAGACAACATACCCTTACTAATGATATATGGGTTAAGAGGTTATTTAATACAGTAGTATTATATCCGAGTGATTCTAATTTGACGTTATAGACGAGTTCGAATAAGCGAAACCTAATCGACAGAAAATAAAATGAAAAGCTAAAATAAAATGAATAGCTATTTATACTTTTTGCTGCATACAAATTTAAGAACTATGACTCGAACAAGAAAATTACAAATTTGTTAAAAATATATAAAGAAAATATATAAATATATAAAGAAAATAATACTGGCATTGATCAATAGATATACTGCAAAAAAATTGCTTTCATTCTATTTACACATTTTGTGTTAAAACTGCAGTACTCTGTATAAAGTGTATCACAAAATTATAAAATAAAAAAGTTTGGAAGCCGTCGCAGCGACGTCCCATACATATATCATGTGATATTTTTGGTACACCTGACACAAACGCAACTGAACCCCAAGCGAATTCAACCGTAAGCCGAGCACTCATCGACCGCTGAAACCCGAAGAGTCAGCACAAATTACATAAAATAAACACAACGAAAGATCGAGATCGAATATGTTCATGAAAACCTTAAAAAACCTGCCTATACATTAGTTTTCAACTGAAAGCAACAAAAGGCAAAGTAGATACATAACGAGCTCAATGTTAATAAATGAAATCAATTAACATTCATTCATGTTTAATGAATCAAAAATTCAATTCAATTTTTTAATCAATTAGCCGAGAAATTTATTTCAACTGATTTGTTTTTATGTTGGAATAAGAAAATATCAATTTAAAAGAATGTTCTTTATTGACTTCTTGATAAAGTCAAATATTAAATAGTAAAGTGTAAATAATTGATTAAATATTTCTTTGCCTCAAAAAGTTGAAAGTTAACAATGAATATTATTTATATATACAGACGTATGAAAAGTCATTGTTTACTTGAGTCCAATTTAAGAAGAATATTGATCAACAAAATATATATCGACCTGATTTTTATCATTTCAACAGAAGCCCAAATTAACATGTATTTTATTTGAATCAAGTTCTATGTTATGTTAGAGCCAAAACATACCTGAATAAATTGCAATTGATAAACAAAAAATACCTAACAGACACTATCGCAAATCGTTCATCATTGATGAAAATATAAAAATATAAATAGGGAACGACATTATCAGTTATCCGACACTATCGGAACAATTACCAAGTAAAAACGCTGCTTATCAGCTTGAATAATCAATTTGTGGCACTTACCCAGCGTTTCCTGTGGGGCTTGTGGGGTGGGCGTCTCCGTTTGAGGAGGTTGGACAGGCAGTTGCTGTTGCTGCTGCTGTTGCTCGATGCAAATTGTTGGCTGAGGCTGTGACTGAATGATATGATGTGAGGGAACGGCCTGAACCAGAATGGGCTGCGGTGGACCATCTGCTGGCAGTGTCCACGCAGCGGGCATGCCGCCAACTTGCGCAGCACCACATTCGGATAGTTCGTCGTCATACTGTTGAAAAAAATCCATGAAAATAACTACGTTATGCAGAACTGTAAGGTCGCTCACCTGTGGCACTGGCGCGGCTATGGGATGCATAGCCTGAAGAGGAGCCAGTTGTCCATCATCATAGACCTGCATAACGCCCATTTGCTGTTGTATCTCATGCATTTGCTGAGTATCGTACATGGGATAGTTGGGACTCAACATGCTAGACGTTTCGGGTGAGGTTAACGTGGAACTATTATGGTTAAGCTCATCGCCATTCGCATGTGCCATCTCCTGGTAATCTTCGGCATACATATGAGTTGGATGCCACATTTGCCGGTCATCAACTACACCGCCTTGCGGTTGACCACCATCGTCGGGCATGTACTGATATTCAGACGGTGGCAACAGTGGCTGGTAGAAATAGCCGCTCATGTAGTTGTACATAGGTGCGCCATTGTAGAATGGTATTGGAGATATATACAAAGGCGTGCTAGTGGCCGGATGTGGTGTAGCTCCCGCAGCTGGCGGCGCTTGTATTGGGCCATGGTGCGGCGCAAAATAGGTGCCCTGATAACCGCCATAAGCAGCGTACGGATGCGGAGCGTAGTAGGACACTGGCTGCAACTGTGCCTCTGGCGGCTGCTGTGCTACCATCTGATCCGGTTGTAATTGCATGGCGTTTGGTGCCGGGCTAGTCCCATCCGGTTGCAGCTGTTGTTGCTGCTGCGGCGGCAACTGCAGCTGCTGTTGCATGTGTCGCGGTCCGTGGTAGTCACTACGACGTTGGCCACCTCCGCCGCGTGTACGATCACGTCCACGACCGCGTCCTCCCATACCAGATCTAATGTGGCCATTCGGATTGCCCTGATGGTGCGGCATTGGTGCTAGCTGTTGCATTAACGGATTGCCCTGTAAAACAGTGAAATGAACATGCAACTCCATCGCATTTGTATTTATTTAAACTTACCTGCTCCTGCGGCAATTCGCCATGCGCACTCACATAATGGGTCGAAGCACCGCCTCCTGGCATGTAGGCAGTCTGAGGCCAGTTATGGAGATTCACATTGGCGGTCACATTGTTCACAAACACATTGCTGGACAAGGGTGGCGGCAACATCGCAGATGAATGGAACATAGGACCGTGTGCGCTTTGCGACATGTGCGGATGTTGCGCTGATCCATGAGCAGTGGGCATGTACAGAGTTTGGTGCTGCTGATTGTAGATTGTAGGTACAGCATTCAGTGCGTTGCCGTTGCCGTTGCCGTTGCTGTTGTTACTGTTATTGTTAGATGACGACACAATGCTGTTGTTGTTATTGTTAATGGGCGGCGGCTGTGGCGTCGTTGGTGTGGACACTGGCGTCGCCGCTGGTGGCGGTTGCTGTTGCTGCTGCGCAACCGGCTGCTGCGTTTGCTGCGCCATAATTGGAACGACTGCGCTACACTGGCACCGCAGTTGACAATGATGACGACTGTCGGTGCAATCGAGTTTGGTTTGGCGTTTCTGAACGTATCTCAGGATATGCACAGCACATGAACACGGCAAACGCCAAACATTGAAGTTTTTACTGCGAAACAACAAAAAAAACCAAAAGTTAACACAAACGAAGCGCCAAAATTTGAGGTTAAATTGAGATAGCAGCAAAACATCTGGCAACACCGCACAGCTGTGGGCCACAGAACCAAGAAAAAAATACAAAAAGGCAAATAAACAAAGAGAGCAAGTGCAAGAGAGAGCGAGAAAGAGAGTGTGGCCATACTGTACCGGGTGGGGTGACAGTCCCACTTACCCCTCCCCCACGGCCACAAGTGGCGTTCTGGTGTCAAAAATATATAATTCAAAACAATTTGATTTTGCATGTCCACGCTTAATGCCGGCTGGCCAAAAAAATTGATTGCTATCGTTTGACACACACACATGCAAACAAACAGGAACGAATGACACATGCACGTAAATACACACACACGCACACCTGTAAAACAGGCGGCGCACTACGTCATTCAACTGGACGAAAAAAATAAAATGTAACTGCAATCTAAAGACAACGCTTTCAATAAGTGAAGAAACTCTTAACTAATTCGAATAGACTGCGTAACTTAAGCATGTAAATGCACGCATTCCAATGTCCAATGGCGGCGTCAGCGACCGACCCAGCAAAGAGAACACCACGTTGACGGCGAAAGAGAGCGCGGCGGAATGTGCCGCAGGGACGGGTTGGGGGCAAACCGGGCGGGCGGACAAGAAAAGTGCGTTGCGGTGACTTACCTTTAATGGTTCGCCAATGGTAATTCAATTTTGTGGCAAATCTTTCATGTTTTTTGCGTGCGGGCGGCCCCTCAACAGTGCTGCGGGTGGCTGCTGCCAATGAATGATTCGTGTTTCAGATTCACTTGCCGCGGCACTCTTTTTTCCAAATGACACGACGAATTCTGCAAGCAACTTTTCCACTACGCTTTCCTGTCGCGTCGGCTCTGGTCTAATTAACACTGTTACTCTCTGCATGCGCCACCCGCACACGCACAATTATAAATATATGGAGTATACAATTTGTTACCGCTAGCACAAAGTTTTAATTATTATATTTGCATGTGCAACAAAAAAATTCTTTTATTTCGTTTCTTTTACTCGTGGTGACAGTGTGACCTGTTAAGCAACAGCATTTTTACAGCGAATAAACATTAACATTTACTCATTCTGTAAACTAACAGAGAATAACACACTGCAATTACTAACACTAAAAGCACTAATAATTTCTCATGACTAAAAGCCTAACTAAACTAAACTTTTTTACATTTTCAAATATTTCTATTAAGTTTCTAATTATCTAATTATAAAATTAAGTTGAATTTTAAATTAATATCTGCCAGTTGGCTTCAAACTGCCATTAGCTAGAGATGAATCTATCGATAACACAACTGTAGTATTGTAACAAAAAATGTACATGATAACGATACGACATACATAGCCCAAATTAATTGTTTTGTTTTATGTATATTATTAAAAGAAAATATTCTTTTATAAATTTGGCATTTCAGAAACAATTTGAAAGCCGTTCAGAGTGTGACCGTACCTATGTAAATCCACGACAAATTTTGCCGCAATTGCGTTACCTTCTAAATCAATGCAACATGTTTTTATTACTTTTTGTTGGGAAAATACCCAATAACAATTTAACTCTTAAATTAAAGCTTTGACTTGCGCTGGGCAAAATCAATGATAGCCTGTATGCACTCAGTGTCGTAGAACCGTTTTAGAAGTGCATCGCACTCTGCATCATTGGCACGAATAAGAAGTTCACGTAGTGGCAACTGGATCAAGCGCTTGCATTCCCGCATCGAGTTAGGAGGCAACTCGGCATATTCGCGAATCTTTGGCCACACCACAGAATCCAATTCATTTAACTTGAAGATACGCGATACGAAATTAAATTTGTATGCTTCCTGGGCACTCATTTCTTCGTTAAAGACTAGCATCTCTGTGGCCTTCGATCGACCCATGATCAATGGAAAGGTAAGGCTGGAGCAGGCCTCAGGCACAAGACCTAGTTTGCTAAATGGTGTTTGGAAGTAGGCCTGCAAGAAAGAGTAGTTGGTGCATAAAGGCTTTTAAGCAACCTGTTGCTTACCTCTTCGGCGCACCAAGCCACGTCGCTGAGTCCCACAATGGTGGAACCGATACCAATAGCCGGTCCATTCACCAGTGAGAAAATCAACTTGTTGCAATTGAGAAAGCTGCTGACCATAGCTTTGAATGTATCGTTGGTTTCTTTAAGGTAAGCGTCCATGTCATTTACATCGGTTTTCTGCGACAAGTCATTACCAGCCGTAAAGAAGTCCCCTGCTCCAGTAATCACGACGATTGAGACAGTTTCGTCCAGGTTGACAGCGCCCAGAGCACGGCTGAGCTCTTTGTATCCATTGAAATTGATGCAGTTTTTCTTTCGGGGATTATTGAATTTGATTACCAGAATCTTATTCTCTTTCTGTACAAGCAAATGCGTAAAACCTTCATAAAGCATTTTAGTTTCTATTTATGTATATGGTTCGCAGTGTGGAAATAAATTCTACAATATAAAGTAATTTAATTGCCTTTTTATTTACAGTATGATTAAGGTACCTCTTGTATTTCAGTATTTTCCACTTGTGCTCTGCAATGTTTTGTCGCGGCGGAGAGCGAAGTCCACATTTATGAACTTCTCTCTGTTATGCCGCAGCCAATTACAATGGTCTACACGTAAATTAGGTGAGATTGACTGCATGCTATTCACAAAGAGCAAAGCTGAGTCCACCTTAGGCAAATTGTTACAGTCCGGCAACACCAGAAGAATATGAATTTAAAAGCGGCTTATCTTAATCGATTGCCTGGTGTGACCAATGTGAATCTTTAAAGTCACCGATTAGCTTAAAATAAATAGAATTTTTCAGTACGGCAACGCCATAAAAAAGAACTGTTTGAATTTGAAATATTTTTTACTAGCATTTACCGCCGTTTTTCAGTTTTGTACAAAATTTGACTTAAAACTAGATCTATTCGCTAATTTCATCAATAACGGGTACATTTTGCAGCTCTGAACATTTGCGCTTCCAAACAGCGATCTGCTCTCTAAGCACCTTCTCCTTGGCAGCAGCACGAGTCAGCAAAACTTTTGCCTTTTGCAATAGTTGTGTCTTTTTCATAAGCTGTTCCTTAATGTACTCCAGTTCCTCATCCTAAATATGTGGGTATATATAAATCCAGCTTGCTTTCATATTGTTCTAATATATTACCTTCCCATCACTACTGCGCTGCCTAAGTTCCTGCTGCAGTGCACTAATTTTCTCCAAAGCATTCGAATGCAGCTGCTGGAGTCGAGCTAGTTCAGCAGATGGAGACAGTGAGTCAGTGGAACCACGTGACTCAGTGGAGTTGCGACCATCTTTGAGGAACTTGTTCTCCGAACGCAGTTTTTCCACCAAATTGCGCAAAGAAATAATTGTGTGCTCTGCGGATTGGCCCTGATGTGTGTTGACCTTTAGTCCACTGCACTTGCACAACTCACGGCGTGACTCGGTGCGCGCCATTTCCTCCTTGAGTGCAAGGATATAACTGAAACAGAAATGGCATTAGTCAATAGATTTCAGCAGGATTAAGGCGCTTCACTTACTCCTCCAAATGCTTGATACGCTTTTGTAATCGGTCGGTTTTGTCACCCTGTCGCAGTAAATCTGAATCCAACTGCAATTGCAAATTGCGCGCTTCAAGGCGTATGTTCTGAGCCTCCACTGCTTGACACCGTTCCTGCAGCTTCTCCAGTTCTGTGGTCAACGCATTGCTGCCACGCCCCTCCAACTCCATGGCGATGATCTTCCGCTGCTGCATCTCAATACGTGCCTTCAATGCCTCTATCAACTCCGACTGCCCTTGCTCATAGAAACTGTGGTGACCAGAATTCGGCTGGGATTGATTGTGAGCCGGCGAGCTGCACTCACTGCTTGGCCCCGTATACGTTTCCGGACTCTCAGACGGGGAAGGTGTAAACTTTGCGGCGCTCACATGATGCAGATTCGGACAGGAGGGAGCACGACAACATTTTAAAGTGTTATGGGCATTGACATTTGTAGTCGTCGCAGTGCCTCCGCCTGATGCTGCCTTGCCCACCTTCGACTCGAGCAAGTGCTTGTCCTTTTCGAGTCGAGCTATTGTTGTGCGTGCCGCCTGGAGCAGAGTGCGAGTCTTGTCCAGCGCCAACTCCGTCTCGTCCAACTTGCTCTTGAACTTATCGGCCTGCTGTTGCCATCGCTTTTGCTTCTCCCAAAGACCCACCTCGTTGGCGCTGCGCGTGCGCTTGGCTTCCAAAAGCGTCTGTTGCCGCTGCAGCTGCGCCCGCGACTCGTCCAGATCCAGCTCCAGTTGCTGTATACGCTTCTGCAGATTCTCATTCTTCACACGAGCGTTCAATTCCGTTTTGATGGACACCACCGGACGCTTGAGCAGCTGCTGACGCAGCGACTGGCTCAAGTCCCGCGCCTGCTTTTCGCGCTGCGTGACATTGGCCAGCTGGCGACGCAGTGCCTCCATTTGGGTGTGATAGATCTTGTTGGTGGCCTCCATGCGATTCAGGTCGGCGGCCAGTTTGGCTATCTGCTCAGCAGAATAGTTGGAAGTGTCGTTAATGTAACGCTGTTGATCGTCCTGTTGGAAAACGATAAAAGCATTAAGTGAATCGCCCGATTCAAAATATTTCAAATAATACAGACATGGAAGTTTTTAAGTGTGTCCATGAGATCGCGAATGTGCTTGTCCTTTTCTTCTAGGAAGCCGCGTAGCTGCTCTAGCTCAGGACAGCTGCTGCTACTTTCCATGCATTTCTCGCGATCCTGGCAGAGCTTCAATCTAGTAAGTAATTTATTATAATTAAATATTGTTATTTCTAATAATAATCTTACTTTTCCCGCAGTATTTCGACTTCTTCTTCACGTGTCACCAGATTATGTTCGCAGTAGCTCAGTTTGTCCTTGAGTTCCTTGATTTGCTTGTGCAGTGTGGGCAGCTCCTTTAGCTCTTCGGTATCCTGTTTCTCCTGCTCGCCGGCTGCTTCGTCTGCAAGCACAGCGTCCACATCCGCCTCCGCTTGTTCCTGCTGCTGTGTGCCTCTATCGACGGAGTCATGTTCAAACAGTTCCTCAATCCTCTCATCCGTCAGCTCGTTGAGGGAACTCTCAGTTGCCTGGACATCTGTCTGCACGGGCAACTTGTGCAGGTCCAATTTGGCTTTCAGATCTAGCACTTCCAGATCTTTGGTCTTAATGTTGAAGTTCAAATTGTTAACCGTTGCCTTGAGAGTCTCATTCTCTGCTGTTTGCTTCGTGAGCAGCTGCTGACACTGTTCCCTCTCCGTTTGCAGAAGATCCTGAAACTTTTGAATGGACTGATCCTTCTCCAGCAGCAAAGTGTGAAATGATAAGATGGTCTTCTCCACCACGCCGCTATGATGACTATCCGACTCACTGCAGGCATTGCTGGTCTCCAACTGCTTGCCCAGCTCCTCAATACGTTTGTTTGCTACTTGCAGCCTGCCGCAAGAGGTAAGTACTGCCTTAGCATATGCATTTTATTACTTGTTATTACTACTTACTCTGCCCGCACTTGTTGCAGCTCTTCATCCTGCGTCGTTTGCACACCTTGATGCTGCTGCTGCTGCTGTTGCTTCTGCTGCTGATGTCGATTGCTGCCATTTGTTTGAACAGCTGTCTCAAGCAGCTGCTTGGTCGGGTTTTCTGTTTGCGTCGTGGAGTCATGGTTAGATAGTCGCCTTTTTGGCGACCCAATTGGCGACGATTGTCTGTCAATGAGCTGTGCGGTGCGTCGCATAGCAGGCACAGGCACAGGCGCTGCCGCCTCCGTATTGGTGGCCACATCAACGAAAGTGGTTGCTTTTGGCTCCGCGAACAGCGCCTCAATCGTCTGCCAATGCTCCGACTCTGCAGCATGTTGCAAACGTAGCTCACTCAATTCCTGCTGAAGCTCCGACTGCCTGGCCTGCAGACTATCACAGCGCTGCTCCAGCAACCTGGACTGTGTCTCCGATTTGATAAGCTTGATCAAATGCTGCGAGTTTTCCTCGTTGGTGGACAGCTTTTCCTGCACCACTTGCACTACATGCTCAACCAGCGCAGCACTGTCAGCAGATTGCTCCACGTGCTGCTGCTCCATTATACGTTGATTCAGCTTCTGATAAGAGAACACGAAATTGTTCAGGAAGATCAGGGGTGTAAATTTGGCATATTTCTCCTTGAGGGTAAACAGCGAACGCTGCAGAAATCTGTAAGCAAAAAGTAAAGCAATTAAAGCAGCCCACATCTTGTGCTATATATATTTATCTAATCAGAAAACAAGTTTATCGGACCTTTAACGGAGCAACTATTGACTCCGTAGAGGAGCTAGTCACATGGGAAGGTATCTAACTAAGGCTTACAGAGCCTGGCGCACTCGACCTGTGAAGCTATAAACAGAGAGGGACTTACTTCTGCTTAACGTCGCTATTGTTTCTTTCCAGTTGGAAGTCCTGTTGCATCTGACTCGCCAGACACTGCGCTGCCTGCAGCTGGGTACTCAAGTTATCAACGTCCTGTTGCAAGTGCTTTCGCTCCGATTCCAAGCGAGCGGTTTCCGCTTTAGCTGAAGCAATTTTAGAATGAGATCAACTTAAACTTAAATTTCCGCCAGCTTTACCCACCTTTGTCCAAATCGCGTTGCATCTTGGCTAGCAGCAGCTTGTCAGTGGAACTGCTCTGTAGATCCGCCACCAGATGACGCAGGCTGATCTGATTATCCGTAATTTCGTTAAGCAGTTTCTGCTGCGACTGGATCTGGCCGTTGGCCACCTGCAGCAGACCCTCTAGCTGTTTGTTCTCGCGCTGCAATTCCGCCTGCTGGGTCATCCAAGTGTCCAGCGTTTGCCGCTGCTTCTCGAATTCCGCAGCAGTCATATAGTCCAGCTGGTAATTGTCAGCAATGATGCCGTAGTCCGCACAGATTTCAGGTATCTTCAGTTCACCCATTAACTGTTCCATGGTCTGCGCTAGCTGCATGCTGAGCGTGGCATTCCGCTGCTCTAACAGCAGTCGTTCCTCCGTAGTGCAGTGCTGCCTGAGCTGCGCTGCGGCGAGCTGGTCGCACTTGGCAGCCAGCTCCGACTTGAGCAGCTCCAATTGCTTTTGCAGATTGGCCGTGCTCTCAATGTGGCGCAGCTCCTGCTGCTTCTGCGCCGACAGCAGTTGATCATAATCCTCGCGCATGTAGGCATATGAGCTCTTCTGTTCAAGTAGCTGCTTCTCCAAGCCAATCTGTTGCTCGTGCAGTTCTTGGGTGTATCGCATCAGCTCATTGCCATCTGCGGACATGTGCAGGCGCAGCTCATCATAATGCTTGCGAAGAATTGTAAGCTCCGCTAGATCTGCTGTGCCTGGCCTGGGCTGCTCCTGCTCCAGCTCCGTGATGACGGGCAACTGCAATCCTTCGACTACGTCAGTGGGTGTGGTTGGTCGCGTGGCTGAATCAACGGCCATGACGGCTGGCTGCTCCTCCTGCATTTCGGATATATCTCGCAAACTGTGCACGGAGGACAACTCCCCAGTCTCAGAATCGCTGATATTGTGATGCAGGAGCTGGCACAACGCCTCCTCCCGGGCCTTCAGCTCCTGCAGCTGGCCATGCAGTTGTGGAATGCCCGCACCGCTGGGCAGCGCTTCAATGAGACGCCGCAGCAGCTCCGAATCTATGGTGATGTGCTCCGAAGTAGCTACAAGAGATTTACAATTATTTCAAGAAGAAAGATGATACCTTGACTCTGGACAGGTAACCCACCATCGTATTCCCGCAGCTTCTCCAGAATCTCGTACATGCCCATGCGCAGAGCTTCGTTCTCTGCGAGGACGTCCTCGTATTTGGTCTGCAGCTCGGAGCTGGCGGCACCGTCGCCTTGCCCGCGACGTGGCGAACTCTCTAGCGGGGCACTCGGAGGCAGCTCGCCAATTTCACTGGGTTGATGCATAGACTCATCCAATCTCTGGGGCTCACCGTTCTGCAACTCGAGCAGCTTGCGTCTATAAATTACTAGCTTGAGCGCATGGACTTGGAGCTAATGATCTCTGCATACTTACCTCAGCTCGCACTTATCCAGCTTTAACTGGAGTCGCAGCTCCTCCGAGGTGCGCAGCTTGAGCGTTAGCCTCTCGATTTGCTTGTCCTTGTTGCGTTGCTTGGCACGCACATGCTTGGAGAGCACAACAACATCGTCGGGTATTTTGAGCCGTCGACGCAGCACAGAGTTCTCCTGCTCCAGCTCGTTCATGGCGTTGAGCTCCTGCGTATAGTTGCGCAGTTGCTTGTCCCGCTCTGCTAGCTTCTGCTCGAGGCCCGAGCAGCGCCGCAGTGCCGACACGAGGCCGTCCTCGCCACGTTTATACGCCTCCAGAGCATTCAGAGCGTGCAGTGCCTGCTTGGCCTTGAGCACGTTGTCCTGCTCGGTGCTGTCGAGCAGCTCGGAGAGCTGCTGCGACCGGGCATTGGCGACGCGCAGACGCTCCTCGATCAGCTTGCAGCACGCGTTGGGCTGCTGAGGATTCTTCTTGCTCTCGTGTTGCACGCATAACTGATTCATTACCTTGGTGGAGCTAACCATCTCCTCCGACATCGATTTCAGCTTGCTTTCTAGATCTTCAATCCGTTTTTCACGCAACTCAAGCAGCTGGAATATCAAATTGCGTTAGCTTCAGCTGAGAGCGTCAAATTCGGTCACTCACATGTCGCAGATTAGTTTCCTCTTCCTGCCGAGGACTCTGCTTACTGCTGGATGTGGATTCCAATGTACTTTGACCTGATGTCATCTGCTCTATTCTCTTACGGCACTCCTGCAGTTCTTTGTCCTTTTGATCCAGCAGCTGCCTCCAGTTGACCACTTGACTTTCATACTTATCCAGAAATTGACGCATTTCCAGATCCTGCTTTTCGCGCTCATCCTCAAGAAAAGTGACGTTGCCCTCCAGGCGAGCGATTTCTAAGCTCTGCTGCTGCTCCCGCTGCATTACGGACTTCCGCTCCTGCTCCACTTTCGTAATGTCTTGCGAGATCTGCTGCAGATTGGACCTAATCTGCTGCAGCTCCTGCTCATGCAGCACTATGGTCTTCGATTGGGCGATGTTCTGATTTTGCAGGGTCTGCAATAGAAACCACTTGGTAATAGAAAATACTTTAGCTAGGAGGAGTAAGCGTCATACATCGATTTCCCGCAGAAGACGTTTGATATGTTTGTTCTTCGTCTCGATGTTGTGCAGCAGATGCTCCTGTTTATCCAACTCGGAAAGCGGATCCGATGAGTCCTTGTCACTGGCGTCGGCTTGCTGGGCTGCCTGCCGCAGCTGTTCCTGCTGCTGCTTGATCTCCGCACCCAACTTACGGTTGAAGAGAGATGTATTTCTGATCAGCTTGAGAGTGGATAACAACTTACCTCCTTGACCTTGAGCTTAAGGCCATCACGTTCATTCTCTAGCTTCTGCACCATGCGCTTCAGCTTCTCGTTCTCATCCTGCAGGCGTCGCTCGCTGCTCTTCTCAAACTTCTGTGCCAGTTGTCCCTTGTACTCCAACACGGCTAGTGTCAGCTCCAACGTTTTGCGCAGCGACTTCTTGGGCAGCTCCTCTATCGAGTCAGCCAGCTCCAGTAGCGTCTCGTATAGCTCATGCTTTTGTCGCGAAGTGAATTCGCGAAACCTTCGCACAGATACAGTTTCCGGTATCTCCATGCTGGCTCATGCCTGAATCTGAATCGCGTCCCGTTCAACTTGCGTGCGATTTGGCGGCTCGTTGCGTTCTGAGCAAAAGAAAATTTTCTGATTTGCCACAAAGTGCTCAAAGTGCTCGCTTTTCATTTTCCAAGTTTTATTTGCTTGGGCCGAGTCGTTGTCATGACAGCTCGGTCGAAACACACCAGCTATGCCACTGGCTTCGGCTTTAGCTTTGGCTCTGAGCCTCGGGGGTTGCTAACTGACTCACGTGCTGAAACGGAAACGTTTGTTTTTGTTGGCATTTTGTTTTGCTACCAGCTTCGGTTGCTCTACACATCTCCACATGTACATATGTGTGCATAAAGTTTTTGACAGGATAATTGCTCCTGCAAATACAAATGGGCATTGCCCCGCTTGGGGCCGTCGTGGCTATAAACAATTGCAGGTAACCAGGAAAGTGTTAATTGGCAAAGTGTCAGTGTCAGTGTCAGTGTGCAAGCAAATCGTGAATTGAAAAAGCATTTCTAACTGTAAACTTATAGTCCTGACATTTGCTTCGTTCTTCCTCTGCCACGCCACGCTTTTTATGCGCTCTCTCCCTCTCTCTTTCTGTATGACAGGTCGTTGAGTTGGCGTAACAATTGCTGTACAGTTGTCAGATTTACATTTGTCCATTCCTATAATTGAAACTAATGGCAAGCGACTTCGGTTACCCCCAATTTGTGGATTCCCGCCCTATGTGAACAGTCGCAGTTGCCCGCAAAGCCCAAAAATGAATTCATATTTTACATGCCAATTAGCATGAATGTGTCGGTTCCTGGAAGTCGCTAGACTTATTTTAATAAATGTTAAATTCTCGCTAAGCTCATCGAATTTGTTGTCTACGCGGCGTAGGCGTCCGATATTGAACAATGATTTTCTTGTTCAATTACCTGGCTGTATTTGCTTAACCACTTTCGATTTAAAAATTTGCTAAAATAAAGCTTAATAAATTAAAAAATACAATTATTTAATTGCTTAAAATGATACGATATATGAATGCTTACTGCAAATCAGGAAAGATAACATTATTTGAAATATAAGCATTTTAGGTTTTACTGAGATTAAATACTTTATGTTTTCTTATGCCTATGTTAGTAGTTTTTTAATTTTTATTAATTATTTTTGTAAGATAATAATTTGAAAAAACATAATATAATTTAAAAAATATTGAAATCTCATACTTAGTATATTTTTTTATGTTAAAGAACAAAAATATAATTTTTTTCCCATGTGAAAACTTTCGTGTCAAACTGTATATATTTACGCATATTTAATTCATGGCAAAGCGAAAAGCTTTGTATCTTCTGAAGCTAAAATGTGAAATTGGAAATTTAAAATATAGAAAAAAAACAATATTCAGGAGTGTACAGCTTGAATTGTACAGCTTGAATTCCAATATTTGGCAGGGGAATTGCTATTGACCTTTCTACAGATGGACATTAAATGGTATTTCCGTGCCAAGTCAGGCAACTCTCAATTCTTGGTTCTACAGTTAAAACATTTGACAACCACTTGAAGCGTGTCCATGTGAGATACAAGTTTGCTAAATGAATCGATTTGATACAATTTAAGTAGACAAAACTCCAGCTGCCTTCAATTCGCACACTTCCCTATACTGCATCTGTCACTTACCTCACATCGTCTTTAGCTTCAATATAATCTTATTTAATATAGGTATTCCTGATTTTCAATAAGCATTGTTATATTTTATTAGACCAGGTACTCATGACTCCACTCATAACCTCAAGTTGAGTCTCTTGCAAAAGACATTGTATCTTGTGCAATTTTTAGTAATTAAATAATTTTTTTTAATTTTATGCCTCTAGATTTCATGCACAAAATGATTTTTTAAATTTAAGTCTATGCACATACATACACATACACATACACATGCCTAGGCATTTTCACATTTACACTTATATTTTCAATACTAAAATTTAACACTTCAGCGCGCTGGCTTTAGATGCAATAGAGCACTATATTTTTTGCGGACCTCTATATAATATTTCTTTTCGTATACTTCTATTCAGCGCCGACAAGTGTATGAATGCTAAAATGCTCGTATATAGGTATAGCACTTAAGAGAATTCATGCCATTTGGTTAGACCCTTCGACCTTTACCGCGTCCGTCACGCAGCTTCAGACAGAACTTTAATAGGCATCGCTGCTTTATACTCACGAAAAGTCAAGACGGATTATAATTTGTAATGACTGCTCTCAGCTGTAATATTCTCCTATGCAACCCATTGAAGTAAACCCAGTGCAGTTAAGAAATACAGCGATTCCAATAACAGAAAATCCGAATCTCAAAACACCCTTTAACAGAATAAAATACGATATTTCGCTCAAAAAACTAGCTTAAGATGATATAATAATATATAATATAATATACATATATTTCAGCTATTATTTTAATGAACCTCAACTGTTTATATGTACTTTAAAAAATTGCTGGTTTCGGGTCATATATTTGTTGATAATAAGTAATAAACAATTTAACAAGGCGTAACAAACAAAATGTGAGCACGGTTCCTGCATACATATAAATATATATATATATATCCGTATATTTCAAGAGCCTCTCGGATCAATCGTTGGCAGACTTCCAACTTGATTACTGCACGTACTAAGCTGTAACCACTTGAGAATTGTAAGATTGCAGCAATTGCACTTTTTGTCTGTGTGTCCAATTGAGTCTTTATGTATATTATTATTTATTATTTTAACTTTTAATAACTACGTAGAAAGAAGCATAACAGACTCTCCTTAAATTATTGATTAACTTTAACAATTCTTTCATATAATCTGTGTCTCTTTGCCATACGCCAAGCTCCAAACTGATGATTGATCTGATAGTACAATGTCAAATGGATTAACATATTAGTGTAAATAATTTAAAAACTTTAAAATATTTTTTTTTGAGAAATATCAAGGAACTTAGTCAGTTTTATTATGGTTAGTTGAATTTTTCCTTTCTTCAACTTTGTTCTTATGCCTTGTAATCGTATTCATACACAGCTATTGGCAAGATCATCCTTGTTGCTCTTGGCATCCAATTGCAATAGCATAAACTCATAGTAAACCAACGTCGTGATCATCTACAATAGAGAATAATACGTTGTTTTAATTATTGTTTATTTGCCAATGGCATTATGTGAAAGGCGCACTCCGAAGAAACTCCTGCGTGTCAGATGAAATAGGCCCAAGCCGGAGAGTCCAATGTACTGGCTGCCCAGTTGGTGGTTGAACCGCTGCACCTCCTCGGTCCAGCAATTACTGGGCACCGTGGAAAGGGCCCTAAGAGGCAGCAGCGAGGCCTCGTGAATTTTGGAGGCACACATAAAAACGGCGCAGGTGCGGCCCAGCAAATAGAGCAAACTGTACCAGAAATAAGCGTAGTTGATAGGATAATGAAGCTTTCTGTCACAAAAATAATTAAGTAAGTGATAAATATTTTTTAGAGTCCATTTAAGCGAAACACTTACGTAAAAATGGTCAATAGCTTATTGCATATAAAGTAAATGTTGCTCAAGCAGGAAATCAAAACAATATTCGACATGTTGACCTCAACCAGGTCCATGAGCTCACACAGGAGAATGTGATGCATGCGAATTTCATGCCATTCGGCATCAGGCACATACTGCCAGACAGTACAAAATGAGAAAGCCACTTAAAATATATGAAAATGTAGATCGTAGACTTACCCGCTTGACTGCATTCAAAACGCGATTGGCCATCTGTTGGAACCGTTGGGATAGGCCAACGCTTATCAAAATTATGAAAGTATCCATGAAGTTGCAAATGAAAGTGAAGGTGCCATTCAAAAACTGCGAACGTGAATACGTGAAAACTTTTCATTAGTTCCATTTGAGTAGCATATTTTGGGTACCACATACAAAGGCATAAAATATAAAGATGGAGTTGTAGGGCACCATTTCAAAAATATCCGCGAACTCCTTCATCATGTACCCTTTAAAGGGTATCTGAGTTATGTTCGGCTGACAATGCACTATTTGTATTCGAAAATTAGAATAGCTTGAAGCATAGTACAGCCAATGCTCAACTATAAAAAATATGAGTCTTAAAGAAGCTCTTAAAATATTAGGATACATTAATGCTTACGCAATGTCAAACATCCCATGGAGCATCCAGTGATAAGTAGCTTGCGTCGTAGACTATATTTCATTGTTTCATATGGGGGAAAGAGCATTATGATATCTATACCAGTCCAGGGCACAATCAAACGAGACCAGCCACGCGCCAGTGAAATAAAATTCACACAGATTACAATTCCGCTCGTAAAGAGCACGACGCTAACTGTTGCAGAAAAAGCAAAAATGTTTATTAAAATCGACTCGGAAAATTAGTTGAAGAAAGTACTAAAATGTTTAATAAAATAGACTCTGAAACTTAGTTGAATAAAGTATTAAAATGTTTATTCAGATAGACTCTGAAACTTAGTTGCAGAAAGTACAAAAATGTTTATTAAAATAGACTCGGAAAATTAGTTGAAGAAAGTACTAAAATGTTTATTAAAATAGACTCTGAAACTTAGTTACAGAAAGTACAAAAATGTTTATTAAAATAGACTATGAAACTTAGTTGCAGAAAGTACAAAAATGTTTATTAAAATAGACTCTGAAACTTAGTTGAAGAAAGTATTAAAATGTTTACTAAAATAGACTCTGAAACTTAGTTGCAGAAAGTACAAAAATGTTTATTAAAATAGACTATGAAACTTAGTTGAAGAAAGTATTAAAATGTTTACTAAAATAGACTCTGAAACTTAGATGAAGAAAGCACTAAAATGTTTATTAAAATAGACTCTGAAACTTAGTTGAAGAAAGTATTAAAATGTTTACTAAAATAGACTCTGAAACTTAGTTGCAGAAAGTACAAAAATGTTTATTAAAATAGACTATGAAACTTAGTTGCAGAAAGTACAAAAATGTTTATTAAAATAGACTCTGAAACTTAGTTGAAGAAAGTATTAAAATGTTTACTAAAATAGACTCTGAAACTTAGTTGCAGAAAGTACAAAAATGTTTATTAAAATAGACTATGAAACTTAGTTGAAGAAAGTACTAAAATGTTTATTAAAATAGACCATGAAACTTTGTTGCAGAAAGTACAAAAATGTTTATTAAAATAGACTCGGAAAATTAGTTGAAGAAAAATGTTTATTAAAATAGACCATGAAACTTAGTTGCAGAAAGTACAAAAATGTTTATTAAAATAGACTCTGTAATTTAGTTGAAGAAAGTATCAAAATATTTATTAAAATAGACTCTTAAACTCTTAAGTGAACTCGCACTCGGTTTAGATATAGGTTCCAGCAGTAGGGTTTTATTAAGTCACAACTTTAAAGCTTTCAGTCTATGGCTTCTAGCGAAGAACTTAATAATCAAGAAGACTCTTAACTTATGCTTAACTTATTAAGTTCACAAAATCTATTCATATATATTTGATTGAGAGCTCCTTAATGCGCATTTCGTTAGCATAGAAATTTAATAAATAAATGGAAATTTGATGTTTATAGTCAAAAATAGAATGAAGCATTATTAAAACTCTATTCGAATCTGCGTTTTCAAACACACTGCATATCAAGAAAATATATAAATACATTCATAAACATACATACATATATATATATATATACAGAATACAGAATAGTTACACATAGACTATATTTATATAAGCAGAAAAGGTGAAAACTTATAATGACACAAGTGTGCTCTAGCCGAGACTGCTCAACTAGGGGATGCTCTGAACCCTGCTAACAGCTAATATATCTATACTTATACGTTTATCAATCGGAGCACGTGTTCTACTGCGCAGTTTACGCAGCGGTTGCGCTTGGGCTGCCGTATGGGAATTTTATTGTTGAATAACTTTTCTTCTGGATGGATTTTCTTATTGGCATTCAGAATTTACCAAAGCACAAGTCTTTAGTATTTTCAATAGGATCTTTGTCAATTTAAGGGAAGGGGGCGCAGGTATTAAGAATCACAAATTTACAAAATCTCTGTAGTTATTACAGAAACCCCCACAGTAACTTGGATGAGTGAAGCTTTTGTGGTATTCAAGCTACGCTTAAAAAATTAAGTTAGATAATAATAAGAATAATATAATAAATATAATACTAATAAAAAAAGATGCATTTCCGAAAAAAGATTACTTCTTGAATCCCTATTTTAAATGAGTTCAGTGTGTACAAGGAAATTCGCCCTCTTCAGGAATCTGAAGACTGAATGTTCACTACCTCACGCATCGGCTCTACTATCCGCTTTTATCCTTTGGTCAGTGCATAAAATGTCGAAATTGTAACAATTCAAATATGACTTTATTTTCAAAGCTCTAGCTCCAAGGTTTCAAGATCGACACATTCAAACCTTTGGGCAGACGGACGAGGGAGTAGACAAACGCACAGAGCTAGATCGAGTCGGTTTTTGATCATGATGGACAACGGCCTCTGTCGCGCTGTTTCTGCCTTATACATACATTGAAAATGTAGCACAATAAATTATTTTTGAGAAGGCTTTCCCAGACTATAATTTCCAACAATCTCTCTTTCCAAAAAGATTTCCAAACTTACTCATACTTTTGGCATTCAGGCCGCCTTGGAAAAGCTTCGTTGCCAGACGCATAGTTTTTAGGCCACCTAACAGAAGAAATATCAGTGAAAAGCAGGTGCCACAAGAACGCAGTTGAAATTTAACCAGGTGAGGACTACGACTTAGCACATTCGTAAGTGGCATCATGCCGAACACCTGGGCCAGGCACAAGTCTGTAGATGAGCAGAGTGAGACGGGAGCATCTTTAAGCACACAAAATCTACCCACATGGCCGTATGGCACGATGAAACGTATCCAGTTGCTCCAAGTCCTCAGCATTGCCAGCACAGCGCCATTTTTTCTCCACTGTGGCGCGTTGCTGTCGCCGCCTCGCCTTTAACAGCGTGAAAAGGTTTCGATCCCATTCGAACGGATGTTTAACCACAGCGTGCCGCATGTCGACTAAGTTCTTGCTGCACAGTAAGCGCCGACAGCTGCTTTTCTCATTAGCTCCTAATTATTGTTTACAACAACTAGCTCCCACGCAGCGCGTGTTAACTGCATTTTTAAACTGTAATTTCCTCAGTGTGCAGTGTGACCAGCAATGCTCAAAACACATTTTCCAATTGGGTCGCGCATAGACGCAGGCGCTCCGGGTCAGTGCTCAAATGACCAGCGACATGGACGGACAGACTAGTGGGAAATTGCGGCGCATAATCAAACAGAGCCCACAAAAGTTGGATAAAAGCACCCAAAGGAAGCAATCGAATGGGGGCAATTTCGACTTTCGTGTAATAAAAAGCGAGACAACTACGAACTATGCGCAGCTGGAATTATTTCATCGAGCCGCTTCTCCTAGTAAGTAGAAACTATTTCACAATTGATGTGAAGATATGCTGTGTATACACAGATTTGTTCATGTTTTATATTTATGTAATATCTCATAAGTGTTAGAAAATAATTTATGAAGCTATCAGTTTTGAGGTTTTGAACAGGATAATTGCATTCTATCATTCTAAACATTCTAAATTCTAGTCTTAACTTTCCAGTCTTCAGCTCTGACCGAACAGAGTAAAGCCTAGAAATGCATGCCGTTTTCTAATCGGAATATCTGTTAACCCACTACCCATAACCCACTTCAAAACTCAATATACTTTTCTCTTTATTTCATAGTCATGTTGCTGGGTCAGTGTTTCGCCATCATGCCACTGACTGGCATCAGGCGAGCAAGTCCACGGCATGTGCATTTCCGCTTCAAGTCTGTGCCGATGATTGTGACGCTGATCTTCATGATGGCCAGCTCGGTGCTAACGCTGTGTATGCTGAAGTATTTGCTCAACATAGGCGTTACAGCGAAGAACTTTGGTTGGTATTAGTCAAAGTGAAGAAGTCAAAACCTGAAACTCATGGCATTTCCATTTTGCGTAGTTGGTCAGGTGTTCTTCACCTGTGTGCAGTGCGCTTGCATTTTATTCATTGACTTGGCGCGTCATTGGCCGTCTCTGATTCGCTACTGGACGCACCTCGAACTAGTGTTCACCAAGCCCCCCTACGAGGTGCTCAAAAGAAACCTGTCACAGCGCGTGCGACAACCAGCGCTTATCATAATAGCCTTGTCACTGGGTGAGATATTAATAAAAGCCGCTCTTATCCTCCTATAAAGTGTTGCTTTCCCTATTGCAGTCGAGCATAGTTTGTATCTCAGCTCTGCTATCGTCAGCTATAAACAGCGCGTGAAGTTCTGCACCCAAAATTACAACTCTACGATGGGCGTGTCCTTTGATAACTATGTTAAAGTGAACTACGACTACGTGTTCCCTATGCTGCCCTACACACGCCTTATAGGCGTCTACGTGCTGGTAAGACTCTAACAGAATTATAAGAAATGCTATTCATGAACTATAAAACGTTTATATAATAAGACTCTTAGATTACTACTGTTATTATTGGATACATATTGTATGTAGATCTCTTGCCTCGACTTTCTTTAGCTGGTAAATGGCACCTGCACTTTCATATGGAACTACATGGATCTATTCATCATGATGATCAGCAAGGGCTTGGCCTATCGCTTCGAGCAAATTTCGAAGCGCATTCGCAGACTGGAGCACGAGGATCGGGTGCCGGAGACTACGTTCATGGAGATCCGTGAGCACTATGTGCGCATGTGCGAGCTACTGGAGCGTGTGGACAACGTTCTCTCCGGCATCATTTTGTTATCCTGCGCCAACAATTTGTACTTCGTATGCTGTCAGCTGCTCAACATATTCAAGTGAATGATCAATATCGATCGGTAGTAACGTTAACAGAATTAATGCAAAAGCTTATGTTTTTTTCGCATAGTAAACTACGCTGGCCCATCAACTATGTGTACTTCTGGTACTCCATGCTCTACCTGGTGGGTCGCACAGCTTGTGTGTTCCTCACGGCGGCCACCATCAATGATGAGTCGAAGAGTGCCCTGAGCGTGCTGCGTCGTGTCTCCAGCAAGAACTGGTGCGTGGAGGTCGAACGCCTAATTTTCCAAATGTCCACACAAACAGTGGCGCTGTCCGGCAAGAAGTTCTATTTTCTAACACGCAGGCTGCTCTTTGGTGTGCGTATAGCTCGAGTGCTCCCAACTTCCTGTTTCGCACTAACATTCGCTGACCTTCTGTTTAGATGGCTGGCACTATAGTTACCTACGAGCTGGTGTTGCTGCAATTCGATGAACCCAACCGCCGCAAGGGCTTGTTGCCCTTGTGCGCCTGAATGGAAATGGCAACAACGATTATAAATTGTCATGGCTGACAGTCGGCCACATTTATCTTTAAATTATTGTAAATACTAGCTGCTAAATTGTGAAAACCCCGACACGCCCCCACTTATTGCCTGCACATAAAGCTTTCGCGAAAAATGTGCACAGTCAGTGCCAGGCCATGCCGCAGGGTGAAACATTCTATCGCGCTGTCTCCCAAGGTACGCGCCACATGTTGCGACTTGGCCAGAGATTTGCTATTTGATTTTCCTCATTCTGTTCGCAGTGCTTTTCATATCACAGGCTTATGGTCTGCTGCCTGTGAGTAATATACGCGCCCTGGACATAGAGCAAATTCGGTTCAAATGGCTTACTCCACGCGTCTTTTATTCGGCAATCATTTTCATGCTCAATCTGATTGAATTTGGAGCCGTATTGAATCGTGTCATCAGCGTTGGCGTCACCTTCCACACGTCCAGTTCGCTGGCACTCTACATTGTTTGCATGTTGGAGCACCTGTTCTTCTGGAAATTGGCATTCAATTGGCACAGTATCATGCGCCACTGGTACCGCGTGGAGCAGCTCTTTCTAAGCGTGCCCTATCGCTTCTATGACGAGTACAACATGAAGCGACGCATCAACATTGTTGTGGGTCTCATTATGTCATCTGCTTTAGGTGAGATTTGTGATTGCTCCTTCACATGGATGCTATAGGTGTATTTGTCGTTGCAGTGGAGCACTGCCTGCTGCTGGCCAACTCATGTCACTTAAGCAATCTGGAGCGCACGCAATGCAACATTAATGTCAGCTACCTGGAAAGCATATACAAGTGGGAGCGCCCACATCTCTACAATATACTGCCCTACCATATCTGGCTGCTGCCTTTGCTGGAGGCAAGTCTGTCGATTGATAGTGCTTGATTCAGATTGATACATGAATTACTTGCAGTGGGTTAATGAGACGATCGCCTATCCGCGCTCCTTCACCGACTGCTTCATCATGTGCATTGGCATTGGGCTGGCTGCACGTTTCCATCAGCTACATCGGCGCATTGCCGCCGTGCATCGAAAGGTGATGCCAGCCATATTTTGGACGGAGGTGCGACATCATTATCTGGCTCTGAAGCGTCTAGTGCGTCTGCTGGACGCTGCTGTAGCTCCGCTCGTGCTCTTGGCCTTTGGAAATAATATGTCATTCATATGTTTTCAGTTGTTCAATAGTTTCAAGTGAGTTCACACTCTGTTCGAGGATTCTTTTCAGCTAAAAGTGCTATTTTCTTGCAAACAGAAACATTGGAGTCGATCTCATTGTCATGCTAGCCTTCTGGTACTCGTTAATCTTTGCCATCATACGCACTGCTCTAACCATATTTGTCGCATCATCAATCAACGATTTCGAGCGCAAAATTATCACAGCCCTTCGTGATGTGCCCGCTAAAGCGTGGACCACAGAGGTAATCTGAACACTCAGTTTCAAAAGTTTTCCTCTGACAGCTTCTATGTCGAACAGGTGCAGCGCTTCAGCGAACAGCTTGGCAATGATATGACCGCTATATCTGGTAATGGGTTCTTCTATGTCACCCGGCAACTGGTGCTGTCCGTAAGTTGGGAAATCGGGCATTCAAAGGGCAATAGCTTTAGAGACTTTTTTCTCTGCAGATGGCTACCACAATTATCACGTATGAGCTCATGATCTCGGATGTTATTAACCAGGCAGCAATACGGCAAAGGACCGTCTATTGCTGAATCATAACAAAAATGCCCATCAAGTACTTTTGTGACCCTCACATTTCAGCTACTGAGAAAATCTACTAAGTGATTAGTGTTATTGATAAGCCAGGAAACACTTAGAAGCAGTTTCAAATGTCATGCCTGTCCATTCAGATCTTAACTGCAAATGCATTAATCAATTTCCGCCATACGCCCCGTTGTACACATTCGCTTGACGATTGCAATCGCTGCAAAACTGAACGAATCTTTTTTCGCATGTCCATTTGCCAGTAAACAGTCAAGAAATGGAGCATAGCCGAGAGAGGTGCAATAAAAACACGCTCCAGCACGCCATCGGACCCTGTAAGTAGCACTCTGTGGAACGACCATTTGCAAATAATATACGGCCTGCACTAAGTGTTTGATTGATGGTTAGTCCAAGCAATGCCTTAAGGGCTCGAACATACATTTAATACTCCCCGAAAATATTGCTATGTAACAACTGATAAAAGGGCAGCAATCTTCAGATTTTATGATAAAATGAATATTCGATTTTCTTTATAATAATAACAATAAAGAACAATATTAATGCAAATAATTCAATAATAAATATATATATATAAATAATAATACTCTAAGTTCTGCAACTGCCTTTTATAGTTCTGGTTCTGTCACAATTTCTTGGCGTGTTTCCCGTTTCCGGCGTCTGGCCCAGCGCCCCAGTCGAGAATGTCCGCTTCCGCTGGCTGTCGCCGTCTCTTCTGCTCAGTGTCATCATATTGGTATTTGCTATCATGGATCTTGGACTCTCTTCGAAAGTGGTGGTCGATCATGGACTTAAGATCTACACCATAGGTAAGAGGAATCTGTTCCGATAAGTTGATGCAGCTGACAATTTAGAATCTCGTTAGGCTCGCTAAGCTTCAGCGTCATTTGCATTGCCTGCTTGAGCATTTTCCTGTCTCTGTCGCATCGATGGCCGCATCTCATCCGGCGGACGGCGCACTGCGAGCTGGTCTTTTTGCAGCCCGGATACGATTGCCATTGGGGTCGACAATACGGACGCCGACTGCGCCTTTGGGGCGTGGGCATGCTGGTGGCCGCCCTCTGTGAGCACTCGACGTATGTGGGGAGCGCCCTGTATGGGAATTATCAGCAGATTCACGAGTGCAAACTGGACGTGGACTTCTGGCTGAACTACTTTCAGCGGGAGCGACAGGAGCTCTTCTCGGTGTTTCACTTCAATGTGCCTCAGGCGCTTTTCATTGAATGGACCACGCTGGCCATGACTTTCGTTTGGAACTTCGTGGACATCTTTCTGACACTGCTCTGTCGCAGTCTGCAGTTCCGCTTCCAGCAGTTGCACTGGCGCATACGTCGACACTCCGGGCAGCAGATGCCCAGCGAATTTTGGGAGCAGCTGCGCTATGATCTGTTGGATCTGTGCGACTTGCTCAGGCTATACGACAAGGAGCTCTCGGGCATGGTTATTCTGGCCTGTTCACACAACATGTACTTTGTCTGTGTACAGATGTATCACAGCTTTAAGTAATTGCTTAGTTGCTTCATGGTTTCAAATAGTTCCTAAACCTATTTCACAACTCTGTGCAGGGCAAGGGGCAGCTTTATGGATGAGTTGTACTTCTGGTTCTGCCTGATTTACGTGATTGGCCGCCTTTCCAACATGATGTTCGCTGCTTCCTCCATTCCACAGGAAGCCCAGCAAATATCGTACACCCTCTTTGAAATACCAACAGAACATTGGTGCCTAGAGCTGTGGCGAATACAGGAAATTATATTGACGAATCGGTTTGCCTTGAGCGGAAAAGGATATTTCTTTCTAACCAGACGTCTCATTTTTTCGGTGAGCTATTCGTTTCTAGCCAGCATAAATGTGCCTGGCCATCATTTCTCCCTGCTTTCTTGCAGATGGCTGCTACTCTGATGGTCTACGAGCTGGTGCTAATCAATCAAATGAATGGCTCTGAGGTGCAGACGAGCATTTGCAACCGAGGCGCTGGCGGCTCTAAAAGCATATTCTATTCCTAGCCGCGCACTAAATCGCAATGCATAAATTATAGGGCTGTCGCCGACGGCAATTGGCAATTTGCACAGAGATTGTAAACAGATAGGCAAAACAGATATTCAATTGGCCGGGCTGGCAGTAAAGAGAAACCCACCTTTCAGTTCTTGACTTTGACTACTCGCAAACGGCCGTTAGTTGGGCATAGAAACATGGCCAGGACTGTGGGTGATGCGACAAGGCGTCGCAAGAGCGTCAGCCTCATTAATTTTTGGCGTGGGGCACGCGTTGAGTGCGAGTAAGTCTGAAGTCTAATAAAGTTGTTTGGCTCAAGAATTGTCCATAGCTCCAATCTGAATAGCATCCAAACTGATGTAGCCTTTAAGCAAAAGTTGTATATTCGGTGGCCAAGACGCAGGCAAAATGCCAACAAATGCTTTTCACATAAGGTAAAACGAATTGTGCAACGCGCTGATAGAGAAAGCTATATGCACAATGGATCATTTCTGGAGGCCATTAGACCAGGTAAATACCATTTAAGTTAAAGTATTTTTGAGTACTTTAAGCCAAACAAGTGAGAGGTTTCAGGTCGGAAGCGTCGGAGATTTGTAGTTATTATATGAATTTATCTAATTTAGAGAGTGAGTTTGGTGTGTGGGCTTTTAGGGTATCGAAGTTAAGCTTGGAAAAAATTAAATTATGCTTATATTTAGAATTAGACAAAATCCTGTTTTGCCTCTCTCAATGGTTTCAGAGTATAACATATGATTTTATAAACCATAATGAAATTTTATAATCCAGCACATTGTTTAGTGGATTATTTTGTACTCAAATTATTATCATTATATATCTTCTATGTCAGCATTATGATACAGCAGAGATCTAATGATATGTTCAGTGAATAGTCGATGTGATGCAATCTAAAATCTAATATATATGTAGACAAATTTATCTTTATAAAACGAAGATATTGATGTTGCAAATTTAAAGTACATAAGTGCAATGCTTAGCCAAAATATGAGATGTGAACCATACTTTTGAGTTATATTTATAAATGAGAAATTCCTAGAGTAAGTTTGGCCTTAACTCTTCAGTCAGGGTTTGGCTGAAATATCCTAGGATAAAAAACTATATATCAATAATCTATAATCCAAATCTATACACTTTCATAACTCTGCTTTATAGTGTTGATCATTGCTCAAGTCTTTGCTCTTATGCCTGTGAGGGGTATTTCGTCGAAGTTTGCTGAGGACCTGAGTTTTCGTTGGATGAGTTTTCGCACCTGTTATTCATTGATTGTAATTGTGTGCTTCGGCGTTACCTCGGGGTTTATGGCGATGTTTGTCATAAGCATCGACTTTAATTTCGATTCGGTGCAAACGCTCATCTTTTATGGCTCGATTTTAGCCATTTCGCTGGCCTTCTTCCAGCTGGCCACGAAGTGGCCAGCAGTTGTCTCGGAGTGGCAAATGGTCGAGTCCCAGTTGCCAATGTTGCGCACAGATCGAGAGCGTTCTGCATTGGCTTCACACATTCGAATGATTATAATGATAGCCATAGGCTGCTCGTTGGGTACGTAGTTGCTATATATACACAGTTATATCCTCCACAGCTGACCAGCTCCGCCTTCCTTGTTGCAGTGGAGCATCTGCTGAGCATGCTGTCCAGTTTGTACTATGTGAACGCGTGTCCCGTCCTGCCAAATGAGCCCATCAACAGCTTCTTGCTTATCAACTTTTCCATGTTTTTCCACTTTGTCGACTACACTCCAATCTTGGGCATAATTGGAAAAGCGATCAATGTCTTGGCAACCTTTGCCTGGAGCTTCAATGATATTTTCGTGATGGCCGTCAGCGTTTCCCTAGCGGCCCGTTTCCGGCAGCTAAACGATCACATGCTCCGCGAAGCACGCTTGGTAGGGCACCTAGTGGAGGCTGAATATTTCTAATCCCAAATGTTTTTATCTCTTCAGCCCACCAGTGTTGATTTCTGGATACAGAACCGCATCAGTTTCCGCAATCTGTGCAAGCTATGCACTGTCGTGGATGATGCTATATCAGTTATAACGCTTCTATGCTTCAGCAACAATCTGTATTTTATATGTGGCAAAATTTTAAAGAGCCTGCAGTAAGGCACCGCCAAGGGGAACAATCAAGAATTTCATAAATATATTTTGTATTTGCTGTAGGAAGAAACCTTCGGCATCGCATACGGCATACTTTTGGTTCTCGCTGGGCTATCTGCTGAGTCGGACTTTAATCCTTTCGCTTTATAGCGCCAGCGTCAATGATGAGTCCAAGCGGCCGTTGGTTATCTTTCAACTGGTGCCAAGGCCCTACTGGTCCATTGAGGTAAGCTATACTACGGCAAGAGCTCTCTGCTAATATTAAGCTTACAGCTAAAACGCTTTTCGGAGGAGGTTCACATGGACCAGGTGGCTTTAACGGGCATGAAACTCTTTCGATTGACACGTGGCGTTGTCATAGCGGTATGAAGTGTTATCCATAAAGCTGCGAGCTCTATTTATATTTTACACAGATTTATTTATAAACTCCCCATGACGTAGGTGGCTGGCACGATTGTAACCTACGAACTGATATTGCTGCAATTCAACAAGGAGGACAAAGTTAATGACTGCTATGAGCACTAAGCTCAAGCGAGCCCTGCACAATTTGTACTTTTATTTGTATATGCCACGTTAAGCTATCAATTATAGATTAGTGCAAAACAACAGGTGTTTTTAATGACAGGACATGCACGACCGAATAAACTGACTTGCGAATGCAAAACACATTTGTCCCTTGGCCGTGGCCTCAACATGAGGTTTCTGCCCACGCTGGAGCGTAAATTTCGACGCTGGAAAAAGCTAAAGAAGCCGCCGCTGTTACGTAAACTAGATATACTGTTCAAAAGGTAGACATCTCGAGACGAGCATTACACATAGACTAAGCTCTAAATATTATTCAGCACGCACAAAGGACAGATTCAAGAGGACAACGCAAAGCGGGCACAGCGAGATTTTGGCAAAGATAACAAAAACGGTATACTATCTATACTATATATACTGGGCAAGGTCTCCAATAAAGGGGCACAGTTCTCTTACAACTGTAGTTGTCCGTCCACGCCAGATTTCACTGTATACTATATATCCAAATTAATTTGTGTACATATTTAGAGCTGAGCTACAGAACACGGCAACAATTTATGTCCAACGGAACTTTCCATGAGGCAGTTGGCTCGGTCCTATTGACTGCCCAATGGTTCGCCATGATGCCTTTACGAGGGGTTACGGCCAAGCACCCCAGCAGCCTGAGGTTCTCGTGGCGCTATGTGCGCACGTGCTGCTGCCTGCTGTTCATTGCGTCTATGCTAATCAATCTCAGCTTGACCATTTACAAGGTGCTGAATGGTTCGATAACGTTTAACAATATCCGACCGTTGATCTTCAAGAGCTGCATCTTCTTGGTGTGTGGCAAGGCTCTGAGCTTGGCACGACAGTGGCCCGATCTAATGATGAAGTGGTACGAGATCGAACAGGATCTGCCACAATATCAAACACAGTACGAGAAGAGGCGCATGGCCCAGACCATCAAAATGGTCATGCTTGTGGGCATGATGTTATCCTTTGGTAGGATTGTAACTTAGCTTCAACTCGCTCTGTTTTAATGTCATTTACTTTGCCAGCGGAACATTTGCTGAGCATTATTTCAGCCATCAATTATGCTTCGTTTTGCAATCGAACTGATGATCCCATACGAAACTTCTTTGAGATGACCAACGATGAGATCTTCTATGTTCTGAACTACTCCACGCCGCTTGCCCTGTGGGGCAAAATACAAAATGTTTACTCGACCTTTATATGGAACTATATGGATATAATGGTTATGATAGTAAGCATCGGCCTGGCATCTAAATTTCGCCAACTCAACGACAATTTGCTCAAGTTTAAAGGCTTGGTAAGAAAGTGTAACATCAGAATTTCTCCATTTATCACATATTTATGTATCTACCTAGCATATGGCTGCAGCTTACTGGTCTGAGCGGCGCATACAATATCGAAATATATGCACGTTATGCGGCACCATGGACAATGCCATATCCTTTATCACTATGATATCGTTCTCCAACAATCTATACTTTATATGTGTCCAGCTGCTGCGCAGTCTCAAGTACGTACGTGTATTTAAGATGTTCTTAGGGAAGATATAATTTTGCCATGAAAGATGTAAATCAATGATGCACTGACTCCATTGCAAGTATTTGCTCTCATTATCAATTTTACGGTTTTATATAGCTTGTTCGGCCTTTAACTTTTATTATGAAAAAGGGACTTCTTATTTCTTGGCTTGAATCACAGGTCATCAAACTTCACAGTGATGCAGATATTTCCTCCTATTCTATACTCCTATTCTGTTTCTTAACTTAATCCGCAGCACTATGCCCTCGGTAGCTCATTCGGTGTACTTTTACTTCTCGCTCTTTTTTCTCATCGGACGCACTTTGGCCGTGTCTTTGTATGCGGCCAGCGTGCACGACGAGTCGCGTCGGCCGCTGCGCTATTTGCGCTGCGTGCCAAAGGATTCTTGGTGTCCGGATACCATGCGCTTTGCCGAAGAGATTACCAGCGATATGGTGGCTCTTAGTGGCATGAAGTTCTTCAATTTGACACGCAAACTGGTGCTCAGTGTAAGTCTCTGAAGATCATCTATTTACATGACATATAATTAAGTATTTGAACAGGTGGCTGGCACAATCGTCACTTATGAGCTGGTGCTTATTCAGTTCCACGAGGATCAGGACTTGTGGGATTGCGACCAGAGCAGTTATTCATAAGTACTGAGTGTAGATTTGCATAATAAATCGATTAGTTCTAATTCGTGTTTTGCATTTTTATTATCGTTGAAGCAATAAGGAAACCAACAAAAGATCGCTCCTTAATATCAATCGGTTACATGCTTATCTAATTACACAACTACGTTCTTATGTTCATTTATGTGTATGTGAGATTGTAGATTGTTAAATATCAAATATTCATGTTTTTTTTAATACAGTGGTCACTAGTTCTCTTACATTCTAATCATCTACTGTGTGTGTTAGAGGGCGAGTAGTGACTGTCATGGGCTCTGCTTTCAGGGTCGGGGTCGGTGTCGGTGTTTTTGGTGCTTTTGGTTGATAACGATTTGGGCATACGATGCAATCGATGCAAAAGCTTCACACAAAAAATTCAGCTAAACATTTTCAATTAGAAACTCGCTTAATATTAAATTCCGTTGAGTTTGGGTTTTACATTCGTAATAATTTATAATAGTATTTTGCTACGATAAAGAAGGTAACATGTACGGAAGTCTGGTGGTTTTTAGTTGCTTATTTCCTTGTTAACATTATTTAAAAAAACCAGGCTTGTATATGTGTTGTAGATTGTACGGATGGTTATGCGTATATGTATGAATATATGGAACTAAAGCGGAAGCTACATGATTAACTATAACTATGCATTAGTGGCTGCGCAAGTATGTGTGTTTGTATATATGTGGTGGTTAGTCCTAGTTCCTACTTATGTGAGTTTTACTGCTGCTGGTAAAAGCAATCAAAAACTTGTTCGATGTTTGTTGAACGCCGCGAATTAAATTACATAGCACATAGCGAGTTAGAGTACATGGGTTGAGAAAGCAAAATCAAAAGTATCACATAGATTGAGATCTTAAATTAAAGCATAGCAAGAGTTTAAATAAATACAAGACTGAGAGCAATTATTACATTAAATAGATCTATCAGGGAATGCGAAAACACAAATTCGAGCGTGTGTAAATGTTGCGTTGCGAGTGAATCAAGCCTGAGCTAGCAGTTATTCAAAAATTTGAGTGGTACGAGTGTGCAGCTCAATGTCGCTTGGCATCGTATTGCTTAACTTTCTCCGGTATGGCTGCCTTTTCCACAGCAACGTGCAGGCCCAGTTCCTCCAAAGACTTAACATAAATGAGCTTACGCCAAAATTTTGTGCTGTTGAAAATATATAAACAATTTATAGTATGTTATAAGTAAGCTTGCTGACAAGTTTATATACCTGACAAATGGCCGCGCCATCCATACCAAAGACTTGATCCAAAAAGTGGGATGCACCAAATACATGTGCTTCAGACTCTTGCGCAGGCGACGATCGAGCAGTTGATAGCAACTAAAAAATACGCGACAGTCAAATATTTTTTAATGAAAGCTACTTGGATAACTCACCGCTTGAGCCATGGAAATGGCGGCACATTACGTCTACTGGATCCGCCGTGCAGATAGATGAGCACATAGTCATCCGTGACTAGCTGTTCCAGCGTTTTCACTACATACAAAAAAAGATTGTCCATGACGTAGCTGTAGTCCGCACGGGATCTGTCAGGCAAATGGCAGGCGCAGAATATAACAATTGCATTCTGCCCACCAGCTTTCAAGTAACCACCATGAGACAGCACACGCTTGTAAGGTTCAATGACGCGCATGTCAATCTCGCGAGTCCGACCATCTGGCAGCGTGATCTTTTGCCAATTTCGTGAGTCGCGTCGCTCTTCGTCAGCCGTATATTGCGGTAACTCTGAAGCGGTTGCACCTGTATCTGATGCTGCCACTCCTGCGTGTGGTGTGGGCGTGGTTGCCATACCAAAATCATCAAGGTCGTCATCGTTGTCGGGCAACAGCTCGGGGCCCTCGCAGTCGTCATCATCATCATCCTCACCATCCAGGCCATCAATCAGCGAGCTGGATGGGCTCAGAGAGGCCAAATTGTGCTCGATGTCTTCGTCATCGTCGAAACTATGATTTGATATGGAATCCAAGCTGGAAATGTCCTCACCACCAGCTAAGGTCGAGCGTTTTGCTCTTCGCGACGCTTTGTTATTCGCATTGGGCAGCAACGAAACCGATTGAAAATTTGACTCAACAGCAGCCAAATACTGCGACACGTCTACATCTGACTCACTACTCAGCAGGTCTGGGCTATTTGCCCGCAGCAGACTCACTTTCGCGTCTTGAGGCTTAACCCGCATATTGTTTTGTTGATTCAACGTATTTCGTACAGCTTCCGTTGCGGTCTGCTCTGTGCGCGGTACTACATCGGGAAAATTCTTGCACTTGCCCTGAAAGGGCTCTGAATCAGAGTCGGTGTTAGTGGGCGACATGAGCGGGTGGCTATTGGCCAGTGTTAGGGTGCGTTCCGTTATTTGTCGTTGTGGCATCGTTTCGACTGGCAGCAGCAACTCTGGTCGTATTATTCTGTTGTCTAGCATTGACGTGTTTTTGTTTTCGTTATTCTCCCGCTCAACTTCAATATTCGATTTGTTTGGCATTGTGGCATTGGCACGCTCATCGGCAAGCGGCGAAACTCCCGTGGAGTCCGTAGGCGTCTCCGAGATGTCCATTTTGCTCTCGGATTGTGATGATTCCGACTCCGCGTAGTGACAACTACAGGCACAATCGATTAGTCATCACATTCGTCATTATAGTTGCATTATGCACTTACCTCATTGTTTTGTAGCGCTTGGTAAAGCTTTTGCGAATGGTTAGCAACACTGAAATTCTTTAATGCACATATTAATGCAGCGCATTCTTAAGAATAGACATCACATTATTATCTTATTATCAAGTTTCACATCACTACTTTGTTAGCAAACTTAGGGCTGCAGCACAGACTTTCAGTATGTTGGGCACACTTTATTTTCGTACCGATATGTATCGATAGTGTTGCACCAACTAACAGAGATGTGATGTTAACAAATTAACAAATTAAATATTAAAATATTAAATAAAAAACATTTTATCACACAATGTGAGAAATTCTTTCATATAACAATAAAAGTTTTATTGTTTACCTCTTACCAATAATTTAAAAATTTCTTTAAGTGAGGAGTACCTATGTTAAAATACAAATTAATAATGTTATGTGGTGCTGCCACCAAGCAGAATATTGTGTCACGATGGAAGTGACTTATCGAATAGTTGGTATATATCGATTTGTCACAGCGTTACCAGTACTTTCTGCGTCGCAAAAGAAAAACAAAAATATTGCTCAACGAAGCTATGGAAAACACGCAATTACCCACAACAATATCCAACAATGCAGCGCCTGTAAGTGTAAATACGACAATGGCTCCTGTTGTTGCTTCGCACGCAATAGACGTCCCTGCCACTGTCAGTGTGTCATCGACATCTGTCAACACTTGCGCAGCCCCAGCACCAACACCAACAGTATCGACAACAACAACAACGCTTTTGAGTAAAACTCCAATTCACAATTTGCCAATAGAGTTGCTACAAAACGACGCTGCAAAGCGTCGAAGGTGAGTTTGACATTTAAGCTAACTGTAAGCTGTCATTAACTCCAATTGTTCGTTAGCTCCTCCCGTACTATAAAACGAAAACGTTTTGACGACGAAATTGTAGAATACAATCTTACAATACCAACGAACCGTAGCGGAGCCGATCCGAACCGATCAAGTCGACCGCGAACTACATCTCAGAATTATCCTGGGATTGTTACGACTCCAACGTTGCAACAATCACCCGCTCCAGTTGCAGCTGCTGCTGCCGTAGCACCAGAATCGCCTCAAACATCTGGAGCTGAAATAGACACGCTACCCGGTATAACGAGCGTAGCCACTTCGTCAACGCCCGCGACGCCTTTAACGCCAGCCACGCCCACATTGCCACTGCCAACAGTACATACTCCTGTGCAGCAACCACAGCCAAAAGCAAAGCCAGTAATGGAGCGTGCTTTAGCCGCTGAACGTCGTCCACGTCCTTCGCGTCCAGCAAGCAACAAAAAGCCACGGCGCAATGGCCGCCCTCTCGCACAGATGGCCACCAAAGATTTAGGTCGTTGGAAGCCAATTGATGACCTGGCACTTGTTATTGGAATACAGCAAACCAACGACTTACGCATGATACATCGAGGCGTAAAGTTCTCCTGTAAGTTTACCTTACAAGAGCTGCAACAGCGATGGTATGCCCTTCTGTACGAACCATCCGTATCACGGATTGCCGTGTCTGCCATGCGCAATCTGCATCCAGAGATGGTGGAGTCCATACAGCGTAGAGCACTATACAGCGTGCAGGAGGAGGACCTTCTAGGCACTATTAAGAGTGTAAGCAATTAGCTCTCCTTTTTTTTTTTGCTTTGACTAATCTAATGTTATGCTTCTAATAGTCGGAGACCCCCAAGCTGGAGCAGTTTCAGGAGCTGCTGGACAAGAATGCCGCCACGTTCTATTGCGCACGCACAGCTAAATCCCTGCACAATCACTGGCTGCTGCTCAAGCAATACTGTCTGTTGCCGGATCAATCGGTAAAGCCGCTGCAAGGCACCGATCAACCGCTCAGCTTTTCAGATGCTGAGGATCAGTTATTCGATCAAGACTTACAAGAGCCTCGCGATGAGGCATTAGAAATTGAGCTAACACTGGCCGATCGGCGCAACAAACGCGACATCCGTCTGCTGGAGAACGAGCTCTCACGCTGGGGCGTGCTGGTTGACTCAGTACTCGGACCCACGGCCGCCAGTGAATTCGATAATCAAACTCTTGCCTGCTTGTGCGGACGCCTTGTGCGTTATTTGATGCGTTCTAAGGAGATAACATTCGGTCGCGAGGCTAAGGAATGTGGCGTAGATGTTGACCTTTCCCTGGAGGGACCCGCTGCAAAGATTTCACGGCGCCAGGGGACTATTAAGATGCGCAGCAATGGTGACTTTTTCATAGCCAACGAGGGCAAGCGCGCCATCTTTATTGATGGCACACCTCTGCTAAATGGGAACAAGACGCGACTGGCCCACAATTGTACTGTGGAAATCTCCGGACTGCGCTTGACTTTTCTGGTTAACTATGAGCTCATCAATGCCATACGGCAGGAGAGCGCCAAAACATCGAATCCTTTAAATTAAGTCTAGCCTAATGAATACTTTTAGCAGTCGCAATTGTCCCTAACAACGTTGCTGTAATGAATTTCTATTTTTTAATCGTCAAAAAGAAATAAGTTCTAAAAATGAAAATATACGACATCAACAATAGCATAAGCGGGTACTTAACGCCCACTTGACTTGGAAAGTCAATGTGCGCTCGACTTCAATCGAACAAGCTTGCAATCAAGCCAAGCGCCCAAATAGCACACGATACCCGAAATAATTCTATGACCACTTTTTTATATAGTATTGAGCAGGTGCAGATTATGAATAGTTTCTTTAAGCAGACCCAACACTTGGAATATGTGAGCTTACTATAGTTACTAATACTCCAGTTTAACAACAGTTCTTAGATCAGGTTTGTTTTATAGAGTATACAGCAGGCATTAGCGCTTGTTGTACCCTGGCTGAAATGAGGTCTTTGTGTTTTGGTCAATGGTTAGAAAACTCAGATGAGAAATTTGTGCTCCCTTGGTAAATATCAATATCAAGCTCCGTTCAGCTCTAAATGTATACCTATCTATATGAATAAGTAGCCGCTGGATACAGAGTATTTAGAAATATTGAAATGCATCAATTAAAACGGACCTTCGTAGGTTTTCAAGTTTCAGTAATAATATAGGGTATCTAATCTAATATTGCTCATTTCATTAGAGCACGCTTCATGCTTGTCTTGACACAAATTGTAACAGGATTACGTTCTTAAAGCGATCAGTTCTCTGGAGCCCACGCTATTGGTGCGATTTGAGTGCAAACCTCCTACGCGAGTGGGTGCCGAAAGCAGCAACAAATTGAGTTCTTGGCGCGCTATGTCATTTGGCTAATTTGCGACCAAGTCGTAAGCAGCTATTAATTACAGCATAGCTTTTGAAAGTATCTACCAAAAACCATTCTATTCGAATCAGTCGGCGTAAACATAAAACAAAACAAAAAAAAGAAACAAAAGAAACAAATCTGTGCTTTTGGGAATTTCGGATTAATACTGAGACACGCGATTGTTTAAATTATTTCCCATATGTAATTAGAAAGACAAATTTAAATAAAGTCTTTTGTCAAATTACACAATTGTACTTACTTAACTATGTATTTTAATGTGTTCTAAGTGATTCTCATTGTTCTACATAAAATAAATAACTCAGCACGAGGGGATAGTTGTTGTTGTTACTTACGAAGTGAACGAGTATATTAGTTTTGTGCAATGACCGTCCGTCTGTCCGTCTGAAGCCATTTATTACTCTCGTCTGATATACTGTTTAGATTTTCTCAACTGGACTCGAACATTTTTTGGCGTTGATTGAAATTTTTGTTTGAGTTACTGTTAAGATACTCAACAGATCAGACCAGTACAGATCAGAGTATATAGTGTTTTTGACAACTGGTGTAAAATGTTTAGCTCTATTAGTACGTTTATGTTTAGCTCTATTGACATTTGATATATGTATTGTTGGCACAACTGGCATCTAAGATATCGAGCGTGTCGAATCGGAAGAAAATCATATATTCCAAAGTTTTGGAGCAGGCAGCGATTATACCGCGATTGAGTCTTACGAAGTCGATAGCGCCCGAGTGAAACATTCTAAGTAGTTTTATAAATAACCTTGTAGACACACATAAGTCAGTAATGCTAAGTCCGTATGGCTCACAATTTAGATTTAATGAAAACCATAAAGTATTAATAAACTAGCAAAAATAATCAAGTATCCCAATTGAACATCCTAAAAACTGAAATGCTATTGATTATTTGAAATCATCTTGAGCTTAGCGGTCAGTAGGAGGAGCAACAATTCAACAATTTGGCCATATTGATTGGTCACAACAATATATCTACTTGATACGAGACAGACTATGCATACCTTTTACCAACAACAAACTATCCTTAATTCCTATTGTCAATGAGTTCAGGCTTTAACAAAACTAAAGTCTTGATTATGCTACCTCTTGAGCTTCCATCGTATCAGCATTTAGTTAGATTTGGCTCACATGCAGAGATTATTGTAATTATTGGATTATCGCAAAGGTAAGCAAGCCACTGAGCTTTGGCATAGTTCCAATTACAGCTATATAGAGGTAATATGGACATTGCGTCCATTTAAGACCGAAAAGTGAATTCCTTTATATACTTATAATGACAATTTTTTTGACAAAATTCCTACTTTTAAGAGCACTTGATATATAGTCAAGCTGTGCTGCTAATGGTTACAAATTTACGTCTCTCGCTGTTGACTATCGTCAACTGCAGCAGACTTAAGCTGACCTGTTTGAGGCGCCTGCCAAAACATAATTAATTAATGTGTGGCTGACAACACCTGTAACATAATATAGAAATTAGCCGAAACAAAGGGAACCTATGGAGAAAGTTCGATGACTTACGGCAGCTGCGACGACCTTTCTTCGGCGCTGTCTCCTCCATCGCCTCTTCGAACGTTCTTTAAGCCGCGTTGTTGACACTATAAACTAATAAGCTGTCGGCCATGCTAAGCGGCATTTGCGACGCAGTCTCAGACGAAGTCGGAGTCGAGGGACTGGTCAGGTCTGGTCTGGTCAGCTCTGGGGGCCACACGTCGCAAGGCACATTGCAGGCATATTAAAATATAATTAATTGTTGTCACTGTCTATAAAAAGTCAATTTGTTTTCGATAGATCGAACTTTTGGCTATGGAATTTTGCTACGCTTCTTCTTCATCTTCTTTGCAGATCTTCTGCTTTGGTTCAACAACAATTCGAACGTTGATTTGTGTGCATTTTTTGTGGCCAGAATCATCTGCTGCTTTCTTTTTGGCCAAGTTAGCTGATGATGCGAGAGCCAACTAATGAAGTTTGGCTTTGTCTTCATTCTGGTATTGTTGTTGCTATTTTCGTTAGGTTTTTGTAGTTTTGTTATTACATATTATATCTTCACCTGCCTTTGTGCAGTTCAGCGAACTTTTGTTGTTGTTTGTTGTTCGAGATGCTGCGATGTTTCGTTGATGTCGCAACTGCTAAAATTAGTCTGAATTCTCTAAATTATTTTTTCTTTATGTTTTTTTCTATTAGCGTAGGTCATGCGGTTTTTTTTATTTTCTATTTTTTATTTATTTCGTATCTTTGCAAATTTCTTTTAACTGTCAGTGTGCTAGGCCAGCTTAGTTGTGCCTCCAAATGTGGAGCGACGGCGATTTTTTAATGCTCGTTATGATTCTTATTCCATTTCCATGTGTGGGTGCTGGAGATTTTGGCCTTTTGTCTTTAGTTTTTTTGGGCCACAACTTTCACAACCCAACTCATTGGATTAGCTGCATGAGGTCATATCAATGCCCTGGATTTGGCTTAGTCTGTATGCGCCTTACAGTCGATATAACTCAATGAATCTCTCATGCAATGAGCCACGCAGCTTATGTAAAAAGAAAACAAAACTGTCAAAGTCAGATCGCGTGAACAGTTCGTGACTTTGCAGTAATAATGCGAAAAATTTATATGTGAATAATATAAATAAAAATAAATAAAAAGCAATAGAAAGTTAACTTTAAATAATACTGCAGCTAAAATGCCCTTTCCAAAATATATAATTCTGTATATATGAAGATCTTTAGCTGATGAAGTTACCGATGAATTTAATACATTATTCATTTGTTAACTGACTGACTGATGTTTAACGTGCACGGCTTAAAGATAGTTATGGTGGATAATGAAATAAAATATTTTTGTGGAGCAGGGAATATCAGATACAGATGAGAACTCTATGATTACAACTGTGACAAATTTTTCAATAATTTTTAAATAAATTATTATGAAGAGTAAATAATTTTATCAATATTCAACCAGCAATGAAAATGCACTTTAACAAAGATAAGACTTTGTTCTAACAATTCTTTTAGGCGTGTTTCAGGAATATAATATATAATATAATATAATCAAACTTCTACCAGGCAGTGCCAAATCATTTCTTGTTTTATATTCCTACAATTTTAAATTCCAATCGAAATAAGATCTTAACTTTATTTTGTACAAATTAGTCTAAGATAGTATCAGCAGCTCAACAGTAACTATGAACGATTAAAAGATTGTTGTTCTATGAACACAGTTAATCTTTGATAAATTCAAGCTGAGATCGCTTGCATTAATAATCTCAGGTCGATTAGCCACTTCTGTGTGTGTTTTGATTATATCTTAACACTTTAAATTAATTATGTCCCAAGCTTCGTTACAAATTGACAATATTCAATCGGCCAGTGTATTGATTGCTTTTTTATAAATAGATTACAAATTGACGCTAAACGATTTGGCGAATCGATATGCGAAACTCAACTCCTCCTTCTGTCCATCATCATCGTCATCCGAATGGAAACGTTGTCATTCCAATGTTTTACAATGAACAATTTGGCCGCTGGCGTTTTACACTGGGTGCCATAAGTGCACGCACTTGAATTATACAATGTGCAAATATGATAACATTTATAATACTTCAAAGTTGGTCAGCTGTTGTAGTTGTTTGGTATTAATTTTGCTAATCGCGTTTCGATCAATTTCATTTCAATTGTCAAACGCACAACAATGTTGTGTGGGGCGGGGGCAATAGTTGGGGCTGAGGGGGCGTAGCCAGCTGAGTGACACTTTTGGACAGCATGTCGCATGCGTCATGTTAAATATTTAAATTCTGTTTCGCTTGTAACGCATAAACAATCCAAGCACTCGAATTTGTTCCGTGTTGCCTTTTATTTTAGTTGCTCATACGCACAGTGGGTCGCGGCTCTGTGAGCTGCATACTAATGGCAATGGCAGAGACTCATAGTTTGTTTATTGCAGCGCATTGCCAATTCATTTCGGACTGTGCGCAGCCTTAGATTTATGAAATGTTTAGTTTTTCGTGTGATTTAGTGTGAGGAAAATGATATCATGGCAAAGCTGGTAGACTGTGACGTCACAGCAGCGCCCACAAATATTGCAAGCGCTATATGGGCGCAGCTAGCTGCGAATTGATTTGCTTGTTGTTGTTTTTGCAGATTGGTGGCGACTCAAGCGCCAGCCGGCGGCAACAAGTTGAATCAAGCGACAGCCTTGAAATGCGTCGTTCCAATAGACAGCGGCTTCGCCTGTCACTCACCCACGCACTCCACTGTGTACTACAACAACAACAACAACAGTAGCACCAGCAACAACAACCATAATAACAATAACAATTCCAACAACATTCAGCATACTGGCGCCAAAATCAACTACGCTCAATTTGCAAACTCCACTTTGGAGCTTAAGACCTCAAGTTGTTATATGATCCAAGATCTTTTGCAGACAAGCGATTACAACGATTTTGCTATTTTTTAATTAAATTAAGTCACAAGGCAATCGCTGATTGTGGTCATATATAAATATATATAGCTATAAATATCATTTGTGTCTCAGTTTTATGACTCTGTGTGGGTGCATTATTCCTCTATGGCTTATTTGTATCATAACATTATATATGTATGTATGGAGAAACAAATGTCGCTGACTCAAATGTGATTCGCCTATTGATTGATGTTATATTAATTATTTTTCAATATACTATATAATTTACAGCACATTTTTGCCTAATGCAAAGCTTAAACTAAATGCAAATATAATTGCATATATAGAAAATGTTGATTGATTGATTGGCAGAATGATCATTTCCATATGTGATAGATGAGTAACTAGATATGCTTGACAATCTAGAGAGCAAGTACAAGCACTAACATTGCCGTCACTTCTTCAAAAATTGAAATAACAAGGCAAGAAATAACCCTTTCTAAAATATGAAGCATACGATGTCTCAAGTACTGCACTTCAAATTAGAGCGTCAATCAATAAGAGCATAAATTTTACTAACAGCTGGCGATGGGAATTTTGAACTTAAAAATGCGGCAAGCATTTGGAATTAACTTTAATAACATCAGTGCCTAATATAATCTATATATAGTATAGATATATATATATATATATATATATATTGTAAGCCTAGACACAATCGATTTGGCGCGTGACAGTTGCGGGTGGTCAGAATGATATCGGCTTATGGTGTCTGAAAGTGCCCAAGAGTGCTCATAAAGTAGATTACTTCTAACAGCCATGACAAGCAACGGCTTTCAGCGTGACGCCTCAGCCCAGAGTCAACCTCTAGTCGGCTAGTTGCCCCTTTCCCATAGCCAAGAGGCTATGCTTCGTGGCAGTCGAGCCGCCGCCGTCGAGCCGATACGAGCCGAGCTGCGATACGAAGCGCCGAACCGTTTGGCGTTTTGAATTTGAAGTTTTTTAAACCGTCAACTAAAAGCGCTGCGATTTTAGTGGCAGTCGAGCCAGCTGAGCAAACGGACGTGCGAGACGGCGCAGATATCGGTTGAGCAATATTAATTACCAGTCATCATTCACGAACATCGGAAGTGCAGGCGGGGCATCAGCAGTCGACGGAACTAATTAAATTCACTAAAGCAAAAAAAAAAGATTTGTCTATTAACGGCGCATCTTTTGGCGCAATTTTCCGTTCGACTTCAACGCGCTCGGGCGTGATGTCGCTGGCTGCAGCAACATCAGCAGCAGTAGCAGTAGCAACAGTTGCCAAATATCGTGTATACGCACTGCCAATTTGTTCAAAGTAAATGAAAAGTTCGACAAAAACAAATTCTTGTGGGGCAGCAACCGCGCAAATCCCAGCGACAAATTTTAATTTCAATTTCAAAGTCAACTTGAAGTGTGCGTGTTTACATTTATAACTATTGTGCAACAAGAAGTAACATTAAATCATGTTTCAGCAAAGTATGCAGCTGTTAGTGGTAAGTAAGAGGCCCTTGTTTTTTATGGTCAGGAAAGCTCTAAAATGTGTGTAACGAAATATCCTTAATGAAATTCAGCGAATAGCAGCGATTGTCAGCAAACAAAACATTTAAACCTAATGCGTGTTCGGGTTAAAGACTAAAACGAATTCACACAGCTTCCGCATTGAGCTCGTCGCAGCGGTTCTTGTTCTTCAACAAATACGTAGCCAAATAGCTAACAGGATCTGTAGGTCTATCACGAGCCAGAGCCTGCAAGCCGTGCAGCAAAATTGGTGCAACGGTCTGATCCAAATACTGACGCACTGTCAACGAGTTGACATCCGGTCGGGGTTTACGGCAAATGGGCAATGCATTTTGTATCTCGGTAATAGTTGTGTTCGCCATGTCCTTAAACGAGGACTTGGTGGTAAACTCTTCCGACATGATTAACCTGCTGTCCTAAGGTAAAATGAATATCCAAATACAATCAAACGAAGCCAGAGACTGCTTACCGCTAATACTATAAACAATTTGAAAATCCAATACACTTTTTATTTATTTTGTTTTCGTGTCGATGGCAGCTTCAGATGTGTCCGTTTCAAAGGTTATGAAAGTAATGCCTAAGGATTTTCATCGGCTTGAATTGTGAACTTTCACAGCCTACTGAAGCCATACGGTCTTTTCAAGTATTTTCACATCAATATTGATGAAAAAATTCTCTATGAAGCTTAGTAATTTTCGATTCTCGTTCTGTTTTTCTTCTCGATTCAACGGCAGTTTCAGGCACTTTAAATGCTAATTTTATGACACTTCTAAATGGTTCCCACAATTTTGTTTTCTATTTGAGCTGTGGCACTAAATCTATCAGCGTTTCAACTAAGCAAAAATTGCAAAGTCGTTTGTTTTCAGCCGCACTTAGAGACAAGATTTAAGAGAAACGTTGCACTTACGTTAATTTATTTATTCATTTATTTTTATCTCGATAATTGTGAAATTCAGAAATTGTTGAATTGCTAACATAAACGAGTTTCTGTTCTCGTTGCTGTTGTCTTTGTGTTTGCCTAATTAAGCAATTACAAAAAATTAAGATCAAATTGTGTGTTGCCAATTATGACTTTAAGTACTATGCCTTAAGCTGTTCGCCAAAAGACTTAGGCAACAAACTCGTTGACTAGGTGCACATGTAAAAAGGAATTAATTGCTGCCTTAACATAAAACAAGTATTAAATCTAGTTAAATCAATGCCAAGTCATCAATGAATGTAGAATATATTTGAAAGCTGTGTAAAATATATATTCCAATATATTGCAATTTTATACTTAGCTGCTACTTGCTTTTCCTTCACTAGCTTCTGTCGTATAGCTTATGTTAATAAAAGGCTATTGAATAATTTATGCATACTATACGTACTAATCATACGGCAAGCATGCTAAAGTACAAAAGAAAATAAAAACAAAACAAAACAAACGATTAACATATATATTTTTTTTCGCCATAGACAAACCTGTAGTTTTTGACCCATATTAGAGCTGACTAGTTAAATTTGAATATCAAAAGAATTCAGTGAATAGGCAAAAACGTTATTTCTTAACAGTTAGCAGTGGGCATCGGACTTCAATCAATCTTCAAAAAAAAAAAAATAAAAATAAAAACCATGAAAATTTCAACAAAAATCGTGTAGTACGATTTTCTTACGATGAGACAGCAGCTGCTTCGGGCTTCCCCCGATATCGATCTCGGCGCTGAGTTAACGTGTAATGTGCACAGCACAGAGCCGATAGAGAGTGGAAAAATGAAATAACAATATGAAAAGTAGCATGGCAAAGGTCACTGGCATCGTCTAGCCTAAACGATAACGAAAATACAATGGCGATAATGATGATGCTGCTGATGAGTACGTGCTGATGCGTTGAATACGTTGTGCCATGATGAATGTATTGCATATGCTCAAAGATGTGTCAAAGTGTGGTGGGCAGAGAGCAGCACGTGGGCAGGCCAAACCTTTCCCTTGAATGGCAACAAATCAAACAAATTACAGCAGCAATTGCGCAAATTGGTAAGACAAGTCCAAGACTGGTCCAAGACAAGCATTAAAAATGCAAATGAGCAGCTGTAAGAGCCAAAGCAAAGCAAAGCAAAGTAAAAAAGTAGTTTATATATATATTTATATATATGTTTAAAATAGGGCAGCAAAATTAGCGCAACTGAATTAATTAACAACTGTAGCATTTGTTTATGCGGATTACTTGTCTGACCTTGACAGAGGCAGACACAGACACAGAGACAAAGAGAGAGGGAGAGATGGGGACAGTAGCCGGCAGATAGTGAAGCTATCAGGTTGAGTGACAGCAATAAATTGAATAGATTTGCCGTTTCGGTCCAGCAATTATGTAAACTCTCTCAACACTGAGCTTATGGATGCCAGACTATATTTAATTCGCTCATTTCTCATTTCGGCATTTCACAATTACATATTATTAAATATCATTTCAAATGTAACATGCCGCCAAGGCAGCTCGGGGCACTGAAATCAATGAAATTTTGCTTGGCGTTTTGTTTTGCATTTTACGCATAAATTATTTACCCATAAATTTGTGAACGCCCCATAATGAACCTTGATTAAAATCGCATTTCGTGAATAGTCAAAAAAGCCCACCAAAGTAACAGCAACATTATTTATTTATTTTTGTTTCTTCAACAATGATGCTGCAATTTCTTACTTTATTGACTGACCCAATTGCCTAAAGTGCGGCTAATGTAAAAGACTCAAAGAAATTTTTGGGAAATGCCAAAATCAGAACAAAAAATAAAAATTGAATTCTAATTAGTTGGTTCACACGCCTGAGTTATAAATGGAATTTCTCACTTAACTCAGTGAGCTGCACAATATTTGTAGCCAATTTGCCAAATTTTAATGGTGCTTCAAACAAATTAGCCACAGCTGCTGCCAAATGTTTATGGCCACGTTCAAATGCATGAATTACGGGTCAAGCCGTGTCCGCCTGAGTAATGTGGGAAGATGACGCGCTTGGAGTCGACATTTTTGGGTAATTTGTGGAGCACTGAAACTGTTTTTGTGCTACCTGAATTGTTTGAGATCATTCAATGTGTGATGAAAACGCGAATAAAAAAATGATATAAAATAAAACATAAATTTGATAAAACACTCTCAGTGAATAATTAATTACTGTTTAATAAATAGAAAGAAAAGTACTTAAGCGTTCTTAAGTTGAAGTTTCCGAATGTGAGTTACTCTGAACCCGATCATTAACCCTATTGTCATTATGACATTGTGATCATTGTCAGCATCGGCAGCAATATCATAATTATTTTCATTCGAAATGATAATTATTCGATGATGATAATTAATATCATAGATACTTTCATTAGCATCACCATTATTAACATTAATATTATCATCAACATCATCATCATCAATATTATTATCATTATTCCTGCATTGTTATCATATCATTATTATCATTTCATTGTTAACATTGTTCTAATCATCAACTTCATTATCAAATCAATAATAATATTATTATCATCCTAAATATGATCATTGTTATCATTATCATTAACATCATATAAATCTTTAACATTATTACCGTATTAATAGCCTCATCATCATTAACTTCAGTATTTCATACGTATATATATGTCAACATCATTATCATGTGGTCCGAGCTGCCTCCGGCTAGCCCAATGCAGTGTCTCTAAAGTCCACTTTTACAGTCGATTGGTATCGGTTTAATGTATCGAGCAATAAAAATATGAAGCTGAAAAGTATAATTAAAGTATATATATAACAGAGAGAAGTCTATACCACAATAATATATATATGTATAGAAATACCTCTGTTACATACTTTTCCACTCAAGAATTATACCCGCCTCAGTTATTTAGAGTGTAAAAAGCACTAAATGGATAATTTACCTGTTCACATGAAAACAACATTTTGTTCTCATTTAGCACTTGAGTAGGTGTAAAATGCTTTGAACATATGAAGCAAGTGAAAATGCCTTAAACTGATTGGATTAGACTATTCAATACTCTCTTCATCGTGGAATTATTAATTATTTATTATTTATTTTATAGACTTTGTAGAAAAATAGAAATATCTTTAATCATTAATTTAAAATATAAATTAATTTTTAATTTATTTTTTTATTAATTTAACTTTTAAATTTAATCTTTAATCAAATCTTAAATATTTTTGTACTTTCGACATCTAAAAATATAAAATCCACATTAAGTATTTTAGGAATTTACTCTCGTGCACATATGTCAAATATTCAGAGATTTATATTTAAAGGAAGTCTGTCATGTTTGTTGTTTCGACTTATTATCATTATTGTATCTTGGGAACAAAAAGACATAGCTGCACTTTGTACTTAGACTTCAGATTTTTACATTTTCTGTTGGCATAATTTTCCATTACTATGCCTGTATCTACGACTCACGCCTTGTCACACTTCTGTCTCAAATATTTCAGCGAGAACAACTGACAGCCCCAACTGGAAGTTGTTAGAGTGCAAACAAGACAACCACGCGATGCTGTGTCCCTGTGCCCACACAGCAGCACAGTGTCGCCAGATAGCGGGTTAGCTCTTGCTGGCTTGGTTTATCAGAGAGTTATATCCAAGGTGTAGCCCACGCATCCACAAATGAGTCTCTTTGTGGTGCTTGACAAGCACAATGGAAATGATCAAACTGAACAGCCATTAAAACTATGCCAAAGTCACGCTGTCGTTGGCCCTTTGGAAAGTCAAATAAAAAAACAACCAAATACCTGCATTATCACACATTGCATTTGGCTGGCAAATAGTTTGGCGTTTTAATCAGTGGCTTTGGTATTTGACGCCGCGGCGTTTTGCATAAAATGCAGCATTGCTGACACAGTTCACGGCTCGGCGCCCAGCCCAAAGCAACAGCAACAGCAACAGCAGCTTGTAAGCGCTGCCAAAATGCTTTTCCCACATGGTCTTATCTGTGAGATACTCATACGTGCATGCATATGAAGTTCATTTACACGCAGCTCATACACCGAGTGGCAAAAGCGGCCCACGCCCCCGCCACAGCCGCCCCGCCCTGAGCTGGCCAATTACTTTGATTAATTTGGCTGCTTCTTTTTGATTTTTTGTGTGTTTTGTGGGCAAAAGCAAAAACCTAAATAAGCGAGGAGAGAAATAAAACACCATTGCATAGCTTACAATGTACATTGACGCCACTAAGTAACCCACAGCAATTATGAAATACGTTTTAGCATTTTAGCCAGGCACCAAAAGAAGCATCCAACCTGGGCAAACAATGCAAGTTGCATGCCCGCACGCCGCTGACAATGAAAAAAGCTTTATACAACACGAAATTAAAACACGATCGCACATCGAACATGGCCAAAAGCAACAATAGCAACAACAACTATAACTACAACAACGCCAACCGTAGCTATGCCAAGTTGCATTGGGCCATGTCGAAGCTGAGCTGAATTTAATACAATATATTGTTGCCGTTGTTGTTGTCTTCCTTCGTGCAACTTTCACTCTCTTGTGGGGCCGAATGTCACGAGCGCGTTTAGTTTTTTTTGGCCACAAAATGCTTGGACTTGGACTGTAACCCACTTGGAACACTCGCAAATTGGAGCAGCCAAGTGCAGCGCCTTAAATGCGGAAACTTTGCAAAATGCAAATTTTCGAGTTGCCAGCCCACAGCGTCAAGGCATTAAAGCGCTGATGCGTTGCAACTTAAAAGAATCGGCACGCATTAAACGAAAAACTTAGGACACGAACTTGTCAAACCCAGGCGTAGGTAAGCTATTGGTGCGTGCAAGTGTCACTGCTGACAGCTTCTGCAACATATTTGGTGAACGTCGTATGTGCTTTATGGCAATATATTGTCTAGTCGGCTTTCCTTTGATGTCCACTCAGCCAATGCCACATTTTCTTGGCCTTCAAATTGCTTATAATCATTTCTGATGAATCAGTGCGGCGCTGAGCAATTTTTATGCCTTTTGGGCGCTTGCTAAGCATCGGCTTCATAGCTGGCTGCCTAATTACAAACGGCCTTCATGCAGCTCGCAGCTGACAGCAGACTACAAGCAGCTGACTTTATGGTGGGCGCCCAAAGATTACATAACATTTCACGGCTCGAAAGATTTTGGGCGCGCCACCTACAATTCTATCCGCATTATGCAATTCCATTAAACGGCTACTCAACGATATTCATAATCTAAAAAGCAAATCCATTAAGCATACGAAAACAAAAAAGTGAAAAGCTTCGGAAGCGCGTGAAAAACTTAACCGCCTACGTGAGCTGCCCAATTGATTCTTATGAGCAACGTAGCTGACCTTGTCGCCGTGACGAAAACGCATAAAAGTCATAATATTTTTTATGGCTTATTATTTATGATGCATGTACAATTGTTTAACAGCCGACTGGCATGTTTGCATGCCAATTGCATAATTATTGTACAAAAAGTGCCATATTCTATTCTGTTGTTTAAACAGACAATTGCGTGACTGACACGCGCATCGAGCCTGCATTGTGGGTGTTGTGGGATGTTAGCGATCGCATTCAGAGTGGAACAATCACATTTCACTCATAATATTTACCGAGTATTACACGTAAGCGCCATTTCACACCTCATGCATGCCACAGGTATTACGCATTTGGCAAGTTCCACAAAAATGGCTCAAAAATGATGCAATGCCGCCAGCGCCAGCGCCAGCGACAGCGACAAATGCTAGTCAAACTGTCTGAATGCAGTTTTGTTCGCAATTTGTTAAATGATCTATGGCAGTCGCGCAGTAACAAGCGACAACAAAAACTACTCCGAAAGAAAATAGTCGCATATGGCATGACGAATTTGGCATGCCCTTACAAGAGATTGTGCATTGAGCACTTTGTGATACTTAAATCAAGATTTCAAAGCAAACTAGTAGCGACTCTGACTCTGACTCTTGGAAAAACAGTTTGTCTTGTGCTTCACAGTCAAACGATTTTGTAATATTATTCAATAAGTTTTCATGCAAAGCTGAAAGGTAAACACTTCTTAAAAGATGCTAAGACCTTTGCAAATAAATCCGCTCGCTGAGCATTGAAAGCCAAGCTTTTTGTATAGAGTATTTGAGTGCAGTCAAACCATTTGCCTGCTGCCGCTGAGTGCGTCGGATGTGATTTTATTTATAGAAATTAGCAAATGTGTAGCCGAGTAGCAACAGCTGCCAAATGCAAATGTCGAAAACTGGGTTACCCCGAAAGGGGTTTCAATGCAGCAGCTACTGCGATGCAGGTCAGTTTTGAACACTACTAACAAGACGGGCGGACGCTGGCTCAGAAGCGCGTGGTTGGAGTCGCTTGCTTTGAAAACATGTCCCAACAAATCAAACACCAACACACATTGTTAGCATTTATTCTATTTAAGTTGCCAAATCATATTTTCAATTGAAATTCTAGCAATTTGTATCGCAACGCTCAATTGTTGCTGCCTCGAGAAACAGGAAATGGCAGCACCAAAAACGTTGACCAAAAAAGGCAATCAATTTTTGCAGTTACGAAAAGTCAATCAACTAACGAAACTTAATACAAATTTATAGCGGCTGTTTTTTTTTTATTTTTTGGTACTGCTGTTGTTGTTGCTGTTGCTGTTGCTGCTGCTCCCACAGTAATTTGGCCAATGCTCGAAATTTGACGGCGGCCTGTCAGTAGCTGCTCATAAGCTCACATACTCAGAGACCCTCTGCTGTGTTTGGTGTGGGTGTCTCGTCGAAATGTGTAATTCAATAGGCAAGCAGAGTCCCTCGCTGAGTCGTTCCGTTTTATTGTGTCTGTGGCGCACATTCTCGGAATCGATTGTGTCCACTGAAATGTTTCATTAATCGCCACATGTTAATATAGAATTTCATGTTGTCCGGCGCATTGTTTTGTGGAATTTGAGCAATTAAAAATTATTATTTGCTTCATTGGCTCGCCGATATGTTTGCCACTGCTCAAATGCCGGCGAAAGCCGTTGTAATTGAGAGAAAATCTCACAAGTTTTTAGCTAAACATATGGTTGCCTTAATCAGTGTGTGACTAACCAGCAAGCAAACCAACTGATTCCCACACGCCTACAAACCCACAAAAGCCACAAAATAAAACAACAACAACAACAACAACAACAAATATAGCAACTGTAGTTTTGCATGCTATGTTACAGGTTTGTGTCTTAAGTCATTTATTTTTATTTTGCATGCGCTACACTTACCCATTTGCTTAGCGCTGATTCCAGTGTTTTGGCATATTCCAAGACGGAAGCGGCAACATATTGTGATTAACATGATTATACATATGTTTATCAGTCAACTCCAGCAGACAGTGTGGGTTGTCTACGTGTATACATAAGTATATATATGAGATATAGGTCTTTCTCTACACATGCAGATGTAGGGAAAGGCCAACATGAAAGGCTCGCCGTCATCGCTATAGGTGTGCTTCGATCATTAATAGATTGAAAAATGTTTGCTAGTAGAATGTATGGCATACTCAAAATCGCAAGCTGCGCTATAAATTCTCCGATCATTTATCATAGTTTTATTTGCTTTTTTATTTTTAGTTTCATAAATTTAGAGCGCTCGCATAAGTATAATTGAAGTGATTTTTAATTAAAAAAATACAGCACTGAAGGTCAGTTTGGGGCAAGGCAACACCCGAGGGCCGAGGGCACTCAGATATAAAGAGATAGTTGCTTGGCTATTTGGTCTCTGAGACACTCACAAATTGCAGCTTGCCCGAATTGTAGAATTTTTGGGGCCAGGCAGCTAACGGGGCGAATGGTTTTTGTTGTTGGCTGATGCTTGAGCTGCGTAAATTATGCCAAAAAAAAATATAAAAAAATTGTTGCGCAACAGTTAGCGGGCTTTGTTACCATTTCGACCAGCAGCAATAACAATAACGTAAACAAAAAGCGGCACTTAAATCTCGCGCCAAGAAAAACGTGATTTTCCACTTTTGATTTTTTTGCTTTTGTTTTTCTTTTTTAAGGCGCGCTCGCGCCCAAAAGGAGTCGCTTGACTCTTGTGATTCTCACGTAACCAGCGCCAGCAACATGCGGCAAGCAGCCGGCAACATCACCGCCACTAACAACAACAATCACAACATAAACACATGTTGCCAGACTGTGGCTGGAGCAAACACCAACGCCAACCGGTTGAGTAACTGCGCTGCCAATTTGGACTAAAATTTCTTCCAGATCTTTGCTCTCGCAGCTGAAGTGGTTTGTGGCTGTTGGCACTTTTACTCTCGTTGTTACCATAGCCACAGCCACAACGACTCAGCCGTCCGTCTGCCGTTTTAGCCCCATAACGGAAATGGCCATAATAATTTTTGCACAATTTATTACGTTGCGTTAGCAAATCAAATAAATTTCTAGCTGTGTAAATCGCTGTTGATTGACTATGACGCTTATGCGCAAATATTTAAATTGATTGTAATTGAATGGGAATGGGGACTTTTATTTGCGATCTTTAGAAAGTGGCTAAGTATTTCGGCATGTTCATATGTGTATATATTTTGTATCACTCACTCACCGTGGGGCATGCTGATGTAATTTCTTCTGCATTATGTGCATGATTAATGGCTGCATGTGTATTTATAAGGCATGAGCTGTGATTCACAAATTCAATTGATCAAAACGCTAATTCAAAGAAATGAATTACAAATATTTATAAATTATGTCAGATATCTCCCAAAAGGCAATCGAATGTTAGCAAAAAACTACAAAGCCAAAGCAATAATAAGCAAAGCCCGAAAATTAGTTTAAGAATACGAAACAAATTTCAAACTCAGTTCAACTCGAGTTCAGTTCGATAATTCCAAAAATACCCAAGTAATTTGAACTCAACTTTGTGTAGAGATTTATTATTCATATTTACAACCCACAATACAAGTAAATACGAAACGAAGCCTGTCATAAGGCGACACCTTAAAAAATTACATTTTTAAACAATAATTAATTAAAGCACAATAAATAAATAAATACAGACGAATGCGAGCACGAATCGGGTAACAAGCACAAAATTATAATAAAAATGTCAGCTACGAAAACATTAGCTTAATTGAAGCGCACAAACCACAATCCGCAGTGGCAGACGCCTACATAGCCGCCGTGACGACGCACCCGGTCGCTGCCCCCATCGAGTGGCAGTTGTGAGTAGTTTATGACTGCATGCTTAGATAATTGAAGCGTTAAGCTGTTTACGTGCGGGTGGCAGCATTAGAATAATTGGCAAACGAATCTCAATGAGCCAATCGCGCCAAAAGGCAACAGAACGACAACCTTGTCCCTGAATTACAAGCATTATAATTTCTGTGCCGCATGGCGTATACGCAACGTGTGTGCTCTAACCGGTTCGACTCGGTTGCCGTTCGGCAATTGCAAAAGAAACACTTTCACAAGCCACATTTCCGTTCGCAACTTGTTGCTGCGTTGCATTGGGTTGTGCAACCGTTGCGGTTGCATCTCATCATGTCACCTTGACTCTGAAATTGAAGTGCAGCGATGACTGCACGTTTTCGGCCAACTTAAGTATCGCCAACAGCTACCTGTCGGCATTTATCTAACAGTTATTGCTGGCCACGTTTGGCCAGATCCACATGCATTTCTAGCTGCCATTACCAGCGGATATGCGGCTATTGCCATATGCCATTAGTCAAACTACAAGAGCAAGTGGCAAGTGGCAAGTGGCAAGTAGCAAGTGCCATGTTACTGACCCCTTGTCGACAATTTTCATTGCAGCTGGCATTGGTAGCGTTGGCAGCAGCCTCGTGGGGCGATGCGAGTCAAAGTCAGTACCACATTCAAACGGATGAGGGACCTGAGAGATACTTCCGCTTTCAGACCGACAACGGACAGTTCCGCAAGGAGAAACGGCTGCAGGACGGCACAGTCATCGGTAAGTCCAAACTAAGAAACACTTATTAACGACTAGTTGGTGATTAGTTAAATCAACACTTGCTCAGTAAATTTCTCTTCAGAGGAAACATGCACTTAAACTTAATTTAGTTCGCTCATGGAGAACACTTTCATGCCGAACTGAATTAAAAATTATAGAAAAGAATCCATCAAGGTATTAAGCTACGCATATCTAAGAAAGTTCTTCACACTTAAGAATCCAAATCCTCAAATTTGTGTTACTTTATTTTGCAGGCACCGAAGCCTGGATTGATGCCGCTGGCTTTTTACGGCAGAAGGATTACATAGCCGATAAGGAAGGATATCGTATACTTAAATCCAAGACTATCTTTGTGGGTCAGAACAGGGGCATTGAGGTAACTATTTAACGGTACAGAAAACCCACAAAGAGCAGCTCCTATTTATTGGCCATTTACAGGAGGCAATCAAGTCCACGAAAACAGCGCCAGCTCAATCTGGCGTTCTGGTTGATGGCAATGTGGGTGGTAATAGCGTAGCTGGTGGCTATCGGAAACATGGCTATGGCTACAGCAGCACTAGCACAACCACCACGACCCCAGCACCATTGTATAGCCCACCGAACTTGGCCACGGCAAATCTGGACTCAGGAGTGGGTAAACTTAACTATCTGCCGCCCGAGCAGGCAGCCAAGATACAGCCACAAACGCAACTAGGATTCGACCACTATCCGGATGAGCTGCCGAGAGCTCGCGATCAATTGTTGGGCGGAAACGTGCACATTCAGCCCAACGCAGAGCCGCTCGATGACATTAATGCAATCAACGTGTACGACGAGGAAGCTGATCATGGCTTTGCACCGGGTCGCTTCGCTGCTGTGATTGGCTCAACGACGCCGCGTCCACCTCTGCTTGTGCCAGAGCTGTCCATGTTGCCACCTCTGAGCTCTCAGCACAGAAGAGCTCGTCCACGCCCAACGGCCATTGGCATCGTGTCCACGACTCCTGCGCCCATTGCGCAGCAGGATCAATTTGTTTATTCAACACCCGCACCTTTCGCTGCGCCGCCTTCCGTTGCTGATGCCGGCTATCATTACGCGCCCACAGCCACAGCCCCACACAATCCATATGGCTTGTACACATCTAATTTGCCTTTGGATGTGAACGCATTGGATTCGGCTTTGTTGCCCCCATTGCCGAATCGGGCGTACCGACGCCGACTGCGTCCGCTGCACAGCAACAATCTGGATGCCACGGACTATGATGGTGTCAGCGTAACACGCAACGGATTCCGCTACGTGCTGCCCAAGCAGTATCACGAGGAAGCCCAGGTCGATGGCAAGCAGGCGGGCAGCTTTGGCTATGTGGATCCGTTCGGCATACGCCGTGTCGTCTACTACAATGCATCGCCCGGACGCGGCTTCGTGCATCGTAATAACAATCAGTATGTGGGTGCGAATGGAGCGCCCTACGACGATCCCGGCCCATCGCAGCTGGTGAATGAGTAAAAACGTTACAAGTATCCTTGTCATAGCAGTTAATCAATACCAATCCGCAAACTGCCCCCTTCCCCCACAAAGCACCAAAACTAACCGAACAGCCTCAAGTTTAGGAACAGGAAGTCGTGCCTCCTCTGAATGGTACTCACTAAATGAAAGCATTTTCAAATATTTTACAAACTTTAGAGTGAATACCCATCACTTGTTAATCTGTATATAACCACGCTTTAACACTGCTCTCAAACACACGAACCACATAACAAACAAAACGAATATCTGTGTTAATTAATTTAATACTTATATATTTAACTTAATTTATGAATAATCCAATGTGCAATTCGCGCCTAGATTTAGTTAGACTAAACCTTCATTAGGGGCACTCGCTGTCGGTGCAGTAAGTGAAAATAGTTTCATGTATTAATCTTGCCATATTAACAACACGTAAATAAACACAAAACAAGCTAAGCACAGCAACACCCACACACACACACACACACACGTACACACGTAAATAAGCACACCTAGATTTTAAATCAATGAGTAATTTCTTTGCTAATAGTTGTTCATTATGCAAATCTTAGAACCAAAAGTATCAAAATATATTTCTTTTTTGTTTTTGTAATTCGATTTTTTAGAAATAATGAGCACCCGTTGCCTAGAAATTATAGCAATAACGACGAACATTTCTTGTATAATATTTAGATTTACAAGCGTAAATAAAATATTTGATTTTACAAAAAGTCTATTTATTCAATCGCGCTTTTGATGCCGTTTGGCCCTTTGTACCCTGACCCTGGGACGCTGACGCTGCAGGCCATAAATAAGCAACAAGGGAATCAGTGCCAGAATAGCGATCACATCCAAAGAATGCGATTGAAAATAGTTCAGTTCCTTGGCTGTCGAGTGCAAGTGAGCCGGATCAGGATGACGCAGCAGATACTCTACCCACCACACAGCCAGCTCCAAGGGCGGCACAGGGTTATCACGCAAACGCTGAGAGCGAATTTTCATAGCTTGCACGTATCTCTTGTTCTCGGCGACTTCTCGAATGGCTGAGACCAGCTGGACGGTGGTCATATTTAAATAGTTGACCTGAACAGCAGCACCGGCATTGATTGTTTGAATGAGATTCTAGGAGAAGGCATTGGTCAAGTAACTTCAGACATCCCAATAAATAAGACTTACCCGATACTGATCGAGGAATAAAGGAATACCGACAATGGGCACGCCGTGCCAAGTCGCTTCCTGGATGCTTAATCCACCGCAGTGTGAAATAAACAAAACCAAAGATTCATGACCTGGAAATGGTCATGGAACGTTTTATGTTGCATATCGATCAGCTCGTAAAATATTTAAAACTTACTCAATATATCGCCTTGCGGCAGAAAATCCTTCACCAAAACATTGGCTGGCATCTGGACATCTTTTAAATACTCCTCATCAAACTTCCATATGAAATTATACTCAGGCAATTGCCTGAAAGCCTCCACAATGTTTAATTTAATCTGCAGGTCCACATTGTGTGGTAGCATATTGGTGCCCAATGAAAACAATATGGCTCCACGCTTGCCACTTCTAATAAATTCATCCAGTTCATCGGGCAGAGCCTTGCCTGGCTTACCTTGCATGCCACCCACCTCAATCACATTGGGTGGCAAGGCCTCCACATAGTCGGTGGCTGGATGTGAATTGACCAGTGATACCTTTGTAAGCTTTGCCAAGTCTGAAAGGGACGGCATATCGGACCCGAAAATGGGCCGCATTATTTCATCCAATTTGGGATTGTAATACCATCGGCGATAGCTAATTATGAACATTTGATAAATTAGTTAAATGGTATATGAAATTGCTTTCATACTCACATTGTGTCCGCGGCAAAGACGAGCGTATTATCCAAACGCTGTAAAAAGCTCATGTTCGCATTATACAAAGTTGAATAATAGGGTACTAGAGCTGGAAAATAATGATTCGACATAAAATCCAGTGTGATGGGCGCATTGTGAAAGGCTGTCATGCCAATAATAGGCGGATAGCGAAACTTGTGCGCAAAGCCCAGTAAATATGGTCCCAGTGTATAGTCATTGATTATCACATCGAACTTGAAGTCATCTGGATAGTTCAGCAACTGCAGCAAGCCCTGCGACCTGGCTATGTTTTTCGCTGTTTTTAGGCCGAAATCATAATGAATCGGAATGGTCACATAGTTGCCAATGCCAATGAACGCGCTAATATCAATTTTATCGGCACCTTCCGCATCATAAAAGTCGTAGGCACGTTCCAGATGGATGTAGCTGACATTGGTTGGGACCTTAACGTCAGGCCGTGGCAAGTCCACAGACAGTATAGTCAAATTGTGACCCCGCTCAGCCAGCTCATACAACAATACGCTATTCCTGTAAGCGAGACTCTTTCGTTATTGTTCTGTCCATACTCTATAACTAAGCCAACTACTCGCCATAAATGATGACTATGAGACGTCATGCCCATCAGCGCCAATATATTGGCGCCCATTGCCCAGCCAAGCAGCTGTATAGCAATAGCAACGCGGACACCGAGATACTTGTCGGTCTGCATCTGGTCAACTACTAAACGGTGGTCAGGCATGCTTTCTGCTCTTATAGCGCTTCCATTTGAGGCCTGATAAGAAATTGAAAATTGATTTCGAAAAATTTTCCCTATTTGCTCTGATCACAATCTAAACGAATGTTTCAGGTGGACAATTAATATACCCAGCCCAGCTATTTACATAGACGATGTGGACATTAAGTTTTTGATTATTTATATGAAAAAGATTTTTAGTTTTGTTTTGAGTTCAATATTCTCTCAAGATAACGACTTAATGCAGTGTCTATATCAAATAATGTAATCAAAATGATAAAAACACCGATAAGGGTGCATATGACAGTTTCAGTTGTCCGTTTTAGAATAACTAATTTAAACAATTATTCACAAATCCAAACTGGGAAATTGTTTGTAACAGGTAGAAAGATAATAAAGTTTATAGAAAATTTCTATATATTTATGATCGGTTCCAGCTAGCTACGTTCGTCTGCTCGACGCAGCTGGCACATAAACTGCAATAGGCAGACACTTGAAAGCTATTTTTTCGATAACTCATATGTTTTCACTACAATCGATAGCATGCGATAATAATTCATGTGTTGATTACTACACTATAAAAGAAGATGAATTATCGAGAGCGACTGTTCGAGTGCTGCCGCTGCACACGGTGCGCAGTAAGCGGACTGAGAGCTGCTTTTCAAGTAGTAATAAAAGAAGCCAAGAATGATTGAAGGCAACTCTGCGCAGAGTTCAGGTGATCTCTAAGTCGGGCACACCCGACTAGAGCCCTCTCATTTGCTTTTGTCAATTTGATTAGAGTTTTTTCTTATCACCAAACGTAAGCAAAGCCGAGCTTAATCTCATTCAGACTAATATTGCTTATCAGTTTGAAAGCAGTCTAGCGATTGATTAGTTAGTCAGCTATACATAGGTGGCGTTGCCAAGCCTGTTATGCTGAATCTATGTGTGCATGCTCTTCCATATTTTGTATTTATTTTGGGAGTACACAGTTCTCTCCTGGGGAAACAAATAAACAAAACAAAACTTATCGCTTTGAATACGTTGCCTTCATTCCCGTTATCTTATCACTGCCGGCGAAACCAGAGGTGAATCAGTCGTGTGGTTGTGGTGCTACAGTTTGGTAATATGAAAACGATTGCGGCAGCTTTGCCGCTGCTGTTGCTTTTGCTTACGTGCAGCCAGTGGCAGCAGTCGAATGCAGCTCGAATTTTGTGCATTGTTGGCACACCGGTGCATAATAATCCTGGCTGGGCGCTGCCCTTCTTTCAAACGCTCGCTGGCCGCGGCCACGAGCTGACAGTCATTAGCACACACATCGATGCTGAGATGCCGGGCATACAGATCGTGCCATTGACCAACGAATACGATGTGGTTAAGAAGCATTATGCAAACGCTATGGGTCACTACCAGAGCTATTGGGATATTAAGCAGCTGCTCATTTGGTATGAGGCGCTGCTTGGTACCTGCCGCTCCACGTTTGAGACACATTTTTTCAAAAAGTTCAGCATTCCGGACGTGAACTTTGATTTGCTTATTTATGACGCCACCTATTCTTTGGAATGTCTGCTTACGAAGCTGCCGCAGCTTCGATCTGTGCCCGTAATAGCTCTGAGCGGTGGTAAGCTGACGACAGACTTAGCTCAGTTAGTTGAAGCAGAGAACACAATCAGTGCTGCAACCATTCCGCATTTCACCAGTCGTCTACCTCTTGAAATGAATTACTGGCACCGCCTACAGAACCACGTCATGTACCTGGCCGAGCAATTGTAAGTATGAAGTTAACACGCACCAAGCTGAGGAAAGATAATCAGTATACTTATATTTCTTGATAGCATTCAGTGGTCTGTTGTGCAACCCGTTTTAAACGGCATGCTGGGCAAAGGGTACTATAATCCCGAGGTGCAGGTGGTGCTACTTAACACGCATCCAATTCTGGATTATGTGCAAAATATGCCACCGAACGTAATAGAGGTGGGTGGCTTGCATATTCGGGCCGAGTCGGAACCATTGCCTTTTAGCACGCAGGATTTTATTGATCGCTTTTCTGAGGGTGTCGTCTTCATAAATCTGCCTTATATTGAGCTGATGTATGGCAAGGGCATACAGGCGATTGAATTCATGATTAGGGAGTATGGTCAGTTCGGGTTTCTTTGGAATGTGAACAATGTAAAAGATTTACACCTATCGGAGAACTACTACAATTTGAGAGCCATCAATGTGGTGGAAAATATGCAGCAGAACATTTTGGGTTAGCTGAAAACCTTCTCCCTCGAATCTTGTCTCAATTCTCTTCTATGATTGCAGCTCAGTCCAATGTAAAAGTATTTTTCACCCATGGAGATAGCTTTAGTATTCAGGAAGCTATCTACAATGCAGTTCCAATTATTGTGTTGCCACTGCTAATGGACCAAATCAACGTAAGTTAAGCTTAAATAATAAGATTAAATCTATTTCAGCGAATCTTATCTCTTTGCATCACAGAACGCCAAACGCTTGGAGGAACGTCATTTGGGAGTTGAAGTCTCACCAAGCAACTTTGAAGTGAATAGCTTCTCCGCAGCTCTCAAGCAATTGGTACGTGAAGATTCTTATTTGGATGCAGTGCAGCAAGCGCAACTTAGTTTTCGCACACGCCAAGTGAAACCCGTGGATTTAGCTGTTTGGTATGCGGAGCAATTGGTTAGCCAACCCAACCTTTTCAAGCATTTGTCCAACCCCACGTCTTCTGGAAAGTTTTACCTTGTTAGAAAATCTATGGAAATTTTAATTCTACCTCTACTTCTTATTCTCATATTTTTTTGCAACTTTATGCTTCTGATTTGGCAAAGCTTAAGTCAAAAGAAAAAGATGAAACGCATTAAGGACAAAAAGGGAAAAACCAAACAGCAGTCGGATAATAAAGAAGATTAGTTTTAGTTTAGCGATTCAAATTAAAGGTGCTTTAATATCCAGACAAGCTGTTAGCTATTCAAAAATGACAAAAGTATTAAAATATTACCAATACAAACAAAAGTCTAATCTTCAAATCATTTAATTTATTCTGATATATTTAGATATAGATTTATATATTATCTATATTTCCTTAAGATTATATTTATGTCTATATTTCTATAAGATTCTGAATAATTTTTCCCTAGTTTGCTTTGATTAGTTTCATTAGCCAGCACCTAAACGTATGCACCACTTTTCGATTAGCGGAAAACAGAAGCAGTTTTAAGAGCAGAGCTGGGCACTCTCTTCGTCGTCAGGTAAACGAATGGTTTTAAGTCTGCATCACAGGTAAACACGACTCGGCCGTGAGCAGATTGCTGAATTCTGTTACCTTTTCGGTGACAAGTGAAACAAAAGAAGGCGCAATCAACGAAAAACCCAAATGCTTGCCCATCGTAAAATTCTTCTTCAGTACATTTCGAGAATCGGCGTTGGAAGCAACTGAGCGGAGCAGAATGTTGACGAAGTTATTAAAAATCTGCTGCAACTCGCGGCAATGCACGTTCGCCAAACCTTTTGAGGCGATGCCGGGGCCTCGAGGCCCGTTTGGATTGGGTAATCTGTACAACTACATGCCAGGTATCGGTGCATACTCCTGGCTGCAGTTACACAAGGCCGGGCAGGATAAGTATGAAAAGTACGGATCTATTGTGAGAGAGACAATGGTGCCAGGTCAGGATATTGTTTGGCTGTACGATCCGAAAGACATCGCGACACTGCTTAACGAACGTGACTGTCCGCAGCGACGCAGTCACCTGGCGCTGGCCCAGTACCGCAAGCAGCGCCCACATCTCTACAAGACCACGGGTCTGCTGCCCACAAATGGACCCGACTGGTGGCGCCTTCGATCGCAGCTGCAAAAGGAGCTGAGTGCGCCGAGAAATGTGCGCAACTTTGTGTGCGAGGTGGATGGAGTGACCCAAGAGTTCTTAGCATTTCTGGAGCAGTCAGCTGGAGACGAGGCAGTCATCAATATGCTACCCAAGCTAACCAGGCTGAATTTAGAACGTGAGCGAGCTGTACTATAATCTTTTTTCCCGATCTCAATACTCAAACAACTCATTGCAATCTTTAGTCACCTGCCTGTTGACCTTTGGAGTGCGCATTCAATCTTTTACGCCCGAGGAGCAACATGCCAACTCCCGTTCTACGCAACTGATGCATGCTGCTGAGACCACAAATAGCTGCATTCTACCCACCGATCAGGGCTTGCAGCTCTGGCGTTTTATAGAAACGCCTAGCTATCGCAAGCTGCGTCGCGCTCAAGCGTATATGGAAAGCGTTGCCTTGCAGCTGTTGGAACAGAATGTTCAAGAAAGTTCTTTTCGATCCTCACTGATTGCTAGTTACCTTCAGAACCCTCAGCTGGATCGACTTGATGTTGTGGGCACAGCGGCTGATTTACTATTGGCTGGCATTGATACCACGTCGTATGCCTCCGCCTTTCTGCTGTACCATGTTGCTCGACATCCTGAAGTGCAGTTGCGTCTCCACGCAGAGGCAGTCAAAGTGCTACCCAGTCCTAAAGGGGCACTCAGCGCGGAAAAGCTGCGCACGGATATTACATACACGCGGGCAGTGCTTAAGGAGTCGCTCCGCCTAAATCCCATTTCCATTGGTTTCGGCCGAATCCTCAACCAAAATACAGTGCTCAGTGGTTACTTCGTGCCCAAGGGAGTAAGTGCAACTGAAAATGCTAATAATAATAATTATTTAAACCTCTGCGATTGTTTAGACCACCGTGGTTACCCAGAATATGGTTGCTTGTCGGCAGCCTGAGCATTTTCCAGATCCTCTAAGTTTTCAGCCCGATCGTTGGCTGCAACAACGCAATGCTCTGAATCCTTATCTCGTCCTGCCCTTTGGACACGGCATGCGGGCCTGTATTGCTCGACGCCTAGCTGAACAGAATATGCACGTCTTGCTCTTAAGGGTAAGGATTAGCTCTAATCTCTGCCATCATATAGCATGACAATGGCATTTAAAATTCAAATTGTATTCTACACAGCTGCTGCGCAACTATGAGCTCATATGGCGAGGCCGAACGGATGTCGAGTTGGATATCGAAACTCTGTTGATCAACAAGCCCAATGCTCCGGTGCTGATCGAACTCAGACGGCGCTCTGCGTGATTTGCAATTCAAAACTAAGCGAGTGGCTACACTGAGAGTTCATTGTTTATTTTCCTTAATAAATGAAGTTAAATAAACTTTTATTAAATATATTTATAATTAATGTAAATCATATGACTAGTGTTTATTAATATATATATATATTTGTTTTAATTGAAAGGCTGCGGGTGTTTTGGTCTACATGTACTACATAAACGATAAACAAAACTAATCTGATTTCTAAGTCTGAATATAATAGAAAGGCATACGCATGAAATTCTTTATATGGTTTCGAAGTTGCTTTAGAATAGGTTCGTATAATACTTGGAAAAATAGGTGTGTATGTGTGTGTCTCTGCTCTTCAATCAGGGCTATTTACTTCTATTTCTTTTCGTTAGGTAAACTTAGCTAACATCTCTGTTGCCGTATCAGCCCAGCCCCTGGTCGCTAGCCACTAGCTTATATATAATTGTGTTACAAGTCTAAGTGTTTTTCGTTATGTATGCATTATATTATGTGTATATGGTTTTAAAAAAGTCTTTCCTAACCTGTTGGCCCACTAAAAGCCCCATTCTGCTTGATCTTAAACCGACTGTAAACCTAACCGAGGTACAGTTACGCCCTGTAAGCTCAATTCTATTGAGAACTTAAGCACTAATCCACTATCGTTTCACTATAATCAGACTGCTTCACGTCAAGTTCAAGTCAAAAATATGTCGTCTATACTGATTTACCTGCTCCTTGCTCTTTCTTCTATACTTCTACTCTGTACTATTCTGTAGTATCCTGTTCTAACCTATAAGGACTTTGGTTGTTTACCGCACTAAACGCTACAATGATTGGTGGAAAAATACATATACATCTAGATTTCTCTGGAGCCTTCTCTTCTGTAGGAGGACTATTGGATCTTGCCTTTGAAAAATACAATATATATAGATATATAGATGTGTGTGTTTTCTCAATATCGGATTTTAGTATCAGGTCGAGAGCACTAGCTCTCCATATGGCTATCGCTGAATATATGTTTGATGAACCTAAAGATATGAGTTAAATATATAGTTCTGCTGCCGATGTTAGTCTTAAAGCTCTAGCAGCAGAACCTCCTCATGCTAGAGTATATTTAACAGCGACGAGTCCATCATGCGATCGTCGTATAGACTCAACGTCTTCGAGGCACGCGCTTTTCGCACTGAGGGGGGCACGTCGCCGGGGGTTTTGACCCGCTCACTCGGATCGCGCAGACGTTCACTGCTGCCATGCCCACTAAAGACTTCGCGGAAGACTTCCAGACTGCGTTGGCGGCGCATTTGCTGCTCTGTTGGCGGCGGCATGTTGCCGCTGTTGCTCGTTACCAGTAGCGAATTTGTGCGCAGATGTCCAGGACGTCGCTTTGGCGCCCGGGAACTCGACAACATGTGCAGTTCGTTCTCGTTGTTGTTGTTGTGGTTGCTGGTCCCATTGCAGTTGATGTGCTTGATAAGGCTGCTGGACAGCGAACGCGGCACTATATGAGCGGGTGTGCCAGTGCGCTGTTCCGCGCTGCGAAGCTGCAGCAGATTAGCTCTATCCAATGGCTGCAGCGGACTCAAGTCTAAATTGTTGGGTCGCCTCAGGCCACTCGCCAAATGTGCATTGTCCATGCTTTTCAGAGCCGCCACGAGATTTGACTTCTCCTCGCCCAATTGCAGCTGCCTGCAAAGTTCCTCGGCGTGCTCCTTGCGGAAGAGTTTCTTGTGGATCAATGCGCGCACTCCGTGCCAGCCACGCAGCTTGTGATCTGTGTTTTGTTGCTTGGGAAAGCCCTGGCCCAGACTTGAGTTCTGCTTCTGTTGGCGACTGGCAATGAGCTCTTCTACGCTTACGTCATGCTCCAAGCAGGACAGACTCTGCTCCTGCTGTGGCTGAAAACTGTGCTTCTTACTGCGCTCCACTAGCACAGGCGGCGTACGCAGAGGCTGCGGTGCCAAGTTGCGCTCCTGGCAGGGATTGCGCCCCTGCAGATGGGGCTGCAACTGAGGCTGTGCATAGCTTAGGTGATTCTTTTCTGTAGGAAATTGCTGATTGGGCGGCGGCTGCAACAAACCACCATCGGCTGATGTTAGCTGTGATTGTGTTTGATGCACTGCAGCCGCAATTGTTGTGGTGTTGCTGATTGTGCTAACGAGCAACTGCGCCGTCGGCAAGGCCAGGTTGTTGGTGTTAAGCAGCGGACTAGCCGGCTGCGTTTGGAGCCGTGGACGCAAGCTCGACATCTCCTGCATGCGTTCTTCGGCACAAAGCGAAGTTAGCCTGGCATCTGCATCGTGATCCCAGCAATCCTCGCATGTATCGCGCACAAGCTTGGCAGCAGCACCACCTCCCCAACCTGCCGGAAATAGCGGGCGCGCCTTATGACGCACCACTAAGGCCTGCATCTGGTCGAAACTGGGATGCGGACCTACCTCCTGTTCGTAAGGAGCCTTATAGGGTGGCGTCAGCTGGCCAGGTGCATAGAAATCGGAGCAACGTGTTGCTACCTCCCACAGCACCAGGCCCAGTGCGTAAACATCCATTTGCTTCAGCGATGTCTCGCAGTCTCGCAAGTTGACGGCACCTTCGAGCAGCTCTGGGGCCATGTAACGCAGTGTGCCCACCTCATTGATGCTCTTGGTCTCGGCCATAGCCACCTCGCCCTTGTATTCGTACTTCGAACCGAACACTTTCAAGGCAAAGCCGAAGTCCGCTATGCAGCAGCTGAGATCTGCCTGCACTAGGATATTGCGCGAATTGAGATCCCGATGAGCCACGCAGGGCTTGTGCAGCTCACCCAATCGTAGCTCTGTGTGCAAGTGGGACAGACCCCGCGTAATGGAGCGCAACATGCCACAGCACTGGGCAAAGTCCGTGCTATTGGCAATTAGCCAATCCTGAAGGCAGCCCAGCGGCGCGAGAGATAAGACCAACTGGTACTCCATGCGGCCATCCATGGTGCGACGTTCATCGTAGCCTAAATGGAAAAGAAGAATTAAATAATGGCATTCTGCTGATACGTGCAGTCTGCTGCATGCTCACCAAAGTAGCTGAGCAGTGCTGGGCAATCCATCAGTGGCAATGCATAGATGTTTCTTTCATTCACATAATACTGATGATGAGCTTCTGGATAGATCTTGACGGCCACCTCCTGCTCATGCAGCATGCCCTTCATCACAGTGCCATATTTGCCACTGCCCAGCATGCCAATCAGATTCATATTGTCGACATTTCGCAGATTGGAACTGTAGCCGGGACCTGAGGGAGCCAGAGGCGATTCCTCTGGTTCGCTATTCTCCTTCACACCACGACAATATTGAACAGCCAACATAATGCCAATTATAATGACTGTCAGCAGACCCACGCAGCTGAGCATCGTGGTGGCTCTAAATGAGTTATGCTGCTGTGATGCGGCTCGATTGTAGATCACCAACTGCACATTATTTATCAGTTCTTGGGGCGCTGGCTCCACAATAGCCACTTGCGCATTGCACAGCTCGCCGGAGCAACAGCAATAGTAGAGGCTGTTGTTGCGGGACGTGGGCGCCGAGCTAGTGCACTTCGTGTGGCTGCAAATGGAATTGCGATCAGTGTTGTCCTTCCAGCAGCCTACATAGAGTAGAAGATATACTAATTAAAATATTCTTTCTCTTGGTTTTCTTTTTACATTACCCTGTTTTACGAAACGCGTGCCATTCGAGGTCTGATTCCACAGAGTAAAACAGAAGGTATAGCCATCCGTACAGCTGCGCTTGTGTGGCTCAGTAGGCATGGCACCTGGTTCCAGATACTGCTGCTCCACACTGATGCCTTCGCTACTCTCCTGCTCGTAGTCATCGTCGTGCTGCGAGTTGTCATTCTCCTTGTAGCTCATGCAGCTGTGCTGTCTACTAGGCGCAGGCGCTATAGCAATCGAAGCAATCGAATCAATACATATTTATCTGTAAGATTAACATATTTTGTCTACTCACAAGCCATTGATAAAGTAATCATGAGCATTATGCACAGCGTCCCGCACTGCAAACTCCACATCCGCCCAGTCATGTTGCGAATTTTAGATTACTTTGGCTTTGAAGTGTTTTTTGCTTGCCGTTTCTGTTGATCTTATCAGCTCTCTGCTCCTTGGCGCTTATTGTTTATAGCATTTTGGCTGATCAACAATAAATAGTGCTGAAAGAAGCATTTGATTATTAACAAAACAATGTCTATCTATATATATACACAAATATATAAGTTTGCGGAACGGACACATAATATTCGTAAGCAGACAGTAACGCAATGAGGGGTCTGGGCATTTGCCATTGGACTCCAAAACCAAAACATATTTGTGGCTTGGCTGTAGCTTCAGCTTCCATTCCATTCTGTATTCTATGCGCGCACTGCAAGTTTAGCTAGCGTTGCAATTTTATTGCCGACGATAACGCCGAGACCCAAATCCAAAAAGACTCAATCTCACTCAGTCGCAGTTGCTGATCACCCAGCAATAGTAAGAAATACAGCACTGAGTCGTTGTTGTTGCGCCTGGGCTTGGCGCTTCTTTATCAGTCTGTTTGTCGATCAGTCAGCCACTTTTTCAGAAAGTGGAGCTGGCGCTACAACGGGGGCGTTTTGTCGACATTATTGTACTTTGGAATCATTTGGTGCCGCATTCCGCTAAGCAAATAAAAAATATAAAACCAACACTCAGCAAAAAAGTCGTATGCACGCAATAATTAGCCTGAATACGAGTGTATTGAATACTTGGCACATATTTTAGTTTTTATTTTTAACATGGTAATGTGAATTCACCTAGAAATGGTATGTATTTCAATTACTTTATAATTATTCTGGAAATTGTATATACTTTACTCGGAGCTTATATGATGATAATACACAGATTACGACTTCTAGTTCATAAATTTGTGCAGTCATACGAAAGGAGAGTTTTTATGTGAGAGAAAGCTTCTCTCATTTCCACGATTGGTTTTCAAAATATAAGCTAACAAAACACCTGTATAGTAGTAGTCTGTCGGATGTTTAGTTCAATTTTCAAGAACTAATTATTTCTCCGCCTTTTCATTACACAATCGCACTGCCTGGCGTAGTTCATATCAAGTAAATATAAAGAATCGAACAATTATGATTGATCATGGAAAGTTTTTTGTTTTAAGACATTCTCAGGCGAACTCTTCGTATTTGATATTTACTCTATAATCTAATCAATCATATACATGATATACAATCACTTGCAATACAATTTAATATTCTCCCCGATCATTTTAAAATTTAACTTATGGAATTTGAAATACTGTAAACCTAAACATGATTGAAATGAATACCTAATTTTTCTCTCTGTACACATCAGACAAACGTTTTACATACATGCAAATGTATGTATGCTAAAAGCCTTCCCCATTGAAGTGCCTTCTGTGACGGTAATTGGAAATTTTCGCTTTTGGCTTTCATTAGGCGCTCGACTGAACTGTATTAAAATGTCTTGAAACTTTGCGTGAATTGATACGCGTTGCTCGTGTAGCTCACCTTATCGAGGCACACATATGTACATAGAATTTGTCGTATAATTACGTTTATGAATTATGTTCCTCGGTAGCTGAAATTGGGTTAATTACCTTGCAGATGTTAGCAAAGTAGACCGGAGCCTTCACAGCAATTCAAAATATGATAATTTTCAGTCATTTGTAATAAATATTAAATAAATAATATGAAGCACAATGTGATACGCATACAAGTACCTTTGTATATGTATTAAACTCTTTGATATTTATGTACGTTTGTGGTCATATGTATTGAGCTTAACGAACGAAATAGAAAGCATTGTCTCTCAATTTATGACTTACTGCTGATAAGAATCGGCAAGAAAATAGGGATGGGAAGTTACAAGCGAGTCGTGTCACGATGGCGCAAAGTCATTTATAATTTTGCTTGTTGATTAGACAATAAAAGTTAAGCTCTACGAAAATGAAGGAAATATGCCGATTTATTTGTGCATATAAACTATTTGTATTAAGAGTTATGTAGCCCATCGTGGACGATTCATACTCGTTGTCGTCGCAATGGCCCATAGATGTAGTAAATATAAACATGGAAATAAATTGTGCAGCCTTTTGCTTTATGCTTTGTATTCGCATGTTATCGTCAATGAGAGTGGACACCGAAGCCGGCGCGTGCGTCCAATGAGCACGAGCATCAAAACGAAAGCGAGAGAGGGCGAGAGAAAGAGAGCGCAGACCACTTCACAGTCTAGACATGGCACTCAGGCACTCTCCCGGACACATGCGCACGATGCATGGGCATAGGCAAACGAGAAGCGCAACTGGCGCGCCAAAACAGGTTCCCTAAGGTGAGTGGAGCGCCGTAGGGGCAAGGGAGAGCGTCTGTTCCAGCATGACAGCCGACGGCGCCAGTTAATTGCAAACTTTTTTATAGCCATTTGCTGCTGCGTATCTTTTTACTCTATGTTGTTGTTGTTGTTGGGGGACTGTGCAGTTCGCTGATTAACTTTTTGCATGCTGAGCGTGTGGTATGTGTGCATATGCATGTATGTCTGGCTGTGTGTATTTCCCTGTGCATCTGCCGCAGATTTGTGGACGAAATGTGTGTATGCAGAAAACCAATGCAAGCACACACATCTCAACACAGGCAAATGACATAGAAGTGGATTGTTCGGTATTTTAAAGGGTCCTGAGTCTGGTTTTGAGTGCACCAGGGTGGGTGGGCGCCAAACTCAGACGGTCGCATTTATGCATGTGTGTTTGTGTATGCGTGTGCTTGAGTTTGTGTTTAAGTGTGTATGTGTGTGAGTGCGTGCGCAGACCTGCTACAAAATTGATTTTTCCAAGTCATTGCGAGTTGTTGCCGCACACGTAATTTGAAAAAATATTCACATTAACTTGAACAAACTGGCTATACTTGTCAAGCTGGGAGCGATCTTTTATATTACAAAAAATATTAAATAATTTGTAATTCTTCTTACACTCTTAACGGATTTTCAAGGCATGCCCGCACTGCCTTAACATAAATTGTAATTATTTTCCTTATTTTAATATTTTTTTTTATTCTAAAAAAACTAGAAGTTTAGCCATTTAGATTACGAGCGGCGCCAATGGCTTTTGGGTCATTTTATTATCTAATTTTCTTTTTTTTTATAATTTAATTCTCCCCTCTTCATTGAATATTATAAATTTGTTTGCGCGCGACGCTTTCAAATGACTTTTGCCTTCGCCGTCGCTCACTGAGAACTGAATGACTGACTGCGACTTAGGCGCCAGCAGTGTCGTCGACGACGGCCGCGACGCCGGCAGCGTGCGCATATTTACGAAGCAGCGTGCAAAGGCGCAAAGACCGCTTGGCGGTACCAGAGAGCGCTCGACTTAAGAGAGCAGTTATCGAAGCAAAGAGCTTTAATCTCACTTGTTGATTACAAGCGGTGTGTGCTGAAAGATGTACATAGATTGTACGGATACAGATTCAGAGTTCTTTATTGATTAAAGAATTATTATATTCATATGAGTATATAATTATTGGTCCACTGGGTGAGCCGGCAGCACTTGACCAGCGCAACTGCCAAAGCCAATTCGCAGGCCATTTTTCACGCAGTGTCCACGGATGATGACCTCATCGTAGTCCTGCAGGAATTTACGTGTTTTTCCACCTTGTAACTCCACTGTTTTAGTGCCACGCCAGCACAGCTCCAAGAGCGACCCATACGAATCGGCCGTTTCGCCGCTTATCGTGCCAGATGCCATTAAATCACCTGGACGCAAATTGCAACCGGTGACCGTGTGATGTGCGATCTGCTGCAGAGGAGTCCAATACAAATGCTTGAAGTTGGACTTGCTAATCAGCGACTCATTATCATTGGCAGCTATAAAGTAAAAAACATTATTGTCCACATCTAAAGCTCTTGAGTACAATTTAAGTCTTACGCTTTAAAGAAACTTCCAGATTTATGTCAAAGTTAAAGGGAATGCTCTGCCTTAAATATGGCAGCACTTCTGGTTCCTGTGGAAAGTTATCGAGCAAAAATGGCTTCAACGCTGCCGTCGTTACCACCCAAGGAGATATGGTGGTGCCTAAGTTCTTGGCAGTAAATGGGCCCAGTGGCACGTACTCCCATTTCTGTATATCTCGAGCACTCCAATCGTTCATTAACGTAAATCCAAAGACATTCTGCCAGGCATCGTCCACCTTGATGGATTCGCCTAACTGGTTACCAGGTCCGCCTATAAAGAACGCCATTTCTAGCTCAAAATCCAACAGCTTGCATGCACCAAAGATCGGTTTGTCAGCGCCCTCAGGCAAAGTCTGTCCCAAGGGGCGGCGAATGGGCGTGCCAGACACAACAACAGAGCTGGCGCGACCATGATACCCCACTGGTAAGTGTCGCCAATTAGGCATCAGAGCATTATCCGCACCCCGGAACATAATGCCCACATTGGTAGCATGATGAATGGAGGAGTAGAAGTCCGTGTAGTCCCCAATTTGAGCTGGCAAATGGAGCGATATCTCCGACTGAGGAATCAGAGCTCTAGCAGAAGCAATGAAAAAGAACTTAATTAGCAAATCGAAAACTACGAAGCTATATGGCTAGCCTACACGCTTCTTAAGTCCACATTCTGCTCCACTTCGGAACCCTTGGACAACAGTTTTTGGGTTTGAGTCCTTACTGCATCCCACGCTTCGTGACCCAAGCTCATTAGCAGGTTCAACGTCTCTGCCTGCAGAGCAGCCTATAAAAAATAACAACAAAGCAGAGTCAATAAGCAGTTCAGCAAGCAGTGCGCAGTACATACTTGCAGTGGGGGTGCAAACAAATGCGAAACAGCTTTTAGATCCAACACATGCTCGCCGATTGCGACGCACAGCCGATGGATGGGCTGCAAAACGACAAAAATACGATCATTAAAAATACGGTATTCAGGTACGATATTCCGAGATAAGCAGGTGTTATACATAGCTGTAGCTGTTATGACTATGGAAATCGCAGATTGTTTTCGTAAACAAACTAGTTTTATAAATATTTTACTATGCAAATGATATGCACTAAAGCGGTCTTTGTTCTGAATTGATAGACCAAAAACATGTGAAACTTCATTTCTAAATCTTTTATAATATTCCATGTGACGTTCATTATTAAATATTTTTAGATAATATAAATACATTTCACAACTTTTTCGTATATATACATATATAGAAAACTGAAATTTTAAAATATATATTTTATACTTTTAATTTTTTAAGTTTGAATCACTTACATTCGACTTAGTGGAGAAGACAGCATATGGTAAATTTTCCAAGGGAAAATCGCTGTCAGCTGGCACTGGCACAAAGCTAACTGACATTTTATCCAATTTGAGATTAGTATCAACTATATAACTGAAGAATTTACAACGGCTGAGCAGATGTGTGCTTAGTAAACTGATTAAAACGACAGCCGCAATGGAAAGTGTGCGTAGCGCCAGACTGACGATTACAACTGAGTAGCTGCTCACATTTTATGGTCTATATATATCGTATGTTAGCCTATCTGGTCGCTCTTAAGCCGGTTGGGCCGGTTGTCATGAGCTCTTAGCGAAACAAGCCCCTCAAATCGGCGTCACGTACAGAGAGTCAAATAAAAGCTCTCTTTCTTGCTCTTTGGTTACTTTTATTTATTATTTACTCATATATTTATAAGTTATATATATGTATATATATATATATATATGTTTAAGATGCTGGAATAATTGTTTTTATTAGAATTCTCAAAGACATTTACATCAATTTATACACGAAATACAAATTATATGATTGACTTTTGAATTTTGTATTTAATTTGATATACACATGATATATATTTAATTTGACTTCCATTCAACTTAGTTAACAGCACATTAAACTACAATACATAAATGTATATTTTATATATATTTGTGAATATATTTATACTGGTAAATATTACGTACGTACAGCGCGTATATGTATTTTGTTCTTGAATTTTGTATAACTCATTTCAAACCAAATTTAACAAAATTGATCATAAGTTAGTTTCATTAAAATTGTTTATATAATGTTCCAACACCTTTTTCTTAACATTTTATTTAATTGCATTTAATTGACACCGAATATATCTTCAATATATATATATATCAGACGTATATGATTTAAGCACGATCCAACAACTAAAATTCAACTGAATGATTCGTTATACGTATTTATATATATATAGCACAGTTCGATACTTGGACTAGTTTTGGCTCAAGATCCATTCTTATAGACTTATGTAGTACATGAAGCTATTTTAGCTTTCTCATTCGATCTTGAGGCCTTCATTTTTGAACTGCATTAAATGTGTAAAATTTAACAAGCACAGGTCTCTTTTGATATATGGTGTAAAGGTACATACAATTGCCTGAAGCATAAACTTTGCCATAGATCAACTTTAGATATACTTTTTTATATAGCAGCAACATAATTATATAATTTAAGTATTGCAAACAATTTAATTCGAATTCAACATACTATTGTTTTTCATTAATGATATGTTAAGACATCATATCATCTTACAACACTTAAGTTCTTAAGTTTTACTATTTGGCTTTAATAATTGTTTCAAATATTCCAACTTTGATTTTTAAATTGATTCGATTTTTGGTTTGGTGGTGAGTGTGGCGGGTGGTGTTTGTGTTTGTATTGTGCTTTAAATGTACACAGAGATATTCTTTTAGAGAACTTTACGATATAATAATTTGATATATTTTGTAGGTGCAACAGTCGCAATCAAACTCTTGAAATTTCTTTATGAAAGTGAAACATAAAATAACATTAAAATTGGCAACACTTCGATTATAAGTATATGAGTACATATTTGATAGTTTTCCAACACTGGCTTGGATCTTAGAATCAAATAACTGAAAAACGAATTCAAACATAACATTCGATAACACCTTTTAATGTACAGTAATATATAACTTTGATTAGTTGAGAGTTATTCTCTTTGCGTTCTTATGATATGCTTTTTACCTTAAAGATACTTCTTGGTTGCATCGACTACACAACAGTAGCTAGATTTATCTTTTGGAGACATTATAGGTTCTCAGCTAGAATCGCTTACAAATCATCGCCCAATCGGTGTATCTCATCAAGCATGAAGTCCACATCCTGCTCGGTCACAGCAGCGGAAGAGATGATCGAACGGAAGAAGTTGGGCCGTCGATCATCTGGCTGATAGCCAACCATAAGTGTGCCCTTCTGCATCATGCGCCCCTTGATAATGGGGCAGATCTGCAAAAGCAATAGATGTAGATACCAGTCGGGTTTTACTGGCTAGACAGGCAGACATCTTACCTTGCCCAACTCCACTTCCTTCTTGCTGTCATGTGGCACACCTCGCAAACGTTTGGGCACATACCAGAAGGACACATTGACGCATTCTGGTTCCAGAATCAAATGGAAACGATCGGATTGCTGCCTAATACGCTTCAGCTGATACTGAACCAATTCCATCAAGCGATCCTGCTGCTGCTCGAATCCCTCGGTGCCCTTAGCGCGCCACTGCAGCCAGAGCTTGAAAATGTCGTTGTGGCGTCCACACTGGATCACCTTGTCGCCAGTGTCGTAGCTGATGTCGTACTGTTTGTCGGTCATGAAAAGATACTCAGCAGACATTTGATTGCAGCTGATGAGCAGGCCCTGCAAGCAAATGGATTTTAGTTATCGCTTTTTCCTTTTTTTCGCTCGTAAGTCAAGTTCAAATTTTAATTAAAATTCCGGCTGCCAAAAGACGCAACTGTGACCGATGGCAACATATTGCACAGAATATAAAAAAGCAAACCCAATCCAAGGGTGGCTCTCGCCCAACTAAACAGGAGTAACAGCAGCAGCAGCAGCAGCAGCAGCAGCAGTGGCAGCAGTGGCAACAGGGGCCACAGGGTTGCCAAACATTTGCTCATTCATTGTAATTTTTCGGGCTGCGACAGGCCCCGTCCATGTCTGACTGTCTGTTGTTTGGCATGAAAAATAACAAGGAATTGTTCGCAACACAATTGGAATTCTTTGGGCAAACAACACACATTGTGATATGCAGAAGAATGTTGAGGAAATAAGGCTTAAAACGAAGGACAAGGAAGCTTGAAATGGGTATGAGTCAAATGGGCATATATTAGTCCTTCAGTCATCAGATTTAAATATAATTCTAAGCCATTTAAATGGTTAAAATAAACACACATTTTAAATAAATTTTA